AAATACATGCCGTGATCTAGATAGGCATTCCAATATTCAGATTAACATTATGAAGTTGAAATATTGAGAAATCTATCTGAATACTGTATGTAAATGTATTCAAAAAAGCAAGAGGGATATCTGGGTGTGTAACAAATCTTCCATAGTTACATGCTAAGAGCAATACGTGAAGAATATTGCTTGTGTAAGCTATTGTTTATGTCATAATTGGCCAAGAAGTTCATGCATGTTTCACTGGCACAAGTGATGTTATAATAAATGCCGTTGTACAGGAGTCAAAATTTGATTGGAACTATTATGGTATTTAAAATAGGGATGACATACAAATAAATGCATTTTCATAATATACAAATTATTACATTATTAATATACAGTATATTACAGTACTAAAACAATGACTAAATGATTTGGATTCATAGTAGGTAAGCAATATATTGTGCTTTCACTTTACAGAAGCAATGACATTTGTGATAGCTAACTCACAATAAAAATTAAACACGACTTAACAGTAGTAAGCTATGTTGTAGCTACTGAAAGGCAGATACTGTATATTGCAAATACGATGCTATACTGCTTTTCAAGCAACTCACTCATGTATTGCGTGATGTATAACATTGCCCATTATATCACATGAAGAGATGCACTAGTATATTATACAATATATTCTCTGTTAAATAATTTACAGTTATATCATTTGATATTCAAAGGAATATTAACAGTAATAAAACATACTTACCGATGTCTGTGTTGGGTGACTTCATAGCACAGCAGTAGGTAATGTTTTGTTATACTGTACAGAGTAGGTAGCAGAGAAGCCTTGCTTTGCTAGATAGCTGATAACAGTTGAAACACCATGTTGGATGGCTCAGTAAACTATGTATTATGTTTTTTGCCTCAAAGTAAATAATTTTACCTTTACATTGTATGTGGTGGACGATAAAACAACATAAAACAATGTTTACTACGTGTTACTGATTTACGGCAAGACACAATTTTGATTTACTAGATGGGTCACTGCAGTGGATAATATATACTGTACTATGATAACTTAATAACAGTAATCATTGGTTATTCTGCATAACAACAGTTGCAATGATTGTTACTAGTCCTTAATAAAAATGTAAACAAATAACCAATGACCTTCTCTCTTTCTTTAGAACTCCTTTGCTAACTAGAGCACTCATAATCTTTGTGAATTACTCTATGTTCTTTCTATGACCCATGAAATCTAGTACAGTAGTAGCAATGGCACATGATGAATTAAGATTACAAGAACAGACGAAGTGTGTCCTAAAGAATTAGGACATCAATAGTTCAACCTCAAAAAGGAATTTTCAGTCTGCCTGACTACCGCTACCAAGTCTACCGAGTAAGTGATCAACACAAAACACGCATTACCCAAAAGATATGCATATTATATTTCTACACGTTTGTAACTGTACTGCTCCTCCATACAGCTCTTGGCACAAGTCTTAATCTTTTAAGTTCTTGTACCACATCAATATTTATATAAATCATTGCAATTTTGATTTTTACACTATGAACATAAGATTGTGTAGGTAAAAATACTTACCCCTACAAGAGTAAGTGTGTAGATGTTCACAGCAGTGCTGGGTCTCCACTGTGGTGAGAGGAAGAACAACTGCTCATACTCAGATCTTCAACACTATCAAATCCTGCAATTGATAAAAAGCATGTCAACTTCAAACCCTGTATAAAAAAAAAATTATACAGTCTATATATATACTAGATGAGGTACCCAGCTCTGTGTCTCTCTCTCCACCCTCCCTACCCTTCTCCCTCTCTCTCTCTCTCTCTCTCTCTCAAAATTTAATATTACGATACTGTATAACGCACTGAAAAGCAGCTAAATCTCTATAGAAACACACCCCAGTTTCAGACCATGAAAATTGCATAAGATTGATAAAAATGCCAGTATTTCTTAAAGGGTGGCATTGGCTTATGACACACACTCCTTGTGTGTGATCTTGGAAAGTTGGGTTAGACTAGCCCCAAGTGTCCGACTTCCTACTTTAGACAGAAATGATAATGGTCCAGCGTTGACAAAAACATTGCCATTTCTTAATTTTCTGATGTATAGTTTGATCATCAAACAAATAGATATTGCATTTTATATAGACATAAGATGGAGTAAAGTATTTAAGAATGGCTTTCAATTTGTTAAACAATTACCATGTTGCTGAAGAAACAGAAACATACGACAAGTCATCACGATAGTGTTAAGTTGAAAAAATGTTTAAGATTAAGTTATTTAAGTACTGTACCAATATGTTGGAGTTTGAGAAGTATTAACACGTTTTGTTCAGGAGGGACGTATACGACGTCTGTAATTAGCTCTGCGGATGTACGGGAGGAACGTCTATGATGTCCAATTTTAATATATTAAAATTTCATTTTTTATCCAATAGCCGGATTTTGGACTTCATATGTATATATTCCTATAGAACATTCTATTGTGAACAAATTGATACCAAAATGAATGGCCTAACACGAAAATTGACGTTATCAAACTAAAAAGATTATACACATTTGTGTGCAGGTGTAGCGGATATGCAAATGCGTGCTCGCTCACGGCTAACGCTTGGCTGACTTTCACCTTTGCTGCAGGGGGCAGGGGCTTGGATTTTGAACTTAATATGCATAAACCCCTGTAGGGACTTCTATTGTGAACAAATTAATACCATATTGAATGACGTAGGACGAGAATTGAGGTGAAAATCTCACAGAGTACACACATTTTGGTGGTGTTGTGCGCTTACGGGTAACCCTCGGCCGATTTGTGAGTTTGTTGTGGGTGACATGCCGGGATTTTGGACTTCATATGTATACATTCCTGTTAAGAATTCTATTGTGAACAAAAAAATACCAAAATTAATGCCATAAGACGAAAATTGAGGCGAGAAAACTTAAAGAGAGTATAAAATTTGAGTCTGGCTGCACGCTCACGGCCAATGCTTGGCGCACCTTGAGGTAGTCTACGGAGCGCGTAGTGGGGGTGGGAGAGTCTTAAATACTGTTGAATATTTGTTAGAAAAAGTTCAACTGAAATGCTAAAACAATGTTGAAATAGACTCAATTAGTGAAGACTTGTACTGTACAAGCTCTATTTTTTCCTCAAATACTAATGAAGAAAGAACTTGCCGAAATAACTATCACTACTAAAGCACCTACAAGAAGCAATATTTCTTGTATCAAAAACTGTTACCATCAGGGTTGTCCAAACTGCACCATTGTAAGTGAGCAACCTTCTCAGTGGCTAAACTAAGCAAAGCTCCTCTAATGTTCTCACAGAAAAGGCATTTTTATGTTCAATGTTTTAATACTTGGTAAAAAGATAACATATTTATTAACATATTAAGAGTTCAAAATCAGAATCCTTAATAATAATAAATATATCATAATTTTATACCGACATTATAAGCTGGAAAGTTCTAGTTCATAAGCAAAGCAAACATGTCTAATAACTAAAATATAAGAATTTGTACTCACTCGTGTTATATTCACTGTTCTCATTTTCTGCTCTCAAATATCAAGCAAAATTCTCACAAGAAAAACATCAGCACTGACAAACCCTGCCTCAAATCCTACTGCTACACATCATTTTAAACATTAATTTAACCAGAATGATCATTATAAATTCTGCAAGTATGATGCCGAAAGAAGTGGTCGCTTGGGCTGGACGGTAGAGCGACGGTCTCGCTTCATGCAGGTCGGCGTTCAATCCCCGACCGTCCAAGTGGTTGGACACCATTCCTTCTCCCCTGCCCCATCCCAAATCCTTATCTAGGTCCCTTCGAAGCATTATGTAGCCGTAATGACTTGGCACTTTCTCCTGATAGTTCTCTACTTATAGATGCACGTTACAGCAGTGCATTACATTCGTGATTAGCTCACATTACATAGCCTTATTATTATTAGATTAAAGTATCAGAAATTTTTAGAGCCGACTTTTTTCACAGACTACTACTACTATTACTACTAAGAAAAAAAAAGGCACAGAATTCAATATGCAGGCTATCATATTCACTCTAGCCAAAATCAAAGCAATAACATTTTAATGTTCGTACAGTTGTGTACATTCTCAACTCACAATAAAAAATCCTAGGTCTGACTTCCATGCAGGACAAAGATGGTTAGGCACATTTCCTTTCATCTAATACCTGTTCACCTAGCAATACAATATATAGATACCCGGGAGTTTGTTAACTGTTGTGGAGATACGTCCTTGGGAAGGTCAGTAGATTCACCTTGGGAGGGAATCTTGATATATGCCTAATGTGTGTGTATGTATATGTGAGTGTGTGTTTTATATATATATATATATATATATATATATATATATATATATATATATATATATATATATATATATATATATATATATATATATATATATATATATATATATATATATATATATATATATATATATATATATATATACATATATATATATATATATATATATATATATATATATATATATATATATATTAATTATACTGTTGTCCCAGATAAAATGAATTATCCTCAAATTAACTATCCTATCAAGAAATAAATGTTCTGCCTTTTGCACATTTTTCTTTGTTTTGCAAATTCTCTAACAGTAAAGTATGAAAACTATGTTTATTTTCTTTTTATAGCTATATACCCAGATCATGTGCACATATTTCCATACTTAGTTTTTTTTATTTACAATAAAAAATTACGAATATTAAAATATTCATAAGCATTTCCATATTCAATGTAGTCAAACACTATTATTAATACACCTTTTGTTTTGTATTTATACTCTAGAAAATTCACTTGTGATTATTTTGACACCAAATGTATTACTATACTCCGCAAAATAACCTAGAAAACGTAAAATGATTCTAAACATTTTATATATCACTGAGAAAGCCGATTGGCCTGGAATGTGTATGGTTGGAGGTGGGCCTTGACTGATAAAATCTAGAGCTGCATGTAAATAAAAACAATTTTGGAATTTTCATTTACTAGTAAAAAGTAGCACACACATACATAAATAGTTCCTTACTTGGCTGCCTTACGAAAGAACTTGAGAATACAAAAAATCACTTATTAATACAATTCATCAATATGCAGCACAATGAAGTACATGGCATAGATCAACACGGTAATACAATAAAGAAATTAATACAGCTAATGTATCAAACCAATTAGGAAAGTGTGACAAAATTTAGTTCTGTAATACAGTACAGGACAATAAAAGGTACTCTTCACTGAAGAGAGCCATCACATAGGTGATCCTCATCTCACACAACAGAAAATGTGCTCTTAATAACAAAAATTTGTTATACAGGTGTACTATAATAACTGAAATACGATACTGACCAAGTTTTAATAACTTTGGTTTATGCTAATTTTAAAGTTTATATCATCTCAAAATATGAACCAGACTAATAAGATCTTAAGAAAACAGCCAAGAAGATTTTATCACAGTTTTTTATCTTTTTTGTAAGTTTCTTAATAATAAATTACAGTATGTTGATAGTGATTCACTAAATTTGTGTGTAACCAACATCAAAAAATTACTGCAGCCTTTTAAAGTGAGAATTAAAATTTTCCTAGTTATATTTAAAATAATAGTTAATACTCTAAACATGAATGTTCAATTAATTCAATGCAGATTACAATAAATTTAGTTAAATCATAAACTCCAACACAGCCAAAGATTTGAGTTGATGGCATGATCCAGATGCCCCACACACCCCTACGAAACACCCCAGTCAGCTTGCTTCGTATGTGACAACAATATTAGTAAACACACGATGGCTCAAAAACATTAGTCCTACAATCAAATTCTTTTTATCGCTACAAAATTTCCAGCCCTCATTAACCTTAAAGTACATTCAGACCATTGTCTTCATTTTATATTGCATACTGGCAAGTCTCCATTCATATTTTTATCAAAATCCAATTAAGCATTTCAACATAAAACATATAAATGGAGAGAATACAAGGGACAGTTGTAATAACACAAAATACAAATCAAACATTAAAATTATATGATCAATAAGACAATCTACAAACACATTTTGATTTGATTCACCAGTTGTACAGAAATTTTTCAAAATTATACATACTAACATAGCTAAATATTGAATTTTCATTATACTTCACCTTAATTCTCAATTATTTTAATAGCTTACATGTTCTACAAAAAAAAAAAATCATGATTTTATGTATATAAATTATAAGGCTCATACATATTCTCAATTAATATACTGTACTAAAAACTGGCAACTTTAAAACAAAATCTAAATACTGTAATGTATTGAAAATTTTGAAAAAAGTGTAGCAAAAGGCTGTTAATTACAAAAATTTGTAACAAATAGTGTCAATTACCACAGTTAAAATGTTAGCTGAAGTAACTGGCAATAGTGAATCAAAATAATGATCTTACATTGCAATAACAACTATAAACAAAAATTATATATAACCAGAGAGCACTTATATATAAAAAATTGTCAAATGAAAATTAATTCTGTTAATTTCCACAAAACTTCAAAAGGTGCAAATTACTTTTTTACTTTTTAACCTACAGAAGTCCTAACAACAAAGTTTAGTTTTAGTTAAGGTTTATAAAAATTTACATTCGTATCATATCAATGTCACTAAATGTTAAATAAGAAAAATGCCCCAAAATGACACTTGGGTCCTTAACAAAAACTGTACAGAGGTATCAAATGGCTTCAGAGAAATTATATAAAACTATAAATCAATATCTTAAACTTAAAATAGAATCCTGGCACTTGCTTCATCCGGTAACATGGCTTGAAATAAAGGCTGCAAGTAACTCTACAACACCTGGAGCTCCTCCCAATCATCATCTGACCCTGTGCACCTGGCAATAACTGGGAGGGAACCAGGATTAATATAACTAGTGTTCTGATGAATACATAATGCTTCATATGTTAAGTGGTTCCGGTACCTGGCCTGGTATCGGAAATGTTACTTTAACATTAACAAAATATCAAGTTGTACAAGATCAAAATTTCACATAATAAGATAGAGGATAAAATGCCAGTAATGAATACGAGTTAGATTAATATTATATCAATAGGAAAATAATTTATTTAATACTATAATTTTTATGTATAAAAGATTGTCTTGTTAGTGAAAAACTAAAGAGTGCCAACTTATTTTCAAAGAGAATTCATCATTATTTTGAGCAAATTTTACAGACCTTAGAGCAAGAACGAAGAAGACACATTATTACATACAAGGTGGTGTGTGCAAGGTTAATAATTATCTATGAATAAATTATTTAAATGGGGATTTTTTAAAATAATTATGTTATTTGTAAAGTGTTAGAAAAATGTTAGTCGTCTACAAATAACTCTCAAGGGATTTGACATCTATGTACTGTACTGTACTTTCAAAATCATGCAAATGAACATACACAGCAGTCAGTGCCACAAATGTACATAATGTGTGTGTTAATACACATACACACATATGGGCCTAATCAACATACTGCATATTCATATTCTGTACTGTATACTGATGCTATTTACTGCAAGCTATTATTGAATAAAAATGTTATCAAAATCTAAAACAAGAAAATATATAGCTCAACAATATTGTAAATACTTTCTTCAACTTCGGACTGGTTATTATTGCATAGCAGAAACCAGCATCAAATTTTCTGAGCTAGACTCAAAAGGGTCAATCTGGACTCTATTCCCTTACCAGGCTTTATACAACCATTTTCCCACCAAGACGAGTAACTCTGCCAATGGTCTTGCCATGGAAAGAAGGGAAAGGGAGACAGTGAAGAGTCTAACTCAATCCCTACACCAAGCGACTGCTCCCTATCAGGAAGAGAAATTTACACTCTGCCATCTTCGAGGACACAACAAAACATCCAATACACTGCCCCAGCCATCATGGAAACATATGAGATTGGTATGATGCACTGGGCCTATTGGCCCATAAACGAAGTGCTTCACCTTCACCTCGTCCCTGGCTACATATCTGGCAGCACAAAACCTTGTAACCATTTGAACTCTGCCCTTAATAATGTTAACAAGAGTTAACAAAATGCATCTTTTAGAGTCAGGAAAGAGTGAGATCAATTGTTCTAGTGTGAATCATCTCTATTCTTCTTCACCTTCAACTCGTCCCCTTCACCTCATCCTCGGGTATATATCATGCAGCAAGAAACTATGTAATCATTCAAACTCTGCCTTTGACAATGTTAACAAGAGTTAACAAAATCCATCTTTTAGTGTCAAGCGAAATAAAACTGCAAAAAATTAACTTTGGAGACTTAATTTTTCAACTTTCTTCTCAAGTGAAGAAAAATAAAGATGATTCAAGCTAGAATCATTGATCTCACCCTTTCGGTCACACATACACATACACACACACGTTAATCATGATGTGTTTATAAACACAAAAGTGCTCAAGTAATTTCTTATTTCATTTTCTCTACGTGGTTATACGTTTTCACATTATTCATCAAGTGTTAATTTCTTCATGATTTTATTTCTTAAAATATTCAGGAAAGTAATTGCTTGCAAATTTAATTTCATGATACAGTATATACGTTTAACTTATAACAGACTAACACATAAAAGCAATGTTTACCCAGATTGTTAAGCAACCTACATACTGTAATGCCCAAAATAATAGTAAAAACAACAGTACATTACTATCATGATTTACTCATTTTTCCCCAGCACAGACACCAATGTTAAACAATATAGCAACAAAGAAACCATTAACATAAAAACAGACAATACAAGTTTGCTACACACAAGTGACCTTTCATGGGCATAACCAGGATTCTTGTCACAAATAACATAAAGATACTCCAGTATCTATCAGACATATTGTGAAGCTAATTAGCATAATGGATCAAGAGTATACATTTATATACATACATTAATGGTTCTAAATGTAATTTCTCACTAAGTATAGGTAAGGCAGAGGATGCACTGTGTAAGTTTACTGATGACTTAATCACTTATCATAAATATCAAAAAGTACATATGAGTATTACATTTTTTTTTGCCTAATTTTAATAGATCTACAAAGTAATAACTCTTAAACTATTTTTCAAGACTAAGTCTAACCTCCAAGTGCTTCAATTAAGTGTTTTGAGTTTGGCCACTAAAATCCCTACTGAATGGATTATATATATACAGAACTGCATATTTCTTGAATACACTCTTATTTAAAGAGAGACTGCTAATATTTTATTTGCAAGTATTGTGCATCAGGCTACATGTACTTAATAGATTATTGTGTTGCTACTAAAATATAAAAAAACATTACTTGCTAACCATTTCCTTTTATTTAAGTACACATGTACTGCCTAATATGAATAGCCCAAAATATCTGCTAGATTAATCTTTTTCCAAGGATAATTACTTTTCACAAGACCTACACATAATCTAATAATACTATTGCAGCAGATTAAACTTAAATATTGCACTGATTCTGTATAGTGGTAAGTGAAGCATTATCATTATCTATGGAAGCTTGACTCTTCAGAAGCCATGATAATATGTAATCTTTTAGAAGTGTTACATCCATCACCATATTCTACTCAAAGACTCCTCGACTTACTCATGTAAGTAGGCACACTTGGATCAGCTATATTACTAGCAAATCTAGTTCTCAATGAATTATGCAGGAACAGTTTCATAATTAAATGCAGTGAACATCTGAATCTAGTATTTTTGGAAGCTTTTTACTATGGTAAGATATGAATAGCTAGCCGATGCTTTTTCTGGAGCCGAAAAGCAAATCCATGCCAGAAATATCCTACGTTTCTCCTGCATTTGATGCAAAATGTAATGGCATTATAAAGTGTATTGTCAAACTGGAGGTCCAGATATGAGATGATTACTTTTGCTTTTGGTAATTTTTCATACCTAATGAAACCAGATTATAATTATCAAAGAATTTGAAAAACAATAATAGACAGCAAGAAACTAATAATTAATGCTAATATTAGCATGGGTATTCTGCATAAATATGCATAATTTCACCAACTTTGCTGACTTCCATATTAAGCACCAAAGGCTACATATGTTACAGCAATCATAATTTAGTCTACAATAATACAACAGGAAAGCCATAATTCAGATTCTTGGATTATCTGGAAAGACAATTATCCAGTTCTCCACTGTCATCGCCAAAGAAGTCTCTGCACAAGTTCGTGGCGGCAGACACTTACTTGTACCAAATGATAAGTCTGTCATGTATTTCCTACACATACTAATTACATATATTATTCATTCCAATCAACATCGCCATTACAGGAAAATTGCCAAAACATTATACCACGAAGGTTTTTCATATTATTCAGAATTTCAGTTTTCCAGACAGCCAAAGGCATCAATTAATCCAGATAATCAGCATCAGCACTGTACAATTAATTATATTTCCAGACACTTACGAAAATTGCATAAGTAGAAGCTGGTAGTTAAAGGTCATAAAGTAGGCATTCACATTACAGTACCTCACTTTCAATGGCACTTCAGACAAATTACACACACAGTTTTGCCATGTTTTTTAGCAATTATTTTTACAACATAACCATTGTTAATATTCATATGAATACATTTTGCAGCTGCAAAATGTATTTACATTAGAAATTATGTAAAAGACAATTTTAGAGAGGTAGTTAAATATTTATAGTTTTCACAATGATCAGATACCCATGTTCAAGTATCATACCCTGCCTTCCAACATCTTTGCTCAAGAAACAAACAAACCTGAGCAACTAGCTACTACCAATGGTTCTCTTTTCCTGGTATTGGATATTGTATTTATAATATTCCTTTCATTGAATTAACTGAATAATTAATACAAAATTGAGGAATTATAGTAATATTAACACATCAGCATTCCAATGATGTTAAATACATCATCCATATTTTGATGACAAATATTCCAATGATACTGAAATGTGTCATCCGACAAATTTCCTCAAGTCCCTCTATTTTTTTTATGCAAGAACATTGTGGTTAGAGATTATTATACATAGACATAAAGCTGAATGTATCAGAAAGACGAGTCTTTCCGATACATTCGGGTTGTGGTTTATGCAACTTTGTGGTTACAATTGAGACTCGAGTTCTCCCCTACAGTGAATTGAGTTGATGAAAACGATTTCTGATCTGTGACCACCTAGCACTATCGGGTATTGGTTGTAAATAGTCTCGACTATCCAATACTTTTGAATAGTTTGGTGAGTGAGTGAATAGTCTTTCATGGTGAGGAGTCAGTGATATATATATATATTATACAGTATGCAGGATTTTATATATATACAGTATATATATATATATAACCTTAAATTTAAAATTCACCCAGTACACAATAGAATGTGTGGCACACATGACAGCACTGATGAAGGACCAGCCAGACAACAGTGTGACAAAGAAAGGTATGCTGCCCAATAAAACCATGAAGGACAAAAATCTGTCACAGGCATTAAGAAACAATTTTAAGTATCTACAGCATCTAAAGGAAGAACATGGCCCTTTGTTAAGGTAATGCCACTAAGGCTCATATACTCGTCTTTCTCTTGCCTTGGGTAAAATGAACTCTTGGCTAATTAACTATCTTGCTAGTGGGCTTCTATCGGTGAGCAAGTAAGTTGGAAGGCAAGGAACCGCCTTCACAAACCATGTTTCCTTGATATATTTTTAACATCATGGTGTTTGACTGCATACTTAACATATCTTTTACCTAATTTTCATACAACATTCAGTTTCCAGGTTGACTGTTAAGATATCTGACAATATCGTCAAAGTTTGCAATGACCTGTTTACCAATGATGTTTCAGGATACTTTTTAATTATATTCCCCATTCAGCTTGTGTTACAATATATAAATAGTTATATTACAGATAAATATAATTAAAGTAATATAATTATTGTAAAAAAACAAAAATTACATTTTCATTACAGTTAAAACAGTTATTTTTCTGTTACTATACTCAAAGATGCCGATATTTCAAATGAACTAATGATTGTGTTCACTACTTACATTCTATCGAATTAGCTTCCATGTTACAATAAATCCCACTGTGATCTACCAAGAACACCTGATACTTGCCATTCCTCTCATAAGCTTACCAAGCTGACTTTAAATATCAATTTATATTCTACTGTAAAAGCAACCAATGTTTCTTTAAGCACACCATTTCACTGAGTAGCAAATCCAAAGACTATAAATTAGTTAAATATTTAACAAATTGTTTCCAAGAAGAATTCTTGTGAATTACATGCTTCAATAAAACATTATAATGCTAGTTTTATTTCTAAAAATGTGTATCCAAGTTCCTACTCTGCTGAGAAACTACTGTATCTTTAATACACATACACAAATCACAATAGTGTGATATATCAAATGAACAAATCCACAAGGGGCTGTGATGAGGGTTCGAACTTACGCCTGGGATGATCCCAGACACTACCTTAATCGACTGCCTTAGTCAACCATCATCATGGCCCTTGTGGATTCGTTTACTGTATCTTTACTTCCTACTAATACAGTAATTCAAATTCAAGATTAGGACCTAAGGGAAAAATTCTTTACATCATTTTACGGCAAATTTTTAAACATTTCAAATTCAGTAAGCTCAGCTTTAAACCAAATGTTCCTGAAATCTGGTTAGATCCAAATAAGGTATACCTTACATAAGCATGTTTAGGTTTAAAGTATACTGTATTTTTCTTCCCCCCCCTCCCCCTGTTCAAGAAAGTGTTTGTGGCTTTTATTTTTCATGTATAAATATAATGAGATTATAAGTAAATAGACATTTCTCCCACACATTACTTATTAATAGTTCCAATATTCTCTTACCACAATAACAAAAAATTTCACTTGCCAATAACTTCAAATCTTAAATTTTATTTCCAGACGTAAAGAATTCTTTTTCACGAGTGTGCAGAAGTTAATTGTACATTAGGTATGAATCTTCTTTTATATCAATTTACTATATATTGGTTAACTCCACTTATTGTACAGTAAATCGCAACATTGTTAAGCTTTTGAAAATTGTATTTAATTAATGTCCTGCACTTCTTTATTAACAATTTAAGCTCTATATATTTTAACGCTTTTTCTTTTTTTTTTTCTTACTTTTCAAACTGGAACTTGTGGGTGGATTTGGATTGGCTCCCACATCACTTTCGCTTGTTGCTGTTTTTCTGTCATCAGTACTTGATTCTCCACGATCATCTCCACTTGTTTCACCACGCTCATCTGTGCTTGTTTCATCAGTCACAGAAGAGCGACTAGCCGATGTTGTGACAGTAGCCGAAACAACAATACGCCGCCTAAGTAAAACCACCTCCTCATCATCTGACGTATCATCTTTAAAAGGAAACATTTCTGAAGTTCTACTCTGCCTTGATCGTGAATGTGTACGCGTCTTTGTTTTAGTTTGTACAGGAACATTATCATCTGAGGAGTAAGCTTCTTCTAGAGCTCTAGCAAGATCATTGTCATCATGTAATGATCTGAGCATTGCTTCTTCTGGTTCATGGCTGCTCCCTTCATGCTCTTCTTCATCTGGTTGTAGCTCAAAGTCTTCCAAAGTTGGTATGGTAGACTCCTGGGCTTCTTGGAAATATTCAGCTTGGGGTTCAAGAAAACTGTCCCTCTGAAACTCATCAAAGTCATCAAGTCTTTCTACAGATGGTTCATGGTACTCTTCTGCTGCATGAAAATAATCTGCATCTATATCTAATTCTAAAGGGGTATTCTTAATTTCTGGTTCATTACTAAGCAACAATTTATCATCCTGCCTTGACTTTATTTTACCTCCACCTGACTCTGAAATTTTAATAAAAATATTTTGCGATCCCAGTGCATCAGATCCATCGCCCTGAGGCCGGGATTCAACTTCCTGGGATACTGGTTTACCTCTCTTTTTCTTTTTCTTCTCCTTTTTATTCTCCGTTGCTAACCAAAGATCATCTTCGGATGTAGTGGTAGAAGGTGGCTTCTTAATTTTATTTCTAGATCCCCAAGATGATTCACTATACTCTGTAACTGCCGTTGAAGTAGCCAATGATTTGCCCAATGGTGGATATGAATCCTCTTGTGACATACCAGAATCAGTCTCACAGCTTTTAGATGTATTCTTCACTGAACGTTTTGCCCAAACATTTGGTGTAATGCCAATTTCAGATTTTTTATCATCTTTGCAAGCACTGTCTTCAGTTTCTAATGCTGAAGAGTCACTTCCTGATTTCCTTATATAATCAGGTTGATCAGTAGATGTAACTAGTTCCCTTGAAGAAGTCATTGATGAATTTGGAGATATTCTAGCTTCACAAACTCCTTTGCCTGAATTTCTTGATGGTGTCAAACTGGCCATTGCTTGAGTCATCATTTTACCTTCTAATGCTACTGTGTCTTCTATTGGCTTGAGTACTTCTTTGTTTGATGCGGTTGATACTTTTCTTGATGACACGAAATGCTTAGCTGACAATCCTTGTTCATTAAAAGAGGCTGTTGATCTTATATTTACTGAGCTTCTAGACCCACTGTATCTTGGCTCTCTGGGAGATGTTGAAGACCCCCTCTCTACTGTAACTGGGACTGCTTGAGGCCTATTAATCTGGATAAAGTCAGGACTCTGGCTGCTAGATTTTATTTCAGGCCTATCGATGGGGACCCATACAGAGTCTGTCAATTCTGCCACTCTAAAGCCAGACCCTAGAGTTGAAGATAGTTCTTCAGCTGATGAAGTCAGAGCTCGATTATCTTCTAAGCTGGGGGTCCTCTGAATAAAAGGGGAAGCCCTTGTTGAATCTGGGTGAGTCACAGTCACCTGATGCAAGCGAGTTGTAACAGCCTGGATTTCTTCGTCTACATGCGAAGATGGCCGTGATGAGATTCGCGATACAGAGGAAGAGGCTGTGGATGACAAAGCTCGTCCTGAGGATGGCCCTGGGGGATCACAGCTGATGTCCATCACATCAGTCATGTCCAAAGTTGAGTCATGGCTGCTTTCTCCGTGCGATGTCAGGGCACCATCCTCACCTGCGGACGAAATAAGACCGCTCACCTCCATTCTTTGCCATTCTCGAGAGAAAACTTAGATCTACACAGTCCTTAAAAGAAGAACTTATACTAAGTCCACGCCACCATTAGCATGCGCAAGAAAACTTAAGTCTACATAGTTCTTGATGAGTTCAAGCAATTATTTCTTGCAAATTTTGGAGTTCTTCACAGAAAATATAGATCTTAATGCTCAAAATACTTTGAGACCTTATTAAGAATCTAATACCTCGAGTTCCACAGTTGGCAAATATTTTTGTCCATAGCATTTGCTTTGCTCTCCCTTCCAAAAGGTTCTGGTTTATTCTCTATTACTTTAGCATTTCCATACAGAGACAGAATTCTAAACCTCCCGTGAAACTTGAAATTTAATGCGTAACATCTTCTGTGTTAGTTTCCTTTTCAGTGATGGTTAAATCTTCATAAAAGATCTTGAAGTTTAATAATGTAACTTCTGTCCCAGGTTAAATAAATTAAAAACATTAAGCGAGTTAAATTAATTAGTAAACAAATATTCACAAGTTTTTAATTACCACAAATTATTAAAGTGAAAATTAATTCATATTACTGTTTAAAGAAACAAAACAGTATTAGTATGCATTTCTAAGCAGAATATATACAAAAGCAAATAATGAAAGAGTTAAAAAAACTTCACCTTTTTTTTATAAAACCTACAGCACACTTGGTAATAGAAAGTTTATAATATTTAAACCATATAATTGGATAATTTACTGAATATATGAAAAACCTATTAAGAACTGTATAAATCTTTGCACACTCTCAAAGTAATAATATACTGCATGTGTTTACAATTTATATATTTTACCTATATATTGTATGCATGTACATTGTATCATGTGTATGCATAGTGGACATTCCAAACTCTTTACCTCAATTAATTATATGTATTCGAGTACATGTACTGTAATGTACATGTAAATAACAATGATTTTGCTACCAGACAATATAAACAAAATCTGGATTTCAATATGGATTTGGTAGCATTTGTGGTGCAATTTGGAGTGTCACATGCTGAAATTTGCAGATCCTATTTTCTGACCTAGTTTTGCACCTCTTAAGTAAAAACAAAATTTTTGTATTATTACTTTTCTCTGGCGAGTGCGGGCTTACTGTTAGTGCACACATACCAACCATGTGTGTTCTGTGTCTAAGTGCAATCCGACGTGTCATTACTCAAGGAATTTGGCCGACAAATTTGTTGATACTGTATATCAGTACTTATTTGCAAGTTGAAGCTATGTCATCCAATAATAGTAGTAAGGTTACATCAGATAAAGGGAATTGAATTACCCTTACTATAGATAAGTATTAAGTATGTGTGGTAGGGAAGTGGCTGTCAGAGGAATATGGCATTTGGACTAATACTATTTCCAAAATAACAAAAATGGATAACAGGGTTTGTCAACAAGACAGAATAGAGGTGGTAAGAATTGACAGAAAAAAACTTCAGGCAATTATAGTACATTACATATACATTACTGTACAGAATAGCAACTACACTGAGCTCCCACTGGATAACCAAAATCAGCCTGTACTACAAATAGGTATCAAAATATTTAACTACTGAATACCTGTAAGAGAGAATGTTTGTCTGTCTATGTGTGTCTAAGGTTGAAGCCAGAAGCTTGGGGCAAACCTTACCCAACTTTGCAGGGGAATGGTCTGAGGTACAGAATGGACATAGGCTTTTGATGGTCACCAGAATTCAAGAGGAAGAGGTCACATTCTGATCAATACAACAATTTTTAGTACTGCCTGCTGGCTATACCTAGCTAAATATTTAAAAAAAAAAAAAAAAATCCTTATAGCAATAAACACAAATGTTAATTGATCTCGGGAAAAATTAACAAATTGGCCATGTTGGCATAAAATAAATGATTCTCTCACAGCTTTAAATGCTTTCTCAAAACAAACAAATAACTATTGAATTTCTAACATAGTTCCAATCTACAAAAGTGGCAGCAGGGAAGACCCCCTCAATTATAGACCTGTATCATTGACAAGTGTAATAGTGAAAGTATTGGAAAAACTATTAAAAACTAAATGGGTACAACACCTGGAGAGAAAAGCTATAATATCAGACAGACAGTACGGTTTTTGATCTGGAAGATCCTGTGTATCGAATTTACTCAGTTTCTATGATCGAGCCACAGAGATTTTACAGGAAAGAGATGGTTGGGTTGACTGCATCTATCTGGACCTAAAAACGGCTTTCAACAGAGTTCCACATAAGAGGTTGTTCTGGAAACTGGAAAATATTGGAGGGGTGACAGGTAAGCTTCTAACATGGATGAAAAATTTTCTGACTGATAAAAAAATGAGGGCAGTAATTAGAGGCAATGTATCGGACTGGAAAAATGTCACAAGTGGAGTACCACAGGGTTCAGTTCTTGCACCAGTGATGTTTATTGTCTACATAAATGATATACCAGTTGAAATACAGAATTATATGAACATGTTTACTGATGATGATAAAATAATAGGAAGGATAAGAAACTTAGATGATTGTCATGCCCTTCAAGAAGACCTGGACAAAATAAGTATACAGAGCACCACTTGGCAAATGGAATTTAATGTTAATAAATGCCATGTTGTGGAATAGAACATAGACCCCACACAACTTATATATTATGTGAGAAAACTTTAAAGAATTCTGATATAGAAAGAGATCTAGGGGTGGTACTAGATAGAAAACTATCACCTGAGGACCACATAAAGAACGTTGTGTGAGGAGCCTATGCCACGCTTTCTAACTTCAGAATTGCCTTTAAATACATGGATGGTGATATACTAAAGAAATTGTTCACGACTTTTGTTAGGCCAAAGCTAAAATATGCAGCGGTTGTGTGGTGCCCATATCTTAAGAAGCACATCAACAAACTGGAAAAGGTGCAAAGACATGCCACTAAGTGGCTCCCAGAACTGAAGGGCAAGAGCTACGAGGAGAGGTTAGAGGCATTAAATATGCCAAAACTAGAAGACAGAAGAAAAAGCGGTGATATGATCACTACATACAAAATAGTAACAGAAATTGATAAAATCAATAGGGAAGATTTCCTGAGATCTGGAACTACAAGAACAAGAGGTCATAGATTTAAACTAGCTAAACACAGATGCCGAAGAAATATAAGAAAATTCACTTTCGCAAACAGAGTGGTAGACGGTTGGAACAAGCTAGGTGAGAAGGTGGTGGAGGCCAAGACCGTCAGTAGTTTCAAAGCGTTATATGACAGAGTGCTGGAAAGACGGGATACCACGAGCGTAGCTCTCATCCTGTAACTACACTTAGATAATTACATACACACACACACACACACATATATACTTGGTGAATATTCAAAAACCATTAATAAGCTAAGAAAATGTCCAAGCACCTTCAGGTCTTCAAGGCATTTTTAGCTTCTTTGCAGATTTTTACATTAATATACAGTACCATGGTCAAAGCACAGATAATAGCTTTGACCATGCCATTAATAAAATCAAAGTTATACTATTGGCTCCAACACTGTACTATTGATGTTAACTCAATTCTACTCATTCCATTCCATTCCATTCAAATTTGGTTCCAACATTATACAGTACTATTGGTTTCACCACAATACTATTGGTTCCAACAATATACCATTGGCTCCAACACTATAATAATGGTGTTAGTACTATATTCCCAAATCTTTTTTATTCACTTACTCTCCCCCTCTCCATCATTCTCTCTCTCTGAAAATTTAATATTACAAAGAACTGAAAAACTGCAAAAAAATCTTTACAGAAATCCATTCCCAGATTTCAGACGATGAAAATCACAGGGTTACTATACTGTAGATGCCGATATTTATCAAAGTGAGGCACATGGGCCGACCCTAACTGTCCTGCGACACTAAATCCCCATCCACATGTGTCACCTTGGAAAGGCAAGTGCAGCTAGCCACAAACATCTGGCCTCCAACCTCGGACAGTCAAGCATAAACAGACAGACTTTTATAGATATAGATTCTATCTACAATCATCTTTAACAATTTCTAAATATAATGTGGAAATGTTTTTGTAACTCTTAAAAACTATATCCTTCCTATGCTATACAATACTGTATTTATTCTTCAAAAGCTTTTTGTTGAGACATTTAAAAACTACAGTACTTTTAGTTTTCCAGCACTTTCTCGGACATTTTTTCTACTGGTGACAAGATCTTTGGTCGTCACCCTTCAACCGAGTTATTGCCAACCTCAGACTTCGTTACAATATATATTTTTTAATTTCTTTTATATAATACATAAAGCAACCATAAGCATCAAGCTAATACAGCCATTACAACAATACAATATCTCATTTTGCATTCAGATCTTTTTCTTGGTATTCTTTCATATTTATATACAAATTATTTTTGCAACTTTATTAAACCATAAAAATGATTATATATTAGAAAATTTGTATGGCACATTCTGCCACTAAAAAAATATTTTCAAAGAGTTCTTGTAATAAGATAAAAAACTAGATTAGTTTGTCTTCAAGATTAAGATGAACTCCTTTATAGTGAATATTCTAAATGCCTAGATAGCCAAGATTAGGCTAAGTTAGATTACCTTCAGTTAGGCAGTGTGGAAACACTAATTTACAATAGGCTTTGTAGAAATGAGGTTGCTGCAACTTTAAATTTTCAGTGTTAGTAAAGGTGGAAGTCAGGATGCATAGCAATATTATAAAAGATAACTTGATGCCAAGGACAATATTTGAGATAATAAATACACAATAAAAATTAGGACTGAAATCTGAAGCAATAAAGTTCCTGATAGACTCAAGACAAACATTACTTCAAAATCCTCTAAGTTTTCAATCTACTTTATGTCACAAAAATCAATATATGGTATTTAATAGCTTTAGAGTTTTTATTTTTATTTTTTGGCAAGTACATTATGGAAAAGACTGTTAATCATACTCCATTCCTGAATCAATGGAGTAGAACAAATACAAATATTTGTCCACTCTTTCATACTTTCAGCTGGCTCTTAATGATGTGTACAGAAATACTAGAGGATATATGTATATATTCTGTATACAGATATAATTCCAAAACTAAACATGGATCTTTGTCCTCATGAACATTTCAAAGTAAAAAAAATCTGAATTCAAGGCTTCCTTGCCAAGAACCTTAGAAAGTGTTAGAGAACTAGAAGCACATGTCTGGGATCTAATAATAAAAATGTGCAAATTTTCAAAATAAAATTACTGTAGATGATCTTGGTTAGATGGCAATTAATCACATTATGTATTGAATACCTAAATAAATTTTCTTGCACTACTGTAAGTGGATAATGCTCAGTCCAAGTACTTTGACCCAAGGCTTAGCTACACACTATAAAGCATCATCTAATATTTTCTTTTGTATATATTGTACTGTATATAGAAGCATAAATAGTTTGCAGACAGCACACACACACACACACATTAGGCTTAAAACCTGTTATTGTTGTGTACTAGAAAAACTTAACATTATAGTGAAATATGCAAGTGTTTATAACTACATGTATATATATATATAAATAGTACATACAGTACTACGTCTGCTGGGCAAATATCCCATACACGAAGCACATCCCAAAGGAGACATTCTAGTACACGATCTTTTCACAAAACTTGTTAAATGGTCTGCTTCTAGGTTGTTATATTCACACAAACTATGATCAGCACAAGCTACAACCACATTACATACACCAAAAAACTGCTAGAGTACCATATTATATTCATGCAACACACATTCTGCACATATCACACACAAAGACATACCAAGCACAATGGTGCCTAATAGTTGTGGGCCAAGGCTCTGAAGTGAGCATAGTCGACGATATAATTTGGGGATGCCCTTGCCTCCTATAGAGAACAAAAGTATTGTTTTGCTTAAACCAGCAAAGTCTAGTTCAAACATGTGTCATTACAAGCACATGCACCTTTGCATATATAATGCACATGAGCAAACCTAGATTATGTGGACATTCACTATTAAGTATTTACTGAATACTATTTAACACTAAATAACAGAAACAACAATAAAAGAAATTATGAAGAAAAAAATTTACTTTTATTTTGCAAAGTAAGTTAGTAAGCAATATTTTGAGTTCAAATTGTTATACAAAATTCTATATTTAATCTAAACAAATATTTGTACACATAAATATTTGTAAAAGATAAAAAATACTTTCAACGTACAGGTATATTTTTCCTTTCATTCACCTGGACTGTATGGGTCTCGAACCGTGACCCCACGTGTGTGAGGCCATAGCTCCATCAATATAGCTCTGTCCACATTTTTTCTGATAACTGTGTAATGACTGCATATTTAAGTACAATGCTAAAGAGATGGCTGAGTGAATATAACAAGCACCATTCTCAGCTTGATCATTTAGTTGGTCCCTCAAGATAAAATATGTCAAGTCCTCTTGACAAGAAATCGACACAAGACATTCCCGGCAGCTTTTCAAATAATCCTTGCAGATAGTCACTAGAGTTAACCTTAATCCAGCATGGCAATATGGAGTGATCCATAAAAACTCAAAACTGCATAAGAATCCTTCCTTGTTCTCATACCAAACAAGGTCTCCATCTAAGCCCACTACCCGCACACCAACCTAATAAGCCTCCGCTCCAGCAACCTCCAGATGGTAATTCCCTCAGTCACCACAGCATGGTTCCCATCCACTCTACACACAGAAAATAATGGAAAAACAAAAGAGGAAGAAGGACTTGAGGCAACCTCTATCTCAGTGATATTAACTCGACTCTACTAACTTCGCTACAAATGTATACCCGGTACTGTACTGCTAAATTCAAAATGCAAACTATATCATATTACAAGTGATCAAACTGTCACTCTTCAAGGCTACAAAAATATTCTACACAATACCCATCAACCAAGTTTCATAAAAATAATTGAGAAATCACTAACCAGTATCACCCCGATGAAATGAATGCTGGGTATCCATCATGGCGTCGGCAAGGTCATCTCGCAGCTGCATCATCATAGTTTCCGGATCTAAACTGCCAGAATCGCCACCATATCTCTCCATAAGTCTTGGCGATTGATCGTGACTACCAGCTATAGGATAAGACATTAAAAATGGTTAGCAAATTTCAACTAGTAAATTTAAATTTACAGTAGAGATTTACAGTACAGTAAATTTAAATTTACAAATTTAAATAATTTAAATTTGAGGTAATTTATTACTTCTAGTATTCTCATGTTACCCCATGGTTATTAGTTATAATGGTGTACTTATTTATTTGATTTAAAATGGCATGAAAATAATGGTCAAAGTAATCATTAATGATCTGAGATTCAAATGATGCAATTTAAGAATCTTTATTAATAAATAAAACACAGATACTGGTATAATCCAAATTGTTTCCAACTAAATCTTTCATATTTACAGTTAAGCAATTTACTGAATTAGCAATAACAAATCTTTGAAATTGTTTACTATTCATATGAATTAAAAACAAGTTAACTAAATACAAGTACAGTATTCAAAAAGCAAATGACCAGTTGATGACAAAACCACATACCAGAAAACAAAGAAATGCCGACATTTCGGTCCATCCTGGACCATTATCAAGCTGTGTGTGACTTGAAAATGGTCCAGGATGAACCCGAAATGTTGCAGCTCCTTCATCTTTTGGTGTGTAGTTTAGTCATCGTATCTTCAGCCACGTTATTGTGACTCGTCTGCAAATGACCAGTTCTATAAATACCATATTAAATAATATTATACAGAATATTTTAAATAATATCACAGGTACATTACAGTACTTACTAAGTGAACCAGCTTCAATCAGTACTGGAACACTTGCACCACCAGTACCAGGCATGTTGACTGGTGATGACCGTGGAGGACGGTCCAGGGAAGAAACAGAGATGGGAGTTCCTTCATAACCTCCCTGGCCACCTCCAGCATAGCCTGACCCCACACTAGGAATTGATTTGAATGTAAACTGTGGACCCATCCAGAGCCGCCGATGAGGCCCAGAATGTGTGTGAATTTCCACCTGGAAATTATAATTGTCATGTAGCCATATAAAGGCAATATATTATTTGGCAATTAAATCTGTTGAAACAAATATCTTAACTGGCACAACCAAACCTGCATGTAGAGAGAGAAACTGCATTAAAATTAATTTTATACAGTATATACATTTTGATCTGTAAACTGAGAATGACTTACAACATACATGACTCATTTAACAAAAATTTTTGTTTCCCACAAAGCTCACTTGTGCTAAAACCAGGTGTTTTTTTACTTACATAAACATACATCCACCCCACCATTTTCCACTTTCCAGGATGGGGGGTATCATCAGCTCGGAGAAAAATAGAGGTCGGGACAAAGAAAGTAACCTTTCTGAGAATGAACCTTGGATGCCCTCAGAGTCAGCTTTTAAGAGTAAGTCCAAAGGGCTGTTTATACGGGTGCAGTTTAAGAGTTAAAGGCCTCAACTTAATGCATGTGCAGTTAAAACATGAATAAAAATGCATGAGCTATAAATCAAAAGAGTAAATACTTAGAATTCTCATTGATAAAAAAAATAGATATAAAAGATAATCAAGTACATGCGTTTTTATTGAAAGTTTATAGCTTTTCAAACCTGGGTTACCTGAAAACACAAACAATTAATAATAATTCAATTAACCATAATAAGTATAAAAATAAGAATCTAACTTAATGTTACCTGGGCCATCCACCGTTCCTCTGGGTCATCATGATCAAAAGAATGGGCAGGCGACAGTGAACGCGGTCGTGTAGGTGATAAAGGAGTCAATAGTGGAGATGTCATATCTAACGGAGGTCTCAGTTCCACACTAGTGGATTCTCGAACCAGTGCCCACTGAGCACTAGCATGAACCTGAGGTAGAACAATATCTTAACAAGCCAATTCCCACAGAAACAGAAATGTGTGTGCAGCTATTATCATAACACTTCCCACATTAACAGGCCTGACAATCTCAGGCACAACTGCCTTTGTGAGCATCTGAGTGGAATAGGTAACCAAAAATCAGGTATTCAGTAAATATAAAAAGTTACATTCTAAATAAGACACCTGAATGCTCATTCTTCCCTAAGAGTTCCTAATTTTCCAGTGCCTTTTTTCTTTATATCAATCATGATTAAATTAAATAATATTTGTAAATATTTTATTATTATACAGTACTGTAGTTCTATGATCCAAAAGAATATATGACAGCTTGCCTCTAATTCAATAGGCGAGTCTTCGGTAACCTTGTCCTGGGGTATACTGGCAGCAGGATGAGGCTCGAGATGATATTCCAAGAGGTTTCCATGATAAGCCATTACAAAAAGTGAATCCATTGTTCTTCTTTGCTTGTCTCGTGGTACAGTCGGGGACCCGGCAAGCCAGCCACGGGGACTTCCAAATACAGAAGACACCTAACAGACGAGTGAAAAATATACACACTATTATTAAATACCTATATTTAAGGCAATTAATATCTTTATATAATAATCTTCCATATATACAGAAAAATATGCTTATTACATTTATTTAGCCACAAAATAGTTAATTATATTTTGTTCGCTTTTCATATTCTACAACCAGCTCAATTATTACATTTAAATATCTTACTTTGTCTCAAACTACAGTTTACAGTTAAAAACAATCCTTTTCACTACTCTATTGTAAAACAAAATTAATTCAGAGTAAAACTGAAAAAAACTATTATCACTTCCTATCCCTCATTCTATAAACTAGCGTAAAACAAAATTATTACTTTTGTAGTCACATGGAGCATATGCAATTGCAAGAGCAACTTTTACCTTTTCAAACCTAAAATAAATGAGCAAGCACTTTATATTGCAGCATGAGAAGTAGTTCATGCTCATTCTACTCTTGTTATTCATTCATACTTATTTTTGTCCATTCATGAAACCACTAGGATTCCTAATGCTCTAACCTTGATTATGTCATCACCGCTTGGAGACTTTGGAGACTTGGTACTAGGAGGACTTCGACTTGGAGACGGACCTGTACCCATGGAACCTTCATAATAAAAATGATCTATATATATATATAAAATGATCTATATATATATATAGATCATTTACTTTATATAAATATATACTTTAGAAATTCAGTAAAGAGTGAATGAAAGAGTGTCGAGTGAATGAAAGAGTGTCGAGTGAATGTCTTGCCCAAATTTAGTAACATGCTGAAAGCTATACTCTTAGTGTCCTGTGTTTCCTATAATCTTTGTCTATGAACTTTTGAAGTCTTCAATGGTTCTGGCAGACAAGAGCCCTCACAATTTAATTTAATTTATTTTACCCATTTACCACCCTGTTTGGTTTGGAAAAAGAGAGTTTTGTGTGAACATGTATGTACATGTATAATTATCTAAGTGCAGTCGTAGATGTATGAACATGTGTGTGTGCATGTTTTTAGCTGTTTATTTGTACATTTTCACTACTTAGTATATAATCCTATATATATATATAAAATAGTAACCAAGAGGAATAAACTTGATTACAGAGGAATGGCAGATAAGGCAAAACCAAACTTAACATACTTTGAAGTACAGTATATTATTTCACTAATTATAATGAAACTAAATTAATCTCAATAACAAAGCAAAACTATAAACCTTAAAGATTAATCTGAATATCAGAGTATAGTATATGACACCAATTCAATGCTGTACAATCAAAAGGCCCCCTTTTTGTAAGTAACCCCCTCCCAAAAAATTAACATTGTAAGTTAATGAACAGAAACAAAACTTCGCAGATGAATGTACGGATAAAGAGACAATCATCTGAAAAACTGGCCCATAAATTTTGTCCCTCTGATATCTCTTTCTTTGGATTAAGATTAATTAATATTTAAGAGATGTGGTCTCTTGTCTATTTACAGAATAACAATAGAATGTTTCCCATTTCAGAAGCAGCATTCTAATCCAGGAAATAAGCGGATCTGCTTCACCAAAAATCTATACTTATTTTTCATTAAAATTGATCACAGGATTGCAACAGAGTCCTTCCGTTACATCCTGACTTCCAGAGAACCGGGTGCTATTCGAGCAGGATTACGCCGTTGTTCTGATGCATAATTAATTAAACAAAATTACTCACCAATGAGATTTTGCAGTAGAGGCTGTCTAAGTTGTACAAGAGGTTTTATGATGGTTGGCGTTGGATAAGGTGGGTACCGTGGATTAGGATAAGCCAAATTAGGGCTTACTTCGAAAGCAAATTTTGAGGAATTAGGCGAAGCTGAAAGTACTGGTGAATTACGTCCTGATGAAGGAGTGTCATCAAGCCCTGCACTGCGATGGAAACGACTTAACCTGGCAAAATTACAAAACATTTGTCATACAGTATATTGTAGGCGTTACTATAAGGACATAATGCTGATTAAATGTATAGAGAGACATGTGGGTGAGGCATAAAAGTCTGTTAAACAGGAACAAGATGTATTCACCATGACATTTGTGTTCAAGACCATTTGAAGCTATTGTTAACCTGTTGACTGTGCCACCAATTGGTACTAGGAGGGTCATACAAGCTGTATGACTAAAAAATTTAAACAACCTTTTCATGGCAAACAAAATTAAAAAGTCAATTTTCTTGTTGTTTCCATTTTCCAATAAATAATTTTGTATTTATTTGTTTACATTAGTTCTTCACATTGTCTTCTCATCATCCTAATTTTGAGATATAAATTTTGCCAATATATATGTCTTACTGCTCTAATGATAAACTGCACATTGTTTTACCAATATATGTATATATCATCATTCAAATTGTAAGCTAAATGTTATTCAATTTATGCCAAAAATGTTAAGTTTAACTTAGACTGATGTATACCTGTGCAGTCCAGCTATTATTGTAACAATTTGTGTAAGTTGCCTTGAATAAGCTTTCTAATTCTAATTATATGGACCAAGTAACCTGAACCAGGGTATACAAGACCCCAAGGCATACTGTATTATCATTTTAAATACAACCAATGAACATAATCATTAAGTTTTGGGGAGGAGGAACAGGAGGGGGTATTTTATTTTTTTTTTAGTCCATTTTCATAACATTTTTAATAATAACATAGTGTGTTCTTTCTGTATATACCACAAAGACTTTATAAAAATATTACACACAGTCTATTACATATACACATACATACTCTCCTTTCCCACCCATACCATTATCTTACCTGTTAACTACACAATTTGAGGTGTGTGTTCGAACTCCAATATTTCCCCCATAAGGTGTTATGGGAAAAACATGTGTTGTTCCCCGATGAGTTGAAACGGCCACCCAACGTGAATCAAGAGAAAATGATATGTCAGTAACCTGGAAAATAAAAATGGCAAGTGAACTTCATTGTGAAAGAAAACCTCAACTAAACCTTAAGCTTAACAGTTTTATCCTTTACAATGCATTGACACACACTGTCTTGTTATGAATGAAGGATGACAGGGTTCAGTGGGTTCATGACCATTAATGTTCTTGGCATCTCAGGGTCACACTCAAGTCACCCCCAAAATGTTTATACTCTTTTTACATTTTCTCAGCTAGTTTTTGAGTTATAAACTATAAATTGGGTGTCAAAACGTTCATAAATGAATTTGCTAGAGAATAGAGCTCATATAAAATATGTTTTTAATAATAGTTCATGCATGACAGTCCTGAATATATGAATTTTTATGAAAGTTTCAGCATTCCTCATGTATTTATCAAATAAAAATATAAAATATGGAAATATGGACATATAGTATCACAATATAAGGAGATATACATAACTTTCATACTTTTCCTACAGGGAACTTGCAAAGAATAGTGAAAATATTTAAAAGCAGAGCAATTATAATTGTTCTGAGTGGGAAGTAGTTACTTGATGTGAGCTCTAAATTATGATAAACTATTGATAAACTGTTAAAACTATTCATGCTGTGCTCAAAAAATTACAGTACAAGTAACAAATTAATGAAAATATAGTAGGTGATTTTTGGTAATTTTAAAATAGATGATGAATTTTACTGTGATTAGAATTTTTACTGTCAAAGCATGGATGGTGCATTTGAACATCACCAGAAAGCCAGTGTTAAGTATCATTACACTGGCAAATGATGAATGAATCATTTTTTAAAAATCCATTTAAAACAAATGAATCAAAACACTGATACACAGGATCAGTCATTATAGCATATCCTCCCTCAAAAAAAAAGCAAGGATATCATTCCTTGCCCTGTCAACTGCTAGCTAAATTTTTTAATTGATAATTTTCCTTCATATATCAAAGCCTAAATTATACATTTCTTGTAATAGTGCTCCTTTACCTTTGCTGTGGTATCGCCTCTATGTAGTGTGTACAGATGATGAATAGCAGATTGGGAGGCAGACAAAGGATGAGGCTGCAGGCGGAAGAGATGGAAATTGTGACCCTGCTTGTCAGCTGTAAGCAGCAGCATTCCTGTTGGATCAAAGCTCAGTGCCACAATGGGAGCTCCGTGGTGAGCAGTAAAGTGAGCGACGATGCCATTAGTGGTGCCACTACTCATAAGACTTATCTCGCCAGAACCCACTATCTGATGCAAAATAAAAAATTCTGCTATAAACCACCAGAAATCAACAAAATCTTAAAATACTAATATAAGGAGAAATTAAAATTATACAAATGAAAAAGTGAATGAAATAATTATACAAATTTAATGATTTGCATAGTGAACTTGAAGGACATTTCCCACACTTAATACCCAATCACATGAAATATTTACTATTATTTTTTTACTTTTTAATACAGACAATTAAGAATAAAAATAATCATAAATGCAAAAATAAACACTAGAATCCTACCTGAGTGTCGATAACGGTTACAACACCAGGTGTGGGAAGGTTCGTCGGAGGAGTCTGCTGGGCTTGAGATCCTACCCGCTGACCCATCAGGTTGGACGCAACACTCTCACTTAGTTCTTTGAGACCCTGGAGAATGAGGCATACATGTTCGGTTATCTTGTTAAATTTATAATCTATATAAGAAATACATAAGAAATATATGAATACAGTAGTAAAATACTGATAAAATTAACTTGATTAAAGGAATGAAGCCAAGAGAAAGAATTATAACTATTTTCTGAGCAAGGTCCCTTCAGATGTCCACTGCACCAGAGCCAGAATCTATCCAAAACACCGCTTACAAGCCAGGAACTAGTGGACTATTTTCTGAGCAAGGTCCCTTCAGTTGTTCACTGCACCAGAGCCAGAATCTATCCAAAACACTGCTCACAAGCAAGGAACTAGTAGACTTTTAGTGCGGCCATGACAAGAAACTTTCCAAATAGTCTTGCCATGTAGCTGGAGAAGAACAGTGAAGAGCTCTAATACCAAGAGAAATCACTAGCAATAATACCAAAGTGCAGAGCAAATCTCTGAATACCCACAAGTAATAATGTTAATTGTAATTATACCCAGAATTGTAACCCAGTTCCTCAGGGCTATGCCCTGGAGAGTGTTTCACCAAGCCATCACACTGATAATTGGATATCCTTGCAAGTCATGTTATCACATGCAGATGTTAAGAAGTTTGTATAGCTCTTTCGTGTTTCAGTGGATGGTTTCTTTCAGTAATGAATTGAGACTCCATTGCCTCCCCCTCAAAATCACGTGGCAAGACCACTTGAAAAGTTCCTTATAAATGGTCTATAAATCGACTCAAGCCTGGTTGAGTTGATTAATAGTGAAGTGAACAGTGTCCTGGGTTGACGATGGCTCAGGAAGCAACTGAGGGACTGATTAGAAAGAAGCATTTCAATCTTCAACACTTTTTTTTGGTTTAACATTGTAATTTTAACCCAAGGTCAAGCACCGGAATTTGGGGAAATATTCAGTGATGTTTCACAAATAAATTGAAGTGGCCATGGTGATACAGTGTAAAACGATAGTATTGAGGCCTTGTACAATACATTATTAATGTTGTATACAGTATATTATTAATATAGTGTACCATAGATTATAAATTCAGAAATAAAAATGTTTACTGAATTTATAATGAATTTCAAGTCAATAAATAATAAATAGCCGGAGAAAACTCTTCCATTACAAATAAAAGAATTTCAAATCTTTGAAACGTTTTCTTCATAAACAGTGTCCACACAACATTACTGAATACTGTAAGAAGTTGTAACATTATAAATATTTTATGCATCAAAGTAATTTTGTTATGGGGGTTAAAGCTTTATGCAAATGTACTATACACAAGAGATGTGCAATACTGCACAAATTTAGGTGTTCAATGTTTAAGGGAGAGTCTACACCCCCAACTGGTGTGGTAAAATGTAAATGTAAAGTAAAATGAAGACACGCATTAGCCAGCCCAGGGGCCAGATTCACGAAGTAGTTACGCAAGCACTTAAGAACCTGTACATCTTTTCTCAATCTTTCGGGGGGGGCTTTGTTTACAATTATTAAACAGTTAATGAGCTCTGAAGTACCAGAAGGCTGTTTATAACAACAATAACAGTTGACTGGGAGGTTTTCATGCTTGTTAACTGTTTAATAAATGTAACCAAAGTTGTCAAAGATTGAGGAAAGATGTACACGTTCGTAAGTACTTGCGTAACTGCTTCGTGAATCTGGCCCCAGAACTGAAGTGGAAAATAAAATTTGGTGAAGAATACTGTACAGACAAAGAATTTTTAGAATGCTGTATGTACAAACATGTTTTGAAAGAAAGTAGTAATCCCTTTTAATATAAGTCAAAATGAACAGTAGAAATTATGTACCAGGACTGTAATTTTCAAAAACATAAGAACAAGAAGGCATTTTCTGGCAGCACAAGACCGCACTACAATAATAAACGTTTCACAATATATTAAAACCTTCAGTGAAAATGTTGCATGTAGCATTAGCAATAAATCTGCATGGAAATACAGTACGCAGTTGATCTATCTCTGCTGCATGGAGGTGATACTCTAATGTTATTAATTTGTTTACTGGCCATTATAAATTTCACACACTGAAAGCTTAAAAGGTAATGTGTATAAGTATTTAACAATCTAACATCTAATTCAGAATACTACAAGAAATTAACTTCTGAAACTTACAAGACAACATACAATACAGTACTGTACTTCTATATTAAGTGCAGTATTTCTACTGAAACATTAAACAAAATATCTGTTGAAGTTCTAAATTTACTGAACTAACGATCTACAGTATGTGTACTTCATAGCTTATATTACACGAGTGAGATTATTAAGTGATATAAGAATACTGTAAGCAGGGAAGGCCCCCTATGAAAATCAAGGGATAAAAATAAGCAGAGCCAATTTTTAAAAGAAAAACAAAATACTCAACTAGCTTGAATGTGTATGTGCTGCTCATGAAAATATGTAAATATTGTATAGAATTATTTAACATTATAACTAGTGCATCTAATAACTACAGTAAGAGGCTCACTGGAGCCTGTGTTTGCTAACATTAAACCCATAGAACAGATACAGAACATAGTGTACTGCATTCCTATGTTCATTTACATCACCATCAAACACAATAAAATCATCCATCCTGTGCCCAGTGCCCAATGCAAAACGAAACAATGCCTGTAAGGTCATATCTTCAAAGGATGGCAATCATCAGAAGCAAGGAAAGGACAGGAAGGCCAAATACAACAACCAGCAATCAGGTGTGTTCCTACAAGGCGTTAAAAAGACAGGTGAAAGAATGTGTGTTAAAAATGGTAAAGATGACATGGCAACTACTGGCCTACTATTAACCTATTTCCAGGATGAATCCCACAATAGTTACCTAACTCCCAGGTACCTATTTATTGCTTGAAGAGAGGCATTCGGTGAAACAAAATTTGCCCAACTGTTTCTGACGTGCCCATGGATTGAATCCAGATTCCTCATTTGTAAGCCAAGGATTACAAACCTTGGCTTACAAACAAGGTTGTAATCCAAGGTTTGGATTCTCTTCTTGGTTACTGGGAGAACCACCTTCAATGGTTCCTCTCAGCAGGTATGAGAGGCAACAAGATGGATTTAGATAATATGATGGTTCCTTACCATCATATTATCATCACATCACTATCATAGGCTAACATAATAATCATCACTGCATATACTGTATATATTGAGGCATTCTTTTAACCTTTGCATACAGACTACTTTTGAATATATTTCATGTTAAAAATAAACAAAAATAGTTCAATAATACTCAAATCTTTTTCAGACCTTTCTTAGCATCACAGAGACTGCCATGTTTTTGCATCTAGCACAGAAATGAGCTTTTCATTTTCACTTAAAACTTGATTTCTGAGCTATTCTGCTCGACTGTAGATTCCCAGATGTACAGATACAAACTGTACCAGAAAGCAGAGACTGTATGGTAAATCTGACTACCAAGCTGAATTGTAAAGCAGAATGTAAACAATGGACTCATACTGTGGGCCTATGTGATGAAAGCAATACAGTATGCATTCACTCCTCTGAATTTATGATTCATATGCAAGAAGTTTACAGTGTCTAATGTTTATATTTTATTTATTGCCCTCACAATAAAGCATAATGGATTGTACTGTCAATTAGTACCTTTGCTAAAGAAATGCTGATTATTACCAATAGTTTCAATCCTAGAGCAGAGAAAGCAAAATATAAAGAAACCTAATCAAAAGTACTACAAAATATGATTAATATGAAATATAAAGCGAGCAAACTGAAGTGGCAATAATTTATAATAATGTTACCATACAGAAAACTGCCATGCACTTTTTTATCACTGTGATACAGAGTATTTCCAAGTCAGGGACTTTTTCTTTCTTTCTTTGTGCTGTTCACACAGTGCAATTTGAAAGTGCCATACTTTCCCTGAAAATACTTAGCAAAATAGAATTAGGAACAAAAGTAGGCCTTTCTTAAGTTAAAAGAAATTTTAATTTTGTCTTTTAGTTGATGAAATAAGCTTTGAAATTTTTTTCAAATAGCTCAATTATAAATTTCTTAATTTAATTAACAGCAAACTAAATTTCAGGGCAGAAGCTCATAAAATGTGCAAAACGTGAGGGACAGCTCGAAAGCAGCAGTGTTTTGAAAAAATATCGTGTTTGCAAAACAATCAATGCAATCAAAAGCTTCTGTGTTCTACAAACCTTAGTAAGGGACTTGGCAGCATGAAAAGTAAATGCACAAGACCTTAACGCATGTATTGAACTTAGAAAAAAACAGCCACATGAAGCTAAACACTCGTGAACAAAACTGTAAACATGTTTCCAATCAGCTTGCTGAAACCAACTTCATGTAATGTACCTACAGTACTCCAACTTCTTATTGACTAATACACTCCCACCTGCCAGTCTTTTCAGTGACTTCCTATGTCCAATTATACCTCTTTGAATCATAACATTACACATGATTCATGCAAGTATAAAAAATGTGCTAGGAGCTATGGTCTGCCCATACCATTACACCACCACCAGATAGAAACCCCCAAGCAAAGACCAAGCCCTCTGACTTGACACATTCTTCCTGAATGGTCCCCCATGATTGTTGAGCAGGCTCAAGACCAAATTCAGTCAAGTGCCTTGGATTTCCTCCTAAGAAACTTTGATTTCATTTGTGCATGACATATTTTGTGTGTGCCTGATGACTTAACTAGCATGTGACCCGGTGTATCCTTCTTTGTTCTGTTTTGGTTTGTGGGTTCAGCAAGGAGTTCCTCCTCTCAACATTCCCACTACATTCACAGTTTCTTCAAGAATTTCCTGAAGGAAAATAATTTTTGGAATTAGGAAAAAAGGCAAATAACTAAACAGCAATAAACAAAATATTCAACACACCTTGGTGAGGGACTTTGCTGCATGAAAGACAGTGGCTTTGTATGATGTGGATCCCTCAGAAATCATTCCACCACATGACTGATGTAGGGGAATGAGGCGCCGATCTGCATATGCCAACCAACGGTCACCTAAGGCTATTGGATTCACACTGAAAACAAGAACAGTAAATGATATTCCTGAATTCTCTCACTTTTACACAAACTGATAACAAAATATTCACATTACACAACATTCAGGAGGAATGAGTTTTTAATGCCAAGGCCTTTGGTGCAACATTACCATATCAAGTAGCATACAGGTTGCCATAGAAACACTATCATAGAAAATATCCAAAGGGAAATTTGTAATCCTTATCATGCTTAATGGGACAGCCCTCCCTCCCTCTTTACATCATAAAAACAATTTCCCAGCACAAGCAAGTGGCGACACAAGAACCTGACCTAAACGGCAGTCAAAAATTTGACTGTATTCTACACTTGAAGGTGGAAGACATATTTCATATGCACATATTTTCTGCACATATTTCATTTGTTTTGAGGCTAAATTTAAGGAGAATCATACAATCAAGGTGTATAGATGGTAAGGAACTAATGAACATGGATAATGCAAGTTTTAGATTTTCTATACAGCACAGGACTTAAAGAGCTTATCTACATGTTTTTCTTTCATAGAATGCTAATTTCTTATTTTACGTCTCGCACTCTTTTTGCCTCAATTCATACAATGACTTTTGAATATTATCAAACGAGTGCTTAGAAATGATGATGACCGAGGGTCAAGAATGCTGAAGATAGTGGGAGATGGATTATGCTAGAAAAAAGATAACCAGAGTACAAGAAAGTTACACGAGGTACAGTAGTAGCCACAGCTTACAGCTTAACCAATGTGATCTTCTCTGAGTGCTAAGAAGAAATGCACATGAAAGATGCACAGGCAATGGCAAAACCTGAAAAATGATAAACTTCAGCAAGGGCTTTAATATAATTATAATTTAATGAAGAATTCACTAACAAGTGGTCACACTTCATCAAAGCATTTACCTTGAAACAGATATATATAAAATAATGAAGATGATATGTCAATTCAAATATTTGAAGACGAAAAAGAACAAACTATGATACAGTAACAAAGTCCATTTGAGAAATATTAAAGATGCAAGAGTATTGAGAATAAAATGCAACATCAGTTGTGATGAGGTCTACCAAAATTGACGAGGCAATCGCAATACGTGCAATCGAGAGGAAAAAATAAACTTCAAAGGAGCATACCTGGGGCCAGGACAGGGGTAGCACGTAGTGACAGTGAAGGTATCTTCCAGAGATGCAGCATCAAAAACAGCTAGTTTCTCCGGAAATGCGATGACGACAACATTCTTATTTGCATTGATGTCATAAACTGGATGTTTGAATTTTATAGTTTTCACCTAAAAATAAAGAATTTGCTTTTCATTTTCTTAAGAGTTCTGTAAGAATGATCAATGTTGCTTTGACACTGATGTTGTCATCAGACAACAAATATGGTCTTACATCACTGTAAAAGTGCACCCCATGTAAAATACTAAGATAAATATTGGCTTTCCATCTGAAGAAGTGCTTTCTTGAACCCCTCTATGCCCCTTTTATTTTTTCTTCTAACTTCACAATATTCACGTACAATGTCTCCTAGTTGATCAATGTCCTTTCCTACACCTTTTGCCAGCATTATCTCCCTTCTAGCTCTTTTTTTTTTTCACCTTCTAAGGAAGGATGGGTACCCCCCCATTCCTCAAGCAGTTTTACTCTTAAAATATACCATGCCCCTTATTTTGTAGTTAACATTACAGTATTCAGATGAAAATACAAAAATTATTTGGAATAGAAAACAATCTACCAAACAAGATATTAGCATAATAAAAGGTATTAAAATAAAATAATTTAATTCAAAACACAGCTGAAAATCTGTCACCTTCAGAAAGGTAAATTTAAAGCTAGAAAATAAATTACCAACTCTAAGCATTATTATATAAATAATAGTTGTGAAAATAGTAATACCTCAGAATTCATATGCCATAAGAAGTATAAAATATGCTTCGAGCTTGGAAGAAGCTCCTTTCCATGCATTATGCCACTCCCAGAGGGTATTTAAAATGCAGTAAGCTACATCCCAAAGCATCTGAGCTTGTCACTCAAGTCACAAGACTGGGAGTGACAGGAGTCTTGTGACAGGAGGGAGTGAAACTTACTGGAAGCCTTATGATAATATATTATATATTATTATATTACAGTATATGTTATCTACAACTTCATGTTGTAGAGGACACAGCCTGGAACGTGAGTGCTGGAAGAGCACATTTCGCCCTTTCAATATAGCAATAAAGTTGAATCTATTCACCCGATGTTAACTTCTGAAAATAATACTCATGGCCCTCTTCATCCTTAACCAGCGTGGCACCAAGCAAATTACAGAATTTAGAAATTTCCATTGTTGGACTAGGGCATGGAGGGAATACCAGGTGGAAAGGTTTCATTCAAGAGATGCTATTGAGCATCTATTGAGTACATTGGCTTCCTTTCAGATGCCTGTTAAGGAAACATCAGCTGGCTAGTATTTAGTCAGCCATCATGCTAAATAAATATGGTAGTGCTTGGTCCTCTAGATTCAACTAACCCAGTCTGATAACCAGGCTGATTATAAATGTGCAAACTTTCTATGTCCAAACAGGACATAGAAATTTAAGGTGGTAAGTCTTGATCAAGGGACCTCACAGAGAAAACCATACATGTCTGTTCTGAATTGTCCAATGTTTAGAACTTCACCAGTAGAAAAAAACACAATCATTAAAACCCAAGGTGGAAAAGTATGTTGTCATGAGACCCCCCACACACTGAAATACTAAAACTCAGAACCCAGCAATGGAAAGGTCTAAAAGTAAGTACTAGTCATTCAGCATAAAGCAGATCTTTAAAACACCATAACAACTATGTTCAGTTGAATAGCAGAGGGTCAACCGTGAATATAACCCCCATAGCTGGGGACAATAAGAGGAAAACCAAGAACTGGACAAACCAGGAACTGGACCACTGGGAATACAGATAGAACACTGAAGAAGCCACATCTGATGGCAATGTTCTTCACCTGCCTACTGTCACTACTGCAGTCAGGATGTGTGTGATCAGTGAATGTGGGCAGAACTTAGGTTCTGTGATTGGGTCAAAGCATGAGCAGAACTCTCAGAGCAAAATGATTTTGATTAAACTGATTGTTAGCAAACTTCCAAAGCACCTTGGCAATACAGGAATGCTACAAAAATAAGCCCCTGTGGTATTCTGTATAATATCTGCCTGACTCCAATAATCCTATGAGAGTGCATCAGATCAGACACCCTCTGAAAGCAGCAGAATGCACGTTCAGAAAAAGTAGAATTTTAGTACATACCTGTTCACCTGTTTTTAGCGATATAAAGGAAACGGTGCAGAACTGAGGGCCAGGCCCAGCAGTATCACACAGTGCAATAATTGGCCGCTTATGGGAATAATGATCAACAGTACTCTCAGAGGTGGAGGGTGTTGGCAGGACCTTGAGAGTACGCACAGCTCCCTGACGCCACGACAAAACTTCCATGGCCTCTCCATTGACTGGTATAACCCATGCCTGCAAACAAACAGAAATTATCACCCATTTTGTTAATCTTCTCTTCTTTTATTAATAATTTATACATCCCCCACTGTTTACAGGAATTCTAAGCTGCACTGAAGTGCCTTCTTTAGCCAATATAAAAGCCATCTGATTATTCCACACAATTCAATTTAGTGGCTGACATAAAATGTCTACAAAAAGACTTAATAATAAAAATTCATAAAAGCTTCCATAATTTTTCCTCTCATATTTTTCTATATTTATTCCACTTTCTTTCCATCAACATTATCTTTATGCAATTTCTGTCTGTGATGTAATATTGAAGATGAAATAAACAAAACTTTATATAGTTTTGACATTCTGTATCAAAATCAAATTGGAACCCTGTACAATCACACTTGCTGATAGGGAGAAACATATACAGGTAGGTACTGTACTTTTCACTTCAAAATTAAATATACTGTATTTGGCTTAAGGGGGCCCGATTCACCGACATTAGTGAAAGACATTGAAAAATGCGAAACACAGTAAAATATGCCTAAAAAGTAGAAAAATGTAGCAACACTTTGGTGCAAAAAATATGCCAATGATGACGTACATACAGTATATTATGCCCTTTTCACCATACCACTATGGGGTTTACTGTACGGGTTGACTGCCCTGGGCAGCTCATGTGGACCCCTTGCTCAAAACATCTCATGTTTATATAAATAATTATTCATGCAAATTCTGTATAGATACTGTATATAAGTTTGTTTTATGCTTGGCTAGCAACTCTCAACAAGTCAAAGGTTAACACTTGGTGGGAGTTAATAACTGGTTAACAATTGACTCTGTATGGTAACCTGTTATTGTCTGGACTCACCATACCAGCTTAGTGGTTCGCTATGGTGAACACAAATGTAGACATGTACATATATATATATAACGTGTGTGTGCATATAGTGTAATAACAACAAAAGGAGTAAGTTGGGAGGAGCTATTTTGGTGAGGGAGGTGGTGTCATCTGCTGGCTGATATGTGACTTGTCATGCTGTGTAGGGTGGCTACTATGATGTTTTGACACCAAACCAGCTTAGTTGTACAGTTATGGTGAACAAAACTTATAGATACTTATATATAACATGTGTATATAGTGTAATAACAGCACAAACAGTATGGTGGGAGGAGGAATGTTGGCGAGTGAGGTGTTGAAGTTGGGAGGGAGGTGGTGTCTGCTAGCTGGTGTGTGGCAGCCATTCATGTTGTTTGGACTCACCATACCAACTTAATGGTTCGTTATGGTGAACAAAACGTGCAGATATTTATATATAATGTGTGTATATAATGTAATAACAGCAAAACTATTTGTTTATTGTTTTATGAACATAATTGAATCACTAATATGCACACCATACTTTTGAGTATAGTGATGGTTCACACATTTTATTATATGAATATATCACACTACACACTATTGAATAATATTATTGAAAAAAAGAGCAGAGAAAGAATCAGACATTGAACTAATTAGGTAAAAATATCTTTGTGGCAACTCCCACCTGACAGTGCGGGTGGAGCAAACTGCCTTCAATGCTTACTGTCAACGCCTCAATTTTTCCAGACTTCCTCGCCCTATTGCGGCATAAATGACACCAACGATTTTTTTATTATTTTTCCCGTGATCAGGGAACACGTTTTAACAATCTTAGAAGAAAACAAAATTTTGAATTTTTTTGTTTTTTGCTTGTGCTTAGCGATGTTGCAGACTATAACCCCCAAGCGCCTCCCAATGGTTAAGTAGCATTATATGTACTCTAAATCGTTCATTTTACACCCCCCCCATTCAAGATGCCTTTCTCTTCAAAGTGTTCTAAATGTCAACTGAAGGCAGCACGTGCAAGAAAATGTAGATATGCACAACAAGAGACAATGCATGATGCTGTCTCCAGAGTGCCACGAACTAGTGATGCTACCAGCTCAACACCCGACCAGAGCATAGCAGGAACATCACAAGACATTGGTGATGATGCACTAGTAGGAACATCACCTGCACAGGACACTCTCCAGACATAATAATGAGAGAGTTTTCTATCATTGCAATTTGTTGTTATATATCAAATTAACATAATAAAAGGTGTTGATAATATGTTTGTATTTAATTTTATACAACTAGCAATGCATGTGGAATTACCAGTATGTTTTTATTATTTGGTGGGTTCCATACTTCTCTGAATGTAGAGAGACATACTATTCATAGAAAAACATATGGATATTCAAATCATAATCTTTTTGACAAAAAGGTAAATAAACACCTTTTTAATACTGTACATAACTACTACAGAAAAACCTGCTCCTTACCTGTACTCCACACACATATCCTATGAGAAGAAGAAGAGGTGGAGAGTTGCCATTGACTTCAATTTTGTCTCGAAATTGAGCCAGATCATTAATGTCACAATAATCAAACCGCACCCACAAGATGGTTTCTTTTCCTTCATAGTGTGATGGGTTGCTGTATGTTTGTGGTGCCACCTAAAAAAAAATATATATATACAGTACTGTACATGTATTCTGGCTATGTTCAATGCTATATATAACACTATTGACATTTGATTATTTACCTGAAGACCACTATCTCTCAAGTGGCCTGGACGAAGACAGGAAGCCGGCGGCTTGTCAAAGGTCCCCCATTTTATCAGGAAGAACCTAACCAGAAAGATCTGCACTTTCCAGTTTACATTTAAAAATACAGTTCACCAAATTTGGTTTTCCATTGTCATGGTGAGAAAGCCTGTTAGGTTTTATTACGGTCTCCCTAGACAAATGACTGACCTTCCCCAAGATGCAGCCCACAACAGTTGCCCGACTTCCCGGTACTGTGTACTTATCTGCTGTAAGGTGAACACAGGCATCAAATGTAAGGTCATTACAATACGCTCAAAAATTCACAACCCTCTCCCATCATGCAACTAACCACCCAGTAATTCATCCACCCAAAATGACCCCCCACCCAGCCGTCCACCCACCCACCCAGTGATTCTCACCTGCCAACCATAACCCCCCACCTAGCCATCCATTCACCCATAATAATCCTCATCTACCCATCATGACCTTCCACCCAATCATCACCCACCAACCACAGTTGAAAACTGTACATGTGTTTGTTTTATGCTGCCAAATTCTCCTATCATCTGACCCCCCCATATTATCTTCATCTTACCCCATTCTTCGTATAAATCTGAAACAAATAAAAAGACAAGAATTCAGTTGATTCAAGAATATTTACAAGAGATCTATAATGATGGACAGCAATAATACATTAACAAATAACACACAAATAAACAGAAACTCATCCTTCACATACGGTATGTGAAAGTCTACATGAAAGGATTCTAGTGTACCTGAGATTAAGAGCAACACATACCGTAAATATTACTGGCAATGCTGTACTGATGTTTGAAAAATATATGGAATGCAAAATATGTAACATGCCAGATGATTACATATTAGATCACTTTGTCCTAGTATGCAAAATGATTAATAAATCTAGAAATAAGGAAATGTGGCTGGTGTACATTAAATTAGATGGATGTGTAAAAATAATATGAGACCATTCTTAGGAAGTCAAAAAGAACTTTGCATCAAGGCTGTAATCATATAATTATTTTCATTTATTATACAATATGATATATAATAAATGTATTTGTAACATATAATTATAAGTGATTAACTTATTTTATGATATATAGGATGTCCTTACTATGTAAGAGTATTTGTAAGCCCCTTAAAGCACTTGAAATAGAAGAGGATAGTAATAGCCTAAGCTACTCTTTTTTTTCTTCGATGCATTTTGTCTCAATAGCCTTCCTTGAGCTTGACTTTGAACTGAACCACATGTGCATGCACGCAAGCATGTGCTGTGGTGTATACTGCAGTAGTGGAGTAGAGCACTGGAGTAGACCTCGAGCTGGGAACATTATCACTTACACTTGATTCACTGATATCTGAACCTTGGTCATTAGTCTATCATTAAATTCTAGCAGTTTCTTATTTATTTCATCATCTGTAAGTGATGTGGGTACAAGCCACATGGTGGTGCTGTGAGCAGCTGCTGCTGCATGCACTACACATGGTGTCTGTTTACTAGAGGACTGAGAAAGCAGATGACAAGATTATAAAGAAACATTGAGAGGAAATTTGACTCGATGACTCTCACCCCTTCCCCGACTTTTCCTCTGTGGTCCTCTGTGGATCTAAAGAGCAATTTGATAACATTTCTGGCAAAATGTTATTTATAAATAAAGTCTACTCTCATCTTGGTGTTGCTTGACACTCTGAAGTAATTAAGAAGATAAATATAGCTTCCTAAACATGTTCTACACATTAAACTCACCTCATTGATGAAGCCTGCTACATTCTCAACGAAGGTTTTCTCAACCACCGGCTCAGGACGAACTTGCTGTCCTATTGATGGTCGTGAACCCCTTCCACTTTCACCCGACATGGTTGATGACATGACCAGTCTCCTATTATGTAGAAAAGAATTATTTTGGTAAATGAAGGGAGTGAAATCTAAAATCTGATAGAACACATATTGATACTGTATATAGAAGCCAGTATTAAAATAATGATTTAGAATACTTATAATTTAAAGACTTTTTTTAATAATTTATTTAGTAAAAATACTTTTTTAAGGATTTTAAATGAATATCAATCATTTGAGTTACCACACAAAAATGTATTGGACTTTTATAACTGGCTGAACATCATATATTTACTGAGTACTGTATGTATGTATATATATATATATATATATATATATATATATATATATATATATATATATATATATATATATATATATATATATATATATATATATATATATATATATATATATATATATATATATATATATATATATATATATATATATATATATATATATATATATATATATATATATATACATACAGTACTCAGTAAATATATGATGTTCAGCCAGTTATATATATATATATATATATATATATATATATATATATATATATATATATATATATATATATATATATATATATATATAATATTTGACACCTAATTATTTTAAGCTATCTAATTTACATGGACATACATGCAGTTTAAGGACTGTACACCTGTCAAAAACAAAACAAAATAAATTAAATAAAATTTCACACCTTAAATTTGATGATATAAATAACTTTCATATAATTTGACTATGAACCATTGAACAAATGAAATATTAAAGCTATAATATTTATTAAATATTTCTTTTAGCACCAAATGTCTAGAGACTAGCAACCTTCCAGAGACTGGAATTCATACCCTTATTAAAAAATTTTAATCTCGCAGACATAATTAGGTAATAAAGCAAAGTAAGTTTACAATTTCTATTCATCACTAAATCCTGACCAACCGGATATTGTAATCAGGTAAAAAGTCAGGTAAATGATGATCCACACCACTACCAACTTGCCCCTTCCATTTCAAGAGAAACTAAATACGATGAAAACTCTATAATGCTACTTATGGTCAGCATTTCATTCAACCCAATCAAAGCATCCCCTATAACAAAGGCTTTATAAAAACGTATCTTCTTTTTTTCCTATATACAGTACAGTATATCAACAGCCCTTACCTTAAGTTCATTCTTTCCAGTTAGGAAGGGTTAGAGTGCAAGAGTTCAGATTAGGTAGTTTAGTTTGTGTTGTACTCAAGTACAGCAACTGAATCTCTAAACCTAACAGTTTAACCCAACTGATGTAGAAACCATCATTTGTTCAGCTCAACTAACCAAAATATAAAGTTCATAATTTCCCATCGTCAGGAAAGCACACATGCAAGGTGTTTATTTTTATGATAGCCGCATTTTGGGGGGTTAAAAACACAAGAAAAGGTGAAACAAGTTTTCAATTACTCAAAACAAAGTCAAAATATATTTTCAAAATTAATACTATAATCACAAGTACATTGTCCATTTACAAAACTTTGCAAATAGATTCTTTCAAACCAGAGTATTGAGATACAATATATGCAAAAAATGGCATAAGATATTACCTATATCATCTGGGAATAACCTGCTCACATTACCTCGATTCAGCATCGCTCCTGTGCCAGGAGAGTCCACTACTGGCTCACCATAGCCCGTGCTACTTGCCCCGCTCCTGTGCCAGGTAAGTTACGGGCTCACCATAGCCTGTGCTACTTGGAACTTGTTCCGAGTAGCTGAATCTATAACAACAACAACAACTGCTCACACTAGCAGCGAGACAAGCATCAACTTGCATCATCCATCCAAAACAAAGGATTGCCTGCCAACCTGCGTCACACAATAATTACCATTTCACACTTCATACGCTATTTTACAATGCTTACAGAAGCTAATTCTAAGTAAGTATTTACCTTGTGTTTATACAATTCTCATTGTATCACACCTACGCACCGCCTGGAAACAGGAAAACCGAAATAAAAACAAATTTTCAGCTTTTTCCTTACTGCGTCGCACTACCGTCAGCTGATCTTTGTTGTGTTTGTTACTTTAGTTCTGAATATCGACGCCAGGGACGCAACATGACCCATTATATTCACGATCTTTACATCCCTCTAGTTTTTCCCATATAGAACGGAAACTGAACTTGTAGTAAATCTATTCTATCAACAAATTACTTTATGTTTCATGTTAACTATTAACCTCCATACCCAGTAGTATGCAAAAAGATCCCTGATTAAATTAGAATACGTCAGAATGACGTCACATACCTCCTTTGAGTACAGTACTTGTATAATAATTTTAATAATTCATTGTGTCGGAGACAGACAGACAGACAGCCATACATACATACAGAAATATATACATATATATACGTACACATATATATTCATTCATGCATACAAGTTAGGCTTATATCGAGGTCCCCCAAGGTCAACTACTGACCCACCCTAGAGTGGAATCCTAGGAAACTGACTTAACTCCAAAAAACATATTTACTGCTAGGTGAACACAGGGCATTAGCTGACAGGAAACAAAGTTTTTGACAAGGTACCACATGAAAGACTGGCACGGAAATTACAGGCACATGGAATAAATGGGAGAATATTGGAATGGATAAAACAATGGTTAAAACAAAGAAAACAAAGGAGTCGTGCTAAATGGGAATGTTTCAAATATTTTTGTTTAAATATATTTGAATATTCAACATATAGGCATATATGTTGAATATAGGCAACATTTCTTTTCACCTCATTCCTCTGTTAACCTTCTGTATATTTAGTGAAAATTAATATTTGTACCATTCACCATGTAATTATTGTAATAGTTTTTCTACTTCAATTAATTTTTGCTTTTGAGCTCAATTAGTTTTAAGTCTTGGTTTTAAAGGTTTGTCTTATAAATACATACATGGCAAATAAATGCCCTAGTACGGAATGTAGGAGAAAATAGGCCATACACAACCTATAAATTGTGGAAATGCTTTTAAAAACTCTGACAAAGAAAGAGATCTTGGGGGAGTACTGATAGAAAACTGCCACCAGAGCACCACATAAAGGACATTGTGGGAGTCCATGCTATGCATCCAACTTCAGAAGCTCCTTTTTTTTTTAAATACATGGGTAGTGAAATATTAAAGAAATTGTTCACAAATTTTGAGACCAAAACTGGAATATGCAGTGGGTATATGGCACCTATATCTAAATAAGAACAGCAGTAAACTGGAAAAGGTGCAAAGACACACTACTAAATGGCTTCCAGTGTAACAAACTAGGCTGGTTGTAAGAATTATCCAGAGTGGTTTATCGACAATACACCAGAACTGAACAACACAATGCACCAGAACTGAACAACAAAACCTATGAGGAGAGGCTAGAGGTGTTAATACAGCATTCTAAAACTAGAAGATAGAATTAAAATGAGGCAATATGATCATAACATACAAAATAGTAACCAGAATTGACAAAAATGAGAGGAATTCTTGAAACCTGCACCGTTAAGAACTAGAGGTCATAGATTCTAGCTAAGGAAATAAGGTGCAAAAAAATTATAAAGATCTCCAATGCTAATGAAGTGGAAGGCAGCTGTATAAGTCAAGTGAGAAGATAGTGGATGCCAAACTCTCAGTAGTTTCAAAGTGTCATATGACAGAGTACTGGGAAACTGGGACACCATGAGCATAGCTTTAATCCTGTAACTATACTTAGGTAATTACTGTACACAATACTAACAATATAATTTATTCATTTATTTTAATATCTTGGGAACAGGTGTTCATTAATACATATAAAACTGAACACAAAAGCATTATTTAAAAATTCAATTTTTAATATTTCCTTCTGCATCTCTTCTACCAACTAAAGGACGAAGAAACACTTGTTCACTTGGTTTTTTCCATTTTATTCAACATTTCATCAACAGTATGACATCTTCAGTAACATACACACAGCAAGGGAAACACAAGGATTTAAATAAAACAACTCAACTTATACACCCAAATTACCTTAATTATCATGTGCATTTTGTATATTTTTAATCAAAACTAAATTTAGCAACATCTAATTTAAAAGTTCTCATGTATGCATGCCTGTGAACTTCAATTCATAATTAAGTACAGCACAATAAACGATATACAGTATACATGTCAGCCTCACCTGGTTTGTCAAGAACATATGCTATGTTTTTGAAGTCTTGTAAATACAGACAGGGCCTCAATCAATTACATACTATGTAAATCTTGTTCCAGTAATTTTTTACTTTTCACTATAGGAGAGTAGAGAACAGTGTGAAACACTTAAGTATAGGTAATGTATCCAGGAGTAAATTCAATCTTCCTAGAGCTGCTTTAGATCTATACAGTACCAGGAAATATTGTACAAAAAAAATTATACCTGGCTTTCAGTTTCAGCCCAGTAAGGGGCTATAACTATGATATATGAAAAAAAAATAGCTTTTGGGGAGCTTGATAAATTAAATTCCACTACTGTTCTGGTCAATTCTTTGGGACCTGCTGTATGGGGTGACAGCTTCTACCCTGTATCAACCTACCCTGACTTTGCGCCCTGGAGAGGCCACTCCAGACTGACAACCAGAGCGCATCTCCAGTCTCCTGAGACTGATGGATGCCTACTATTACTACTGGTCAATTAGCAATAACCCCATTAATAGTAAAAAGTTATTAAACATCAGTGTGAAATGTGACTAATTTGCACACTTTCAGCGCTAATGTGCCTATAAGTTTTAGGTAAGAGAAGAAAATAAGTTACGTCATAGGGTAGCTTTATTCAACATGAGGATAATGCATTACATAAAATAAAAACATGGTATGTCCAAACATTGCAAGAAATTCAAGAACACCTCATTTACAAGCATGAATATGTAACTTTTACAGTACTGTACAGGATTCACTCATATGTAACAAATATTAAATATAAACAATATACATACAGTGTACTGTTAAGTCCAATCAATAATAATTTTCTTTGAAAGTCAAGAACACTTAGGTTTACTTTTTTAGTTTAATTTGTTTGTTAATTAGTTATTATTTTATTTGTACAAGGTCTACTTCTATAATGCAAAAAAAAATTATGATAAATTTATGTATAATACAAAAACAAACATTTATTCTTAAACCAATGTGTTGAAATACTTGCATCATAGGTTTTGACAGACATTTGAAAATCATATTACATAATTAAAAATTTATGTTAAGTACATTGTCATTATTCTTCATTATAAGTAGCATATGACAACTGTTCTAAGCTAAATCTGAATATGTTAAAATAAAGCATAATACTATTCTTCCATAATAATTACCCACAGACTTATTTATCAAGTTGTAAAATAGTCATTACTCATTTAAATGAGAGTTTTAACATTGGTATCATTAAAATCAAGTAACACTAATAACTTACATAATAAATTGTATAAACGATTTGAAGGAAGCGGTGGAGACTAGATGAAAATTCACAAACCTAGAAAGAAAGGTTTCATAACAATAAAATAAAGAGCTTAAAAGATCTCTCCTATCAATATGTAATCAAATAAATTTTTACTTTTAAACATGACTGAAGCTACAAAAATTAAGCTGCAATGTTTGAATACCGTATGCAGATGAGGAGTCACAATAACGTGGCTGAAAAATGTTGACCAAACCCCACACTAGAAAGTGAGGAGACGACGACGTTTCGGTCCGTCCTGGACCATTATCGCAATCGACTTGATAATGGTCCAGGACGGCCCGAAACGTCGTCGTCTCTTCATTTTCTAGTGTGTAGTTTGGTCAACATCAATACTGTATATCTATTGCCCAATCTACTCTTTTTCCTTCCTCTCACCTCCATAAGCTAACTTATCACTCCAATTACAACACCTGCCTCATCCAGGATAACCTCTTGTTTACTTCAGTCATCTACACCCATTTAAGTTGATAACTTTAGAATAATTTATAATCATACTGTAAAGTAGGCATGCCATGAGTGAGATATAGTAGAACATTAGCTTTAGAAAAGATAATCACCCGATTTAAGGATGAAAAGGTTGAAAATGTTGCAGGCTTTGACTATTATTTTGTAATGACAATAATGGAACAGATGCTTCTGATAGTACTGTATTACATTTACTGTAAGTGTAAATATAATTTAATACAGGCAGTCCTTGATTTGCACACAAGTTATATTCCTGCATAAGCCAAACAAATCAAACTTAAGAGGTACAGTACTTTATAGGGGAAAGAAATGGTAAGGTACTAGAGATCTCTAAAGATTTGTAGAGTAGATTGGAAAACCCCCACTTATTTTAACATTAATATTTAATGTTACATCCTCTTTCCAGTCACAAATTCAGCCCATAAATAAGCCCAGAATTCTTGGTATGTGCAACAATGTATACCCCAAGCCAAAAAAAGTTGATAAAAATGTAGATTAAGTAATGAGTCCAATTTATCAAGAAAGTCATTTACCCAAGACTCAGTACAGTTCTCTGCACTAAATAATGTTAGTCAGTGCTTCCTCCACAACAATTTGTATTTTTATTTTCTCAATCATAAAATTTCCCACAATTGAACAGAGGTGAACACTGTCTGTTCACAGCCAAAATGTCTAAAGTTTGATTACCATGCATAATAGAGACATATTGCCTTTCACCTGAGGCCTCTGTCCATCTGGCAGCAAATAGGTATCCAGGCTAGTTAGGCAACTGTTGTGGGTTGCATCCTACGGAAGGTTAATTGTTGGCCTAAGATCTTGAAAAACCTAATAGGCTTTCTGTCCCTGCCAATGGGAAACTGTTTAGAGTACCTGATCCAGCTACAGATTTTGTAATTGTCTGCATTCTTCTTGATACAACTCCTAGCCTTGTTGATTTTGTACTGGTGGCCATGGGACAAAGCATATACTGTACTCCATTTTCTGATCTGTGAAATATTTAAAGTTTTATTTGCAACATCAATATATCATATTTTTCTTTATGTCAGTACCTTAAGATACAGCAGTGCTGGAAATTTTATAGGTGTCATGATGCAAGAAGGTAATCTAGAATCCATGTGTGGATTCCAACGTTCAATTGACATTCAGAGGAGCTTGTATGCACTGGTTTAAATATCAGGCCCAGAATGCAGCATGCTATAGCTGCCAAGTTAGCATAGACTGCTACACAGCTAGCATGGTTTGCCCAAGACCATGCTCAATCCATGGTACACATTTTTCCAGCACTTTTTTTAATTATTTTATATTTTTGTATTGATTATACTAGTATACAGGAAGCTATATACATTCTTGTAAAGCCACTAGCACATACGGCATTTCAGGCAGGTCCTTAATCAAACTTGCCAAATCATTTAACAACTAGGTACCCATTCACTGCTGGGTGAACAGAGGTGTACAAGTTAAGGCTTGGCATCTAGTCAGTCCTGCCTGGCCAGAATACGAACCCAAGCCAAAACGCTCGTGAAGCGTGGGGCGAGTGTGTTACCACAGCGCAATGGGGATTGCATTTTAAAAGTACCGTATCTAAAGTGATAATGCTTTAAATCTTAATGTTGTTATTTAAAATCTTGCAAATCATAGGATACCTGTATAAGTGGATCAATACCCAAGTGCATCACACATAGTTATATACAGTACAATACATGTACCGTATATTAAAAAACAGATGGTGGTTGCATATCTTAAAAAAGAAAGTGGATAATGATTCGAAGCAGACAGAGAATACTGCAAGGACAGGTGATACAAACATTAAAAGACTGCATTATCAACCTGCTAAATGGCAGATATCATTAATGACTAGTTTCCAGAATAAAAATGCATCCAAGTATGGTTATTGCTTTATCACATTGCTAAAGTATGGGGTGTTACTTATTTTAACTACATAACTTACCTTTAATTTTATTAATGATTAATCATCATCATCATCATCAGACGGAACAAATAATTCATTTTCTTCAAGGAAACTTGCAATATTCTTGCTAATTTCGGCACCCGTAAATATACCCATGGATGTTGCCACAGTAACTCCCATATAACCTGTTAATAATAATAATAATAATAATAATAATAATAATAATAATAATAATAATAATAATAATAGTATTTTACTCGAGTAAGAGTACACACAAAAGATACAAACACATGATATACCAACAGTAGAGGATTCATAGACAAGATAAGACAGTGCCTAAAGCCACTAATAAGCAGAGCATTTCAGGCATAACATAAAAAATCAGCATTGAATGTAATGAAATGTCAGTTTCTGGGTGACCCCTGGAGGCTCCCTGATACTTCAGGGAAGGTAGGAAAGAATTATCAGAAGCGGCAAGCCATCGTGGCTATATAGCACTGGGAAGAGATCAGGATAAGGATTTGGGATGGGACAGGGAAAAGGAATGGAGCTCAACCACTTGGACAGTCAGGAGATTGAACGCTGACTTGCATGAAGCAAGACCGTCGCTCTACCGTCCAGCCCAAGACACTTCAGGGAGATGATGGGGCTTACCACAAAAAATTTAGGAGAACAATATACAGCAACAGCTTAATGGGACAATTCTTAAAATTAAATGAGATAAGGAAACATTAATGAATTGATGAAGAATATTAAAAATGATTGATAATTTTTACATACAGTATTTGGAATTTTTTTTTGCAATAGTACAAACATAATAAGGAATTTTAAATTGAAGAGGAGATTAAACATAATATAAAATTTGATTAAATTTTAACATTACAGTTTTCAATAACAGATCAGTTTTAGTTATTAATGTTTACAATAACAGCAAACACACAGGTTGACATGTAGGATGAGAAGAGGTGAGAAAGTTTGGTTACATAGTCAATTAGGTACTTCTTAGTTTCTCTTTTCAACTAGTTGAGAGGAGAAGAGTCTTCAATGTCATTAGGGGAGGTAATTCCACAATATGGTACCCTTGATTTGCACAGCATTACTGCTTTGGTTAAATGAATTAATTTTTTTTCTTTCCTTACAACATATGAAGTTTCGTATTTTATCAATAGTTATTTAGACAACAAGTACTGTACTAGATTTATGCACCGCCAGAGCCATCTCTATATACTTCATATGATTTGAGTGTTTATAAGTTATAACCAAAGCAAATGTAACTTGACAACACAGCCTTTTCTTAAATATCAGGTCCCCTCATAGAGCAATACATGGAGGCTACTATATACTGGGTACCCATAGAGATTGTTTCCTTCAAGGAGTGCCAGACCAACCGGGCTGTGGTGGGTATATGGGCCTGCAGGCCGCTCCAAGCAGCAGCCTGGTGGATCAAACTCTCACAAGTCAAGCTTGGCCTCGGGCTGGGCTTGGGGAGTAGAAGAACTCCCAGAACCCCATCAATCAGGTATCAACCAGTGGCTCCCTGTACACATGGATCAGTGTAAAAATGCTAGTACTGTACAGTACACTCAATGTATGAAATCCGCTCCTTAATGAGTTAAACAAATTTCCAACCTATATTTTATTAAAAATTGACCTGAAATTACCTGAGGGGTACTAACACTCTAGTGGCCTCGACGAGGACAGGAAGCTGGTGGCTTATCAAAGATGCCACTCATTTGTCCTGATGATTTTTTTTAAAGCTGGATTTTAAAGTTCAGCAGAGTTTTGGCAGAAGTAAGGCCAAAAAGTACCTAATTTCATCCTCGGTTCCCATCTTGTGCTAGCCATTCACCAATTTAGTACTTATGACATGCAACTTGATCAATATAATTAATTCTACCCATTTGTAATGTAGTTTTATGGTAAACTCAAATTCTGCTTCCATCTTAAGGACCTGCCCGAAATACTATGCATGTTAGTGGTTTTGTAAGAATGTTACACTCAAACCCCCGATGTATCTATTTTCTCAACCTTATGTACCTTCTTGTATATAAATAAATAAATAAATAAATAAATAAATAAATAACAAGCAGTACATTAAAGAACAACTGTTACATCAATTGATAAATAAGATAATCATCCAGCAACACCAAATCAATAAGTATAAATTTGTACTCTAGTCAAACACATCTGTGCCTTGCCTAGAAACGTCTTAACCTATATTGCAGCAAATGATATATGCAACATAATTCACTGACGAGCCTCTTTAAGGTATAGCAGACCCCCCAAAAAAATCGGAATGTAATGACGTACCTGTTATTTTTGTAGTGTATGGCTTAGGCATGACAGCATCAGTTGCTGTAAAAGTGTCGGTACAAGGCTTGGAGAGGTGGAGGTGCCTCATCCTAGCCAGTGTGGTGATGGCTACTCGCTGCATTGGCCTGAGAATTGTCGCCATTCCCGGGGCTGAAATAACTCTTAGTGTAGCCTCCAGCCGCCCGTCCTCTCCTCTGTTTTGATCTTCCTGCCTCAATATTCACGGATGTCTACTTCATTATTACCCGTTATTCCTAAAATACAATATACCAGATCATAGTAATATCGGAATTTAATTCTATTTTACTAAACAATCTTAAATATAAAGGAAGTATATTTGATAAATCGGGACTTGAATCCACATTTGTAATTCCTACATGGGCTTTGGGCTCGTCGGGGCCCTTCACGATCTCAATTAATTCAACAATTTATTGTGTCGGGGGACAGGCAGCCAGTATATGTATACATCTGAGGCTTATATACAGATCCTCCCAGGGTCGAACTACTGGCCCTCTCCAGGATGAAATCCCACCACAAGCTGACTAACTCATCGGTACCTATTTACTGCTAGGTGAATAGAGGCATTAGGTGATAGGAAACGTTCCAAAGTATTTTTGTACTGCCTAGGATTAAAGCCCGGAATTCCCTCTTGTGAATCAAGAACTAATTCCATAATACGCATCCCTCTAGTAAAATAATTCAAACGATAGAACAGTCAAAGCACCACGGTCACTTCATATATAGACTGATCATTGTTTATAATATATATGCTGTTTAAAAATTTATTTTAATATGTAAAGTTATTGATCGTAAAAGAAATATAAAATTATTTAATGACTTCAGTCCTTGGAGGCAAGAGAAAACGGGCCATCAGCTGATGGCGCCAATTGGAGAGCGGCCACGCAGGTTGACCCGAGGTGGGGCTGTGAGGAGGTCACGCTCCTCATGATGACCTCCGGGAACACCTCTCATCTGTAAGTATGTACTATATGTGTGGAGCTGCAGCGCCCATAATCATCAGACATTTAATGTATGTTAATTTATATATAATTGAGTTAGTTTACACAAAATTGAAGTAAATTGTTTACTTAAGGGAAAGCCAAATTAACAGCAAAACATGTAATCACTATAATTATATATTGCATAATCTTGATTTAGAGTTAGAAGCTATATTTATCAGCGATTTATACAAATTATTATGCTTCATAAGGCTCTTTATATAGTCAAATTGTTGTGGAGCTCCTTACACAAAGATCTAGTTGTTCATGTTGAAGTCTGTGGCAGTAAATTTTAGTAAAGTACCCATAGCGTTTGCCCGAAACGCTATGCGTACTAGTGGCTTTAGATATTGTATGTACTATCTCTATCTTTAAATCCAACATTATGTATGTAACTCAATGTATGTACCCTTACCTGAATAAAAAATCTAATCTAATATAAATATGTGTATTGGTTTTTCTTCCATCTCTGCGGTTGTTTCCAGTTTTTATTATTATTATTTTCTACCACAGACGTAACCACACATTTACAATGCTAACCAGCATATATACATTTTCTTCTGTCCTCCATGGACAGGGTGAGAGATCTGTTAAACATAGTTCAGGGATTTATTGAACAATCAACCACAGAAGGTGATTGTAGTGCTTTTTTCCAGGTGGCAGGAATATGGTCGTGTGATGGTTGCCGTGGCCCTCAATATTATCAGGGAGACTCCTCCCCACCTCACGCCTCGTCAATTCGCCACCAACCTAATATCTGTCCTTCGACACCCACAGTCGCTAGAGAAGCCTACGGTAAGTACTGTATAATAAAATGTATATGTTAGCCCACGTTAGGTCTCCTCCCTCTCTCGCAGTGGTCCAAGTCGTCGGCTCACAACCGAGGCTCCCGGGTTCCAGTGCAGGACATTGAGACTGTTGGGCACGTTTCCTTTCACCTGATGCCTCTATTTACTTAGCAGTAACTATGTGCCCGAGTTAGGGAACTGTTATGAGTTGCATCCCGGGGATACAACCCACAGCTGTTGGTGAAGGGAGATCTCGATAAGGACAAAATCACATCTCGTTGTTGTGATTTCCTTGCGAAGGAGATCTCATTAACTTTAAGTATAGGCTTCCTGTCCCTGATAATAGAATACCATACCTCCAGTGTTCAGTTTCATGCCTCCAGTGCTAAGTCATATTCCTCCCATGATAAGTTTCACTCTTCTACTGTTAAGTCTAACGCCTTTATCGCTAATTAGTTTTCGTGTCTTCCAGCTTTTGGCGCGAAGTTCAAACCCTGCCTTTTGCGCCGTGTCTCCAGTGCTAAATTCCATACCTCCTGGTTTAAGTATAATGTTACGCCCCGTGCAGTGGCTTTGTGTAAATAATTAATGTACCCCCATACCCATCATGCTGGACGTGGTGGTGGAGGGGTTATACAGGCACATTAGGAATAAAGAGATAGGGTACCTTGCAATGTTATTACCTGAACTAAGCAAGCTACGGTAAGAAAATACATGTAACTACATGCATAATTATATGTAATTTAAATCAGCAATGGTAATGTTATTAACACAAATGTTATTTCATATTAATTTGTACGTTAATATTAATTAAAAAATATGCTTTCTTACTGAACACAGTACATTTAATTTAAATTAATTAATTAATTATTAACGAAAATTTTCAGGAAAATAAGTATCCAACAATATTTTTTAAAAGAATCAGTATCGGAATCGATAATCGTATCGAAACTGAGACGTTTTATTGGAATCGGAATCGTTGAAAATTTTAGTATCGTCCCATCACTAGTTTTGATGCTTCTGGCTTGGCAAATCCATTGCATTTTTTACGGAGTAGTAATCGAGAGAACGGGGTAAATTAGAACAATTATTTCACGCAGACACCGAATATATCAACATGTCATACGACTGATATCCGACCCATCAACTACTATATATTAGGAGTGGGAATTGATGAATATTCTTAACAAGACGCGTGAAAAATGTCGCAGTCAAATGCGGCAGGAAAGTATAGCATGTCTACGGAATGTGAAGCATCGCCTAGATCTATTCGAACCTTGGACTTCAGGGAAAAGAAAGTGGTTATTGGACGCTATAACTCTCTCCTGCGCCCTCATCTACCGTATCCAAGCGTGGAGAGCTCGTCCCCAGAAGGACAAATCTGCTTTGGAGAAAGTTCAACAGTGGGCGACAAAAATCTTCCAGAACTAAGTCGACCAGATCACACACTAGAAGGTAAAGGGACGACGACGTTTCGGTCCGTCCTGGACCATTCTCAAGTCGATTGTGATGAGGAAGTATGTTGTTGTTCTTTAAGATTCGCTACACAGGACAATAAGTTCCAGTAGCATGGGTTATGGTGAGCCCGTACGTGAGGAAGTAGATGCAGGCAATAAATAGGCTAGAGAGAGGTGAGGAACAAAACTATGTCAAAACTTCCAGAACTGAGTCGCCTCACATACCAGGAAAGGTTGTGGGCCCGTCGGGACTAACAAGTAACAACACCACAAACTAGACATGACAAGACAAATCTCATAGAAATCTTATAAAAGTGAGCAAATTAGAGGAAATTAATCCAGACCACTTCTTTAAAAGGTCATATGTAACACATACAAGGGGGCAACAGCCTCAAGTACTAGCAAGGCGTAGTAGTGGCTTTTTTAATATGCTTTACATTCAATAACTCATTAACCACTGTATCGTGTTCCTCTGTATATTCTTAAAGAATAATTGTATTATTATTATAACAGAGGCAACGGCAGAAGACAACGGTGCGCAGTAAGAAGGGCACACCAACCACCCCACCCCCACAATTCTTGGCTCCTCCCCACACTGGTAAGTAAACTGTAGGTTTACAGTTCAGGTTTTTGTTTACACTAAAGGTAAATTTTCTGTTATTTGTAATAATTTAGTAAATACGAATTTAAAAGATGTCTCTGTCCTTAGCTATAGCTCTGAAATAGTTTGGCTGTCTATCCAAGGCCAGAGGCTTGGGACTAGCCTCTCCCAACCTTTCAGGATGACACACAGGTGGTAGGGGACTATTATAGGCGGATCATGGTCGGCCTCATTACGACTGCTATCGACTCTATGAATTTTAAAATGGTAATTTTTGTTTTCCAAAGTTTGTCAACATTGTTTTCACCCTCTCAAAATATTGCATTTTATGAGAGAGAGAGAGAGAGACAGAGGGAGAGAGAGGAAAGATAGAGATACAGAGAAACAGGGCTCCGCCGGGTACCATCTAGTATATTTATATATCTGCCTGCCTATATATTTGTATATATATTTATCTACTGATATACGTATAGTCACCTAAGTCTATTTTGGCAATCTCCTTCAGGAGATGCAAATGACGGTGGGGTTGTTGAGGTGAGCGGAGCAGCCAGCAAGTCCACAGAGCGAGTCCCCGCCGCCAGTGTCACCACTAAACGGAAGAGAGTGAAGGGTATCAAGGACCGTCACCCATCACACGCTACACCATCCGTTTGTATATCTGTCAAACCGCTAGAGAAGTTGACCAACCTCTCGCAGGACAGTGTCGTTGAAGGTGGTTGTGTGGACGTCCTGCAGGATGCGTCGGGTGCTCGTCTGACTGGCGCATCAGAAGCTAACGTCGTTGGGAATAAACAATTCTTCAATACGAGTTCATATCACGCCGTAAGAATTGAAGGGTCTGGTGACGTTCAGAAGGAAAATATAATCCCCATACCTCCTGAAAAACAAAAGGTTCACTTACATTACAAAAGCCGAGCTATGTGTGGCGTAAATAACAAAAGCGATGGAGATAAATTGAACTCCATAGTAGTTATAAATCCGAAAACTTCACCTGGGAGCTGTGTCGCGTCTCTTGACTCAACGTGGCAAACTCCACCAGCTGAGGGCAGGACAGAGAACCATGCGTCAAGTCAGTGCATGATAGACATCACAAATGACGATTGGAGGTCATTATATGTAGACATTCAGAACGTTCCTGACCGTTTATGCTCACCTTCTACAAGTCCTCTGAGTACCAGCATTCCTCATGTCTCGAGCAGCAGCAACAAGAACAGCAGTGACTCTAGCACAGGAAGCGGAGGTCCCCGCACGAACACTAATGATGGCTGGGGCTCGGTTATCCCCGACACAGATGCAACGAACACCTTAACGCGGGACAAGCTCCCCACCTCAGCCACCTCCCAGGGCAACAAAAACAATGATGACCGTAGCAGGAGGGAGACAGTGGACATCGATACTTCCATAACAGCTGATGACACAAATACTCGCAGAAATAAGACAGATACAGTCAGTGGTCGTCAGAACAGCGGGAAAGCAAATACCACGAATAAAACACTCGCCCCAGACGGTTATATCGGGGACGCAGACGAAGGCTATGACAGCAGGAATGACGAGGGCGGCTCCGGTCCGACCATGAGAGGCTACGACCAACAGGACCAAATGAACTCCAGGTGCAAGGTAAGGTTTGACCGTTGTCGCTGCCAACGGCTAGTTTACTGTTCAGGACATCCCAATCTCACCTAATATGTGGCGTGATACACGCTCATTACACAATCAGGCTACAGTGAGTGTTGTTTCACATTGTTAAATTTTCCATGTACATTTATGATGATCTCTGAGCATAGGGTATTACAGGTAATAAGGGGATGTGATGTGGTCCTCGGGGAGGTGAGGCAAGAGGTGGAGGCGGGGCTGGAGGCGGCCTCCAGAGCATCCCAACATAACTGGAGCAACTGTTATCGTAGTGTCAAGGTAAACAATCTCTCCTCCTGAAAAAAACTGTGTTACATTTCCTCTTTTTTTAATTATTGTGTTGTATTTTTGTTTAAACTTTGTTTACTTGATAACTTTGAAATTATAATATTAGTATTTGTAAAAGTGTATTTGTACACTTTTTTGTAATTTTTTGCACAATATTTGTAAATAAAAGTCATTATATTATTGTACATGATATGTCCTAAATGCATTGTATGGTATGCTAGCTTTGGACGAGTAGCATTACCTAACACACACAACACACACACACACACACACACACACACACACACACACACACACACACACACACACACGTTATCCCGGGACTCATTCTTTCCTACTTCATGCAGACAAAACCTTCAAGCTGACTTTCTTATACATACCTGCCCCACAAACTACCACATACATGGCTTCCGGCCCACCTACCTACGCTGTCAGTATACATACTAACCTCACGTGTCTCTTGACTTCATTGTTCGTCATACGTCCTCTTATAATTTGATGTTATACCCCTGCACAAAGTACTGAATCCCCTCACAAACACTTAGAATCTCCCACACAAGTATCAGATCCCCCTCCAAGTCACTCTCGATCTCAGCCACAAGCACAGTATAAATAAATTGAAATGCATGTATGTTTGACCCCCACACACACTGGGTGAGTGTTTTTTTTTTTCATTTTAATAGAGCGTCGGCCAAGGTGGACGAATGCTTGTGTGTGTTGGTTTGATTTGATTTGGTGTTATGCTTAAAGCCTATCAACCTTTGTATTATATATACACCTGATAGAGGGTACACCTTTTGGTCTATATGTTCTTCTCTGTCCTAGTTGTGTTGTGTGTTTGAGGGAGTGGGTACAGGTGCGTGTGTGCGCGCGCGTGCGTATGTGCCACTATTTATAGGCCGAGGGAGCAGCTCCTTGCGACCCGGGCTAAAGACAGGGCCCCAGAGACACTTCAAGATTTTGCACGACCAAACACCACATTCACTTCTAACATCTACCATCACGTGCGGGCTACTCATGCCCGTGTCACCTTTGGTAGTGGCTTCATCAATCATCAATCAATCCCTGAGACGCCTGAACCGTTCGCAGTTAGTGAAGCCCGGGCCAGATTCACGAAGCAATTACGCAAGCACTTGCGAACCTGTACATCTTTTCTCAATCTTTGGCGGCTTTGTTTACAATTATTGAACAGTTAATGAGGTCCGAAGCACCAGGAGGTTGTCTATAACAATAACAACAGTTGATTGGCAAGTTTTCATGCTTGTAAACTGTTAAATAACTGTAACCAATGCCGTTAAACATTGAGGAAAGATGTACACGTTCGTAAGTTACCTGTGCTTGCGTAACTGGTTCGTGAATCTGAGGGGGGCTGCCTTAACCAATATTAAATGTCCACTATCCCTAACTGATGTATGTGCTAGCCTAACCTGAGAGGAAAATAGAGAGAGAGCGGATATCTGGTGGTAGCCCCCCCCCCTCACACACACACACCCACAATACAAATCTGTCATCAGAATATTTGAATGTCAATGGACATCGTATGAAACTCTATGGACTTGACCCCAATCATTTAATATCCACACATCATGTGTGGGGTGGAAGAGGGTTGCCTTGGGGGCCTACTCCTGACCCGCCTATGACCGTCCCCTTACCCCTAACACCCTGCAAAGTTGGATGAGGCCCAATCGTCTCCAAACTTGGACAGACAGACATATATTTCACTTTATATGTGGGCTATAGCTTCAAGGGGACGTTTTTAAACGATGACTGTTTTTAGTATTTATATATACATAAATCACGAACGTGTCTGGCACATATAAACAAATGCTAAACGTGTAAGTGTTGGTGTCATTCTGCAGGAGGTGAAGGAGGCGCTGCGCGAGGCTCCGGGCACGGGGAGGCGGGAGGCAGACCTGTGTGTGACCTTCCTGACGGAGGTGCTGACGGCGTTGCTGGGGACCAGTCCACCACACACCTCTCGCTCTCCCACACACTGGGTAATGTCTCGTACCCCGTCACCCCCTTCTTCCTCCTTCTAAACTCTCTGTCTCTTGACTGTTTGTTGACACTTTGTGCCGGTAGAATTGTTAGCTCTTGGGTCCCGCCTTTCTATAACCGTTGCATAACCATGCAACCCTAGGATATGCAGCTTCAGACTTAGCTATCAAACACGCGTTTTAGCTTTCCTTAATTTTCAGTGTGATTTTCCCCGTATTCATTAATCAGTTACTACATGATCGCTGTTGTAGTAATATGTAATGGGATGTAGTAATACGTGTGGAATATCAGTAATTGTGAATATCTGGTGATAACGAGTACAGATAAACTGGTTATCACCAAGGGCTCCTGCTTGTCTACCTGCTGTATCGATCGGCCCCTCGGACTCAAGACTGTATCAGGCCGTCTCGGATAATACCACGAATTATAATAATAATGATCATTTATATGACTAAAACGTATAGGGGTACGATTACGGCTCCAGTTGAAAGTACAGTTATATAGAGCGTTATGGATCAAACCCTATGAGTTTATTGTGAGTGGTAAATTACCACTCATCCTGTGAGTGGTAGTTTATTGTGCACCTCATACTCATGCTGTGAGGGGTAATATATTGTGCAGTCTATATATGCTGTGAGCGTCAGCAGAGAAGGCTTATGAAAGAGTTATCCTGGTAAACAGAAACTTCTGCACCAGGATGATCAGGTGGCTGATGTGCTGCTCACCATGACCAACTCACCTTAGAGGCAAATTGCCGTCAGTAGGCCAACTAGTGTTGCCAACACTCAGCCTGTGTTGCACTCTGGCCAATGACTACAAGTGCTACCAACCTCATCTTGTGACAGATCCCTATTGTACACAATGTACGCACCCCTCTTAATGATAGCTTTTCATTATTGCCTCTTGTCATACATTAAACACCATACACATCAACTGCGTCCTGTCATACATTAAACACCATACACATCAACTGCGTCCTGTCATACATTAAACACCATACACATCAACTGCGCCCTGTCATACATTAAACACCATACACATCAACTGCGTCCTGTCATACATTAAACACCATACACATCAACTGCGCCCTGTCATACATTAAACACCATACACATCAACTGCGCCCTGTCATACATTAAACACCATACACGTCAACTGCGCCCTGTCATACATTAAACACCATACACGTCAACTGCGCTCTGTCATAAAAATGTCCTATATTTATGGGTGTATTCACTGTGGCAAATATTGGTATAACAAGTGAGCATCGATTCGAGACTGTACTGACAGCGAACAAGATCAATCATCAGACGTTGTCCAAATGTATGGTAAAACGTGACTAGCTTATTGAGCATAATACATACTCGATAGGAAATTTATGTGGAGTGAAAATAAGGATTACATCAATTAGGCCCTGTTTTTGTTTGTTTTCTTTTAAACTGGTTACAGGTAGCAATGGTACAGCAATTGATTGCATTCGAAAGGTGATTACACCGGGATGAAAACGATTTGCGGATTGTGTTGTAGGGAAAATTTGATGCTGATTTTTTTTTTTTTTTTTTTTTTTTTTTTTGAGATATATACAAGAGTTGTTACATTCTTGTACAGCCACTAGTACGCGTAGCGTTTCGGGCAGTTCCCTGGAATACGATCCCCGCCGCGAAGAATCGTTTTTTCATCCAAGTACACATTTTACTGTTGCGTTAAACAGAGGCTACAGTTAAGGAATTGCGCCCAGTAAATCCTCCCCGGCCAGGATACGAACCCATGACATAGCGCTCGCGGAACGCCAGGCGAGTGTCTTACCACTACACCACGGAGACTGCTGAATAACGTGCTGGTTCCAGTACCTTGACTATAGTTTAAAAATGTCAACATAAACAAGGAGAGAAAAACACAGACTGAACAACGGGCAAGTTCCGCAGGTCAACTACAAGGTCAAAACAGGTCAAAACCGCAGGTCAGCTACACTACAACTACCAATTAATACACTCAATAACACAAGTCTATGTTATTTAGGTGCGTAATAGGTGTGAACTTATGACTAAAATTTAGCTCTTTAAACACTAGTAAAACCCATATCCAGAATAGACAATATTTCATAATAATAATTATATGTAATATAATTGATGGAGAGAGCAGGTGCCCACACACACCCCACCTACACCCCACCTGTGTCTAGTGTGAGCTGGCAAGACAACAAATGTCCCTGAGGGCAGGCACGTGGGCTCCCATTAAGCTGTGGGTTTAGCTCAACCCTGGCACACACAGCAACAGTTGGTGTTAGGCAACACCCCCTCTTAGATATGTTTAAGATGTATTGTGCCCCCCTTCTGTAAACATTTTGCGCTACCGCTCACAGGGTGAGTATGGGGGTGCGCAGTAAACTACCACTCACGGGACGAGTATGGGGTGCACAATAATTTAGGTACCACTGGCGCCAATAAGGTAATCAATGGCACCAGGTGTGAGGTAGTGTACAAGCGACCCATTTTTCATATATGAACGTAAGAATAGTACTGACTACCCTTAAACGTCTTCACACCAGTTTGACTTCCGGTTTGAGTGTGGAATCAAGAATATAACCTTAAACGATAGACTTTGCTATAGGCTATATACATGCATATATGATTGAGACCTCAAAACAATACAAAACATCTTGTTTGGATTGTGTGTGGAGGTCCCACATTGTTTATATAACTATCCAGGGCCGACGTTGATGTAATATCCTATCCTCCCCGTCTCCAAACCCTTTGGACATCAAATCCAAATCCCGTCTTCCCTTTTAATCAGTGGTTGGCGTTGAAGGCGGTGGAGAGTGTGGTTGTGGCCGTCAGCACCTGGACCCCGCTGCTGGTGAGAGCTGGTAATCTTCTTCTGCAGGCTCTCATCTTCATCTGCCACAAGATCAACTATAGGATTGCTGGTAGGTGTTGGGACTGGCATACTGTATTGTAGGTATGTCTCCCGTATAGCCAATTTCAGTCAGGAACAGTCAATCATCTATAATACAGATGTGGGGGGGGGGTAGAAATAGCCTAAGCTACTCTATCCCTTTGAGATGTATTTCTTTCTTATCTCAATAAACATACTCGAACTTGAACTATAATACAGATGTGTGTGGCAGGTGTTGGTGCTCCTTGTGTGCGCCAATACCTGATGCTCAGAGATCTCCAACTCAAGTTCAAGTATGTTTATTGAGACAAGAAAGAAATACATCTCAAAGGGATAGAGTAGCTTAGGCTATTTCTACCCCCCCCCCTCTCCCGATCTCCAACTGCAGGCGTGTGTACTGGCATAATACTGTTATGAAATAATCGAATAGTCTACAGGACTATATTTAATCTTGTGATATCTCCTTATATTGCAAAGCATATACGCTTGACTTGGTTACAAGTATCTCTGGGAATTCTCGTTATCTGCTGATGTAGACCTAACCAAGCTATGTCAACAAAATTATTCGCACAACTTCCGTCACTATGTGATGGGGTGCTAAAAGATATGTGACTTCAGAGACAATTCTATAACAAATGTTCCAGAGATGTGTAAATATTTAATTCAAAATGATCTGCTACCATAAATCTTAGCCAAATATCCACAGATTGTTAACTGTAGGTAGTAACAAAGTGATTGTATAACCTATCCACCGCTGCCCACTGGATGAGGGGCGGTGTGCAGGACAAACATATCAATTATGACACAAGCTCTCCACCTATGTCAGTTGCTTAATTTAGAAAATGTACCTGTGATTGGTTTCGAGCCTACTGTTGATGTGAAGATGTGCATTGAATTTTGAACAATACAGCATGTAAGGTAGACTGATTCATGTATTATATTAGAAGAAAGCCCTAGTAGTGAACAGTAACCCAAAACGGATTAAAGAAACATTATTATTATTATTATTATTATTATTATTATTATTATTATTATTATACAAGGACGAGAGTATCTGGCGGAGGTAGCCTACTCCCTAGCGGTCGCCATCACCAGAGTCGTCATTGCAGCCTGCAACACCATTGGTGAGTCAACATTATCTTAGTTACTGGTTATCTGTCTCTCCTCGTCACTCGTCCCTTACTGGATACCTGCCTCTCCTCGTCCTCGGGTCATGTGATGCTCCTGAAATGCGAGTATCAAAGCTTGCATGCTCCATTAGACTAAAGATGACTAAATATATTATCAAATGCTCGTGCCACCTAGCTTTGCTTCATGTCTCCCCACAAGGATAAAGTGTTGACCCTGATATAGAAGCTCATCTTCATGCTCAGTCAGATGTAGTATTGGTTCATGGCCTTGCAATTATTATATCTGACTGAGCATCTATGATGAGCTTCAATATCAAAACCAATGGCATCACTTCATCCTTGTAGGAAGCATTATTATTATTATTATTATTATTATTATTATTATTATTATTATTATTATTATTCACTGATCTTCATGACCACCAGAGCCTGAAGAACCACCTACTACCGCCACCTCCGAGTTCTCAGAAAGCTTCACCTTCAGCGAGCAGCCGTCCATCGAAGCGGCGCTGGCGGTACTCAACCCAGGTGCTAATATGAACTATATGAATGAGTGGAGTTGGGCCACCTTTAATGAGGAGGGAATACTGTACTCCGGACCTTGTTCAGCGGCGTCGCCAGCAGGAGAAACGGCAGAAGAGTGTCTGTCGCAAAGCATGAAGTCTTTACACACCCCTGGAGAAGGGATTGCTGAGCACACACCAGAGCCATCAACGGGTGAAACGAGAGGCAGCGAGGGCAACACTGAGGATATGATATTGAACGCTGATAAAGCTCCTAGAAGAACCATTGGACCAATGGCAGATGAAGCAGCGAGGAAGGAAGCAATCACTGCCGCTCTAGTTGCTCTAGCACCATATTCACGGCGTAGAGACACCATGCAGCCTCTCTTTAAGAAGCCAAGAACCTCCGCTCAGGAGAAGCTCCCTGCTAACACATCCAGTCCTCAAGACACCGCCAATGTGGAGTGGAACCTGTTGTACTGGAGATCGGTCATTAGGGAGGAGTGTGAACCCCACGCAGATTTTCTTCCTATGTTTGGTTTCCAAATTACAGAGATTATCCGCATCATTGATCGATGTTGTGGCTGATTGGTATATTAAGGTTTTTAAGAATATTACTGTATTGCCGTGTAACACTTTCCTTCTCTACGTACAGTGTTTATTATACAAAATAAATACTCCTACATTTATTTCCATGATTAGCTTAATATAATTTACCTGAAAATAAACATGAAAGCCTTCTGACAATTCTTTGTTTTTATTTTAATGTTATGAATGTTCATTTTACTAAAGCCCCCATCAGATAATAAATAATTTAACTCGAGTGTAACTGTCCTCACAAAATTCGTCAGGCATGAGACTCCGACAAGGAAACATGACATCAGAAGCAGATATCTCATACCTTGGCAAAAGTATAACAGGAATAAAATGGCGCTATTATTCATATTGTGTTATCTTGCACGTAGGGCATGCATACCTGCCCTATCCATGATTCATACAATCTTCTTTAATCCTATGTATGTACTTTTGCTTAAATCAAAATTATTATTATTATTATTATAAGTGGCCATACCCTTCGTTTACATTTGTTTATTTCGATGACGGGGATACTAATACACATCTATATAGCTTTACCCAACTTTTCATGATGTCATTTAGGTGGTATGTGATTGTCATAAGCTGGTCGTGGTCGACTACATTGCCCCTTTTATGGCGTATCAGCTCCTACAAGTACCCCCCCTGTTATTTTGATGAAGACCAAAATATGGATGTATAAGCTTGGACAGTTTCTCATCTATTCATAATATCACGTTTGACGCAATGGAGAGTGAAATAGGAGGGGATAGAGAAAGAGAGAGAGTGGGAGAGGGAAGTTGTGGGTTCTCAATAGGAAGTCGGGAGCTAGCGTTGGAAGAATCATGATCATCATGTGGGTTCTCGAAGCTGTGTACTCCAAGTTAATATTTGGTGCATGTGTATACAATTGTACACGCGACACTGGCACCACTAAACAGCTGCATTGTCAGAATATGGAGGTGATACAATATATATCTATATAATCTTCGCGGCCACCGTCATGCATACAGCAGGATATCCGCTGCCTCAAGGTAAAATTCCACATCCATGTGTCCTGTTGCATGGACATATTTCATCGACATAGACAATTGCAATTTAATTCTCTAGATTGTTCATCAATTATAAATGGATCTATAATTCTTGTTTGCAATTTTCTCTTCAAATTCATTTTGGAGTTCTTTTCCATTGCCAGTTTTAGGCTAATTCAGTTTGGAAGCAGTTAACTTTAATTATATTCAAAATTTTCTTTATTCACTGATGATGATTGAATTTGTATCATTCAGGTGTATTGTAATTAATTCGTATACCTAAAAATTAAGTGTCGGGAGAAAATTTCACCACCAGGAAAATCACTAATCTATATAAAGCCTTAATTATACAGATAATGGGCTTAATATTTATGTAAACTTAACGATCTATGCGCAGATCCCTTAATTTCAGAGGCGACTCAGGGGTTCTAATATGGTGTAGCCTCTTCGTTACTGTAAACTCTCCATTGAACATTACTTAGATTTATGAGAAGTTGAGGACCAAATGTAAACTTTGTCAGCAAAACTATGAACATATCATATTCTGTACGAATGCGAACAAATTCAAGAATTTAGAGCTAATTATATCACATTACTGTCCATAGTATATGCATGTGTTTATAAACTTTTTACGGAACCCCACTGGATGGGTGTAGGGTGCACGATAAGCAAATAAAGAGTATATGTAATTCAACTAGCACGTCACATATACGCATAGTTTGTTGCCAAGGAGATGAATGATTACTCGCGGACAGGGTTGCCAGATCTAAATTGCTGAAAGTAGCGAGCTGACGGTCTAAAAGTAGCGAATTTGGAATTAGAGTAGCCCAATTTTTTTTAGTGAATGATATGGGTTTCAAAGTAATATATTTTGATATATAGAGTACACTACACGATGTTAATTGTTTTATTAATATTATTTCTGCACATACACACATATTATATATATATATATATATATATATATATATATATATATATATATATATATATATATATATATATATATATATATATATATATATATATATATATATATATATATATATATATATGTCGTACCTAGTAGCCAGAACGCACTTGTCAGCCTACTATGCAAGGCCAAATTTGCCTAATAAGCCAAGTTTTCCTGAATTAATATATTTTCTCAATTTTTTTTCTTATGAAAAGATAAAGCTACCCATTTCATTATGTATGAGGTCAATTTTTTTTATTGTAGTTAAAATTAACGTAGATATATGACCGAACCTAACCAACCCTACCTAACCTAACCTAACCTATCTTTATAGGTTAGGTTAGGTTAGGTAGCCAAAAAAGTTAGGTTAGGTTAGGTTAGGTAGGTTAGGTCGTCGAAAAACAATTAATTCATGAAAACTTGGCTTATTTGGCAAATCGGGCCTTGCATAGTAGGCTGAGAAGTGAGTTCTGGCTACTAGGTACGACATATATATATATATATATATATATATATATATATATATATATATATATATATATATATATATATATATATATATATATATATATATATGTCGTACCTAGTAGCCAGAACGCACTTCTCAGCCTACTATGCAAGGCCCGATTTGTCTAATAAGCCAAGTTTTCATGAATTAATTGTTTCTCGACTTCCTAACCTGCCTAACCTAACCTAACCTAACTTTTTCTGCTACCTTACCTAACCTAACCTATAAAGATAGGTTAGGTTAGGTTAGGTAGGGTTGGTTAGGTTCGGTCATATATCTACGTTAATTTTAACTCCAATAACAAAAAATTGACCTCATACATAATGAAATGGGTTGCTTTATCATTTCATAAGAAATAAATTAGAGAAAATATAATAATTCAGGAAAACTTGGCTTATTAGGCAAATCAGGCCTTGCATAGTAGGCTGAGAAGTTCGTTCTGGCTACTAGGTACGACATATATATATATATATATATATACCCACATTGGCACCAGAGGTAGTACCCTCACAAACTCTTATATATGTGTGTGTATATATATATATATATATATATATATATATATATATATATATATATATATATATATATATATATATATATATATATATATATATATATATATATATATATATATATATATATATATATATATATATATATTTATTTTGCCGCCAGAGGTGGATAGTTCATTAAGCATCCCTATTCAACCAGTGAGTGGTGGTTTATTGTGCACCCCGAACCCCGACCAGTTGTGTGAGCGGACCCCGACCAGTTGTGTAACTGCAAGCCTAGCATGAACGAACCACCAATAAACATACTTGAACTTGAAATGGACTTTAATGTTTTTTTATCAGCTTTATTTCCTTAGTTTCCGAGCTGTTTTATTTACCGTGTATGTTGTAATAAACTATTCCTATATTTACAGTTGTTTCTCCCTGTGAAGATTATTAAACAATGGTGATTATAAGGGCGCGGAAGTTGAGCCTGGCCAGGGCCGCCAGCAGCCCTTGGGCCCGCCCCGGCAGCTCCCAGTCTTTAATTTGGCACCTTTGTGGCACCTTGGTATAAGCTTAACATGTATATATACACTGGCTGCCTGTCCCCCTACACAACGGTTTATTATTACCTATTATTTTATCATTTAATTTAAATATTAAATAAAATAATTCAATTAATTATTATAGTAAGTACTTAATAATTTAATAATAAGTAGTAAGTACATAAAAATGATTAAAAAGTACAGTTTAGGAGATTCCTAAGATTGGAATTCACTACCAAAATTCAATATATCCAAGTATTTTTAGTGTGAAATGCTGTTATTGTATGCATAAATTGTATTTGCGGGTTATTCATGCCCGTGCCACCTCTTGGTGGATTAATCTTCATCAATCGAGAGCAGTACGTCCTAACCAGACATTATATGATGATATCCTGAAGGAGTTGATAAATAAAAGTAATTGCGGAACTCCAGTTATCTAATACTTATCATAAATGGTATAAAACCTTATCATAAACCAAGGGATTTGTAGATCAGTGTTTAAAGGGAATTCGGAAGTAATAATAACACAGCTGATGCCATCTGTCGGCACAAGAGAACACTATCAACTGGCTGGTCAACAGTAGCCATAAGATACAGCTTACGCCATCTGTTGACATCAAATTACACTTATAACAAATTACCCCACAAAATACAACTAACGCCATCTAGTTTTTTTCCAACGCACTATAAATAGCCAAACAGCAACCCATAAGGTGGGTTGTTGTGCTCGGGTAGGAGGTTCCAAGCTCCGCCCACAAGTGGTATGGGGTGCATAATAAATGGCATATCATTGGTAGATATTCTTTGTTGACATTCACACAACAGCCAATCACAGGAAGGGATCAGCTAAAGGCTCCATCCACTTAATAAATCATCTTTATTCAGCACACCATCCTTGCTTATGACATTCTGTTTCAACTTTAATCTACCTAAAAATTGAAATATTAAGTATTTAAAAGTATTAATATAGTGATAATTTAATACTGCAGGATGTAACGAGTGTTACAGAAACATGGGCTGGCTACCTGACTTGTGACGTCATCAGTGGGAGTTGCCTCACACAAATAATATCGGCGATACAATGCCTCCGTCCTCTTATTGGTCTACATTATTCAGTTAGATGGAAATTTCTGTCTTGTATAAAACAGAAATTGTTGTTCTTTTGTGCAACAACAAGGTTATTGAGCAAAAGGACGTATTTCTTATTTTGCATTTTATTCATATAAGCGTTGGCATTCCCCGCAACAGCCAATCACAGGAAGGTATTTGTTGGAAACTCTGCCTTCAACAAAGTTGATTCCTAATGAACTCTAACAATAAATTCGTTTAATAAACGAGTATTTAGGGTTAAGCTACAGATGAACATTATAGGATAACGGTGTTTTAGCTTGCAGCTTCGTTATACAGAATCCCTGGTCTTAATTTTAAAAATAAAGAACTAGAAAGCGTATTTTATTGCTAACTTTTTCGGGGAAATATATCCCAGTCTCATATTTGCGTACATTTATGCACTGATTTTTTGGCTTAAGTTCTTATCATAATCCCTTTTGCAATCTCAACACCATCTGGCTCGTATCTTGTAACTATCTTCGTTACTTAGCCTCAAAACCTTACATTTGTCTTATATATCTTCAACAGTAGATAAAAAAAGTAATTGCAAAATTCTAGTTACCTAATACCAGCATGGTATAAAACCTTATTATAAGCTACCAGACGTATAGATCAGTGTTTAAAGTAATAATAATACATTATTATTAATGTAATAATATTATTAAAATAATAATAATACAGCTGATGCCATCTGTCGGCAATTAAAAACACTATCAACTGGCAGGTCAATAGTAGCCATAAGATACAGCTTACGCCATCTGTTGACATCAAATTACACTTATAACAAATTACCCTACAAAATGCAACTAACGCCATCTGTTGCTTTTCCAACGCACTATAAATAGCCAAACAGCAACCCATAAGGCGGGTTGTTGTGCTCGGGTAGGAGGTTCCAAGCTCCGCCCACAGATGGTATGGGGTGCATAATAAATGGCATATCATTGGTAGAAACTCTTTGTTGACATTCACACAACAGCCAATCACAGGAAGGGATCAGCTATAGGTGCCATCCACTTAGTAAATCATCTTAGTTCAGCCCACCAGTCCTGCTTATGGAATTCTGCTTTAACTTTAATTTACCCAAAAAGTGAAGTGTTAATTATTTAAAGTGTTAATAAAGTGATAATTAAATATTGCAGAATATAACAGATGTTATATAAAAATGGGCTGCATGGCTACCTAACTTGTGACGTTATTATTGGGAGTTGCCTTGACACAAATAATGATACACGGCTCTGCCCTCTTATTCGAGTAAATTATTCAGTTAGATGGAGATTTCTGTCAGGTGCAAAACAGAAATTGTTGTTCTTTTTCACACCAACCTTGTTGTTGTGCACAAGGACCTATTTCTTAGCTTAAATTTTATTCATAAAAGAGTGTTAGTATTCCCCGCAACAGCCAATCACAGGAAGGTATTTCTGGAAGCTCGGCCTCCTTATGGACTCAGCACATCGCTCTAGCCTCATGGCTCTCTGTTTCATCTCTTGTATATACAAAATATGACTTTTTTCGATTACTGTTATAATTAATAATATGAGATATAAAAGTTTTTACACAAAATGGCTAAATTCTGCCATTAAATGGACTTTGTCTGATATACATACAAACATACACCAATTTATTATTACCATTCATCCATTATTGATTTCAAATGTAATGTATACTGTCTAGCTATCCCGGAGCTGGCATTGGTGATATTATAAACAACATGAATGATATTATTTTCCCTCTCGTCATTACTTGGTGCAATATTTGAAAGTTGTCTAGTAATATTACTTATCGATCTATCTATTATCTTGTATTTATATTACAATGGGGTGTGGGCCGGTTTCTGTGCTTGAATGGAAGATAACAAAGAATTTGAAGAACCTTATAAAACTAGGGAAAGGATAGGTCCATTAAAAACTGAGACAGGTCAAATAACTGCAGGTTTGTTACCAGGGAGGATGTTCTTAAACAAATAGTAAAAATCCCCAGGGCCGGATGGGTCAACCATATTTAATAAATCAATAGAGTCAGGCAGAGTGCCAGAGTTTTGGAAAGTTGCTAACTAATTTATCTATAATAGCAAATTCGTCTTCATCTTTAAATAATATTATTTAGTGCTATATTAATTAATAACTGTCTAGTGCCTTTTTCCCTCTCGTCATTACTTGGTGCAATATTTGTCAAATTATTCGAATATTATCAATTAGTTTCTGTGCTTGGAAGAAAACTTGCATTGAAGCTATTAGTATTAATTAATATTTACAATTATTATTAAGTATACAATGGATAGTTTATAGACTTGGGTAAATTACTTTCATGTAACTGTTTCAAGCACGGGTTGGACAAGTATATGAGTGGGATTGGGTGGTTATAGAATAGGAGCTGCCTCGTATGGGCCAATAGGCCTTCTGCAGTTACCTTTGTTCTTATGTTCTTATGTTATGTAAATCCTAAAGGGTTTTTTCAGTTATATCGTACTAAGACTAGGGAAAGGATAGGTCCATTAAAAACTGAGACAGGTCAAATAACAGATAGTGATGAAGAGATGAGTAGTATTTTTAATAAATATTTTGTATCTGTATTTACTAAAGAGGAACTTAACAATATGCCTTCAGCCGAACAAGTCTATGTGGGTGGGGACGAGGACAGGTTGACGAGTTTAGCAGTTACCAGGGAGGATGTTCTTAAACAAATAGTAAAACTCAAACCAAACAAATCCCAGGGCCGGATGAAGTGTTTGCTAGGGTGCTTAAAGAATGCAAAGAGGAGCTTTGTGACCCACTGTCAACCATATTTAATAAATCAATAGAGTCAGGCAGAGTGCCAGAGTTTTGGAAAGTTGCTAATGTGATACCAGTTTTTAAGAAAGGAGATAGATCACTTGCGTCTAACTATCGACCAATTAGCCTAACGTCTATTGTGGGAAAGTTACTCGAATCTATAATAGCAAATAAAATTCGTCTTCATCTTGAAAAACATAAATTAATAATTGAGTCGCAACATGGTTTTATAAATGGCCGTTCATGTTTAACAAATTTGTTATCTTTTTATTCTAGCATTGTTGAGGCAGTTGATAGTGGTAAGGATTGCGATGTTGTATACCTTGACTTTAGCAAAGCTTTTGATACAGTGCCACATGAAAGACTGATTAAAAAAATAGAGTCTCATGGTATTGGGGGTGCTATATTAAGCTGGATTAGGGCATGGCTATACCAAAGGAAACAGAGAGTTAGTATAAATGGAATCAAGTCAGAGTGGGAAAATGTTGTAAGTGGAGTGCCTCAAGGCTCTGTCCTGGGACCTCTGTTGTTATAATATATATAATGTATACTGTCTAGTTTTTCCCTCTCGTCATTACTTGGTGCAATATTTGAAAGTTGTCTATTTACTTATCGATCTATCTATTATCTTGTATTTATATTTACAAGTTTCTGTGCTTGGAAGAAAACTCTGCATTGAATTGGGACTAATTTATTAAATAATATTATTTAGTATTAATTAATATTTACAATTATTATTAATTACAATTATTTATAGCTTAGTTACTTTCATGTAACTCGCAATTCCCCCTGATAGTTCGCAATCGTACAATCGTAACATTAATAGCCCAAATTAGCACATCTTGCTTTTAAATTAGCCCCAAAAGTAGCAAGTAGCGAAATTAAAAAATTGGGAGCGCGGGGCTCTCAAAAGTAGCCCAATTCGCTATTTGTAGCCCAATCTGGCAACACTGCTAGCGGATCACCGTAATATACACACCGCTGCCACATGCACGATTCACTCGATGCTACTAAAAAAATACATTTACCTGGCACAGGAGCGGGTTTGTAGAGTTTAAAATGATTGATTGAGTGATGAAGATTAAGCCACCCAAGAAAAGGCACGGGCATAACTAGCCCATAAGTTTACCATTATTGATGGATTAAGATAAAACGCTAAACTGTAATGCCAATCCTGACCTCAAAAGCTTCATAGAAGGTTGTAACAGAACCCATGAGCACCACACCAGAAATAAATACAGTTTTGATATTCCTAGAGTACGTCTTTGATTAAGACGTACTCTAGGAATGCTCTACAAATCAAGGGGCCCAGAATGTGGAATGACCTTCCCAACCATGTTAAAGACTGTACCTCTCTCAACCAGTTTAAGATAAAAACGAAGCTATACCTAATAAATTCCCTGTAACCTACCTTACCCCTCTATTGTCAACCAATGTCTTTTTTTTTAAAGAGCGCTGTTAGTCGACAGAATTGTATTTGTGCTGCTTTTTCAGCTATGTTTTCATTTCTTGTTTTCATTTTACTCTTTATCCTCAATTAGTATTAAGCTTTAGTCATTTAAGTTTTTCATGCCCGAAACGCTTTGCGTAATAGTGGCTTCAGGCATTGTATGTACTAGCTCTATCTATAAGTCCACCAATCTTTGTAAAAAAATTTCATGTATGTATGTACCTTACCTAAATAAACATTTATTATTGTTATCATTATTATTATTATTATTATTATTATTATGATTAAGCCACCCAAGAGGTGGCACGGGCATGAATAGCCAGTAAAGTTTACCGTGCTTTTTGCACAGGCTTATATTCTCTTTGGATGAGGTGGTACAGAACAAGTGGATGAATGACATAACATAGGGGATACAGAAAGGGTATTACATGCTTCAACATTAGCAGCTTATGATCTTGCGGCTGCTTGTGTTTCTAAGGCAGGGTCATTAGACCCTGCCTTAGAAACTCTGATCCCTGCGTTGGCTCGGGGTCTTGAGGTGGGTAGGATGTAATTATTTATTTATTTATATACAAGAAAGTACATTGGGTTTATGAGTATACATAGCATAGTACAGTATTTACAATCTTGTAAAGCCACTAGTACGCGCAGCGTTTCGGGCATTATGTGTTAACTGGCTGTTGATTGCTGGTCTTGACTTTTTAGTCAAGACCAGCAGTCAACAACCAGTTTTTTATATTTGTTAGTATATACAAGAGTTCTTACATTCTTGTACATATATAATGTGTGTGTATGCAAAAATTTTCGAATTTTCATTCAAATTTATCATGTTAATTAGGCTACAGATATAAGACAATGTATGTTGCAGTTCTCCTACACTGAATTGGGTTTCAACATGTATAAATCTACAATTATATAATACAAAAAAATAAAGAGTGCAGTAGAACAGTTTGGTCAAGCCGTGGTGCCAGCACGAGGTCCCAGCCAGCTGAGTTCCACTCACAACATCTCAGGATATCAGAGAGGCGAGATGCTCCTTCCCAGACTCCTCACCGGCGCCCTCAGATGTTGTCAAAATCATTTGTCACGTAATCAGTCGCCTTCTGCAGTGTGTAGACATTTATCTTCGGCCACCAGGTACGCACATCAGTCGCAGGCACGAGAGATTGTGAGCACCGGGTGAATGTCACAGGGTTGGGAGTGGAAAGTTTGCCGTATAGACCGTACTAGCGAGGCAATATACTCTGAAGGTCAATATCAGTGCCAGTTGGCAGGAGCCGCAACCCATTGACAGTTGTCCTTGAACCTTTAACTCCTTTAGGGCACTGCTTTACATGTATCAAGCATCCATATACCTTGTTAATTAATGTTAAAATTTAGGTAGGTAACTATCTATATATATATATATATATATATATATATATATATATATATATATATATATATATATATATATATATATATATATATATATATATATATATATATATATATATATGTATTTATATATATATACCTTGAGGTTACCTTGAGGTGCTTCCGGGGCTTAGCGTCCCCGCGGCCCGGTCGTCGACCAGGCCTCCTGGTTGCCGGACTGATCAACCAGGCTGTTGATCATGATTTTATATATATATATATATATATATATATATATATATATATATATATATATATATATATATATATATATATATATATATATATATATATATATATATATATATATATATATATAAACACACACATTTATATATAAATATATATATATATATATATATATATATATATATATATATATATATATATATATATATATATATATATATATATATAAATAGATGTTTACCAATATATAAATAGTTAACTCTGGGAGTACCTGCTTACTGCTAGGTGAACAGATACATTAGGTGAAATTAAATATGCCCAACCATTTCTGTCTTCCGTGGTAATTGAATCCGGAATATCTGATTGTACTGAATCTGAGTCAGTGCATTAAAGTCAGAATGTACAGAAGGCAATGTTTATATTTGACCCCTTGGGTACATCTTGATGAGTATTGTATATTTCATTCATATGTAAATGTATACACATGCAGAATACATTCATGGTTGTGAAAGATAAATTGAAGGGCGGACACAATTTTACATGAACTTATAAATCATGATATAATACTTAGCATAAAGGAGTAATTGCATTTCGAAGAGTCTGAATTTTTGTATTCTTATAATTTCAGCCATGAGCCAGAGTATGATATCGTGGTGGTGGGAGGGGGCATCGTAGGTATGGCCACGGCTCGAGAGCTGGCGCTCAGGCACCCAGACCTCAAACTTGGTGTTGTAGAGAAGGAGAACCGGCTTGGTAAGAAATTAATCTATGCAGCATTTCAATGTATGGAACCATGGTATTCATTATTATAAATGAAATTACTTTATTTATAAATCTCTTTCACTCCATATCTCATTAAAAAGGTTAATGTAACGGTCTGCCACAGCTTTATCTGGGTGACTTTTTTTTCAACAAAACTTTGCAGTTCTTCACCATACTGATATCTAATGTTTAATCATAATGATCAGTGTTAGGCTATTAGCCGAGGGTTCAGCACAGTTGGGTCAAAACCAAAAGATCCGGGTTTGTTTCCTTCCTGTCCCCAACTGTGAGGAACCATAATAAATGGTTTATTGGAAACCATTTATATGGTTTTAGGAACAATAAGTACAGTATATGGTTTTAGTAAACCATAATAAATAGCAGTGTCCGTGGCGAAGTGGTAACACACTCACCTGGCATTTCGCGAACGCTTTGGCCTGGCCGGGGAGGATTGACTTGGCCCCAATCCTTAACTGTGGCCTCTGTTCACCCAGTAGTGAATGGGTACCTGGTTGTTTGACGATTTGGTGGGATAGTATTCCGGGGAAAATTAGGATTAAGGACCTGCCCAAAATGCTATGCGTGCTAGTGGCTTTACAAGAATGTAAGAACTCTTGTATATATAACAAACAAAAAATAGTGTCTGAAACTGTAGACATACTCTCTAAATTCTGATATTCATTATCTTGATCAGCCCTGATAACACTACTGAGTATTATTCACTTTATCCATATCTCACCTACGGTATTTACTCAATTCAGATCAGCAATTTAATAATAACAGCCTCCAATCCCAGATAGCATCCAGTATGTTTACCTATATCCTTAAATGTGATAAATATAATAGTGCTACATATGCTCTTATATCTATTTTCTATCAAAGATCTGAATTACTGTACAATTCTAATCCTGATCTCAAATGTTTCTTAGGGCTGCAATAGAACCCATGGACACCACACAAGAAGCTAACAATGTATGTACTGTACTGTATATGATTTTCAAAGATTCTGACCCAACCAGAGGAAAATTGGCATGTGAATACAGGGTCTGAATGATCTTCCAAATGCAATAATATATGAGAATGAAGTGCACTAATCAATGAAATTAATAACCCACTACAGTACAGTATTTAAAAAAAAAAAAAAAAAAAAACAGGAAACGTAGACTGTACATTTAGATTCTCTTCTTGAGCAATGGGTTGCAGAAGAGGATCCTCATTAATATATACTTGTATATATGTATGTATATATATATATATATATATATTTTTGACATGCCAGAGACTCCAGACAACACCAGAGTTTGGTGTTGACAACAGCTTTGATCGGCCGAAACGTTCATATCTTTACCATTTCTCTGTGGATTTTCTACACACACACACACACATATATGGGTACCCCTTTTAGGTATAAAAAAAAAATATATACTGTATAATATTTTTAGATATAGAAGTCAGTAGGGTTGTGAATGTTAAGATTCTTTGTTTCTGCATATTATCTGTAATACTAGTCTGCTCTTTTTATTTTTGTTTTGCCACATTGTAAGTTTTAAATAATGCTTGTATTGCAGCATTCCATCAGAGTGGGCACAACAGTGGGGTGATACATGCCGGTATCTACTACAAACCTGGCTCTCTCAAGGCTAAGCTGTGTGTTGAGGGCCTCCAACTTGCCTATGAGTACCTGGATAAAGAAGGTAAAAAGAATTAACTGTGTTGAACAACTTTTTATTTAATTTAAGCTTATTTAATCAATGATGACACCGTATGCTTGTGGATAATGAACGTTGAGCTGTATACTATATATGTATTTCCTGATGGCATCTGATCTTAAAAAATGTATACAAGAGGTGTGACAGGACAGGAACTACACTACTGTATAGGATAATAATAATAATAATAATAATAATAGTAATAATAATAATAATAATAATAATAGTAATAATAATAATAATAATAATAATAGTAATAATAATAATAATAATAATAATAGTAATAACAATCACTATGGCTTGATATATCAATGAAAATCATTTTGGGGCAATGGAACCTCTTTTATATGTAATATAAAAAGAGAGATGAGAACATTATTGAATTGTTGAAGAATTTGAAAATGATTGTCAGCTAAACATAAGACATTTATAAACAGCAGCTGCTATTTATATACTGTAGTTACAGTATATAAATTTTTGTGCTGTACCTGTACATTGTTTGTGTTTTCTTTAAATTGTAACTGCATTTGAATTTCTTTAAATTTATTTAGAAAATGTATTTAAAATTGGTCATTATCAATTTCATTTTGGTGTTCTTGTTAAGCTTGCATTATCCTTCAGGCATGTAAAGAATATACTATACTTTGTACATTATCTAAAGGAAATAGTTTGGGGGCTAATTTCTCGCATATCTGTATACAGTATATAATTGAAGAAGTGTCTCTTTGTTTGAGCTATTATAAAATTGTAGTACATTACTGTAAAGCATAAAAAAATCTGAAAAAGGAAGTCCAAAATATCTCAATCCAAAAAAGATTTTGAAACCATAAATTTTACACAAATCTGAGAGCGAACCAGGAAACCGAGTCTTAATTTGTGCATCCGTCGTGATAAAGGGCAGCAACGCAGGAGGGTGTTGTTGTTACAGGGTTTATTTTCTCGAAGTTGCTACAGAAGCACTCAAATTTGACAGAAAACCGAGATACATACCATCCAGAAAGATGTGGGAGGAGTGTGTGGCATTAGCATGACCACTCTCACTGTGTATACATTACTGTAATAAGGGGCTTTGCTAAACATGCAGTACATTTCACTGGTCTTGTTATAAGCATAAATCAAAGCTGTAATAAAATGTCATATATGTTTTTGTAAATAAAAATAACTTTGAATGCTAGACTGTAGTACTGTATTACTAATCATTTCACTTAAGCATTTATTTTATTATAATGAGCAAAGAACTTCTCAAGGCTTTGATTATATAAAGAAATTTTTTTCTTCAGGAATTCCATATAAAAAATGTGGGAAGCTGATTGTGGCAGTTAATGATAAAGAAGTTGGGAGGCTCATGGACCTGTTTGACCGGGCAATTCATAACGGAGTACCAGATGTAGAAGTTATTGAGGGACATGAAATAAAGAAGTATGAGCCCTTTTGTCAAGTAAGTTGATAATATTTATTATTTTAGGAATTATTTTGCATGTGTGTAAATCTATCTTCCTCCTCTTATCTTTTGTTCTTTACTCAACCCTGATACAGTTAACAAAATCCCTTTTCCCCCTTTTTCTTCTTGTGTACATAATGTTTGTAAATAGTGATGTTTCTTGATGTGTAAGAGTATTGTAATACAGTATACTATAGTACTTGTTATGTATTCTGAATAGTTGGTAATGTGAATTAAGACAAGACAGACTAACACTAATGATAGACTTAGTTTCTGTTTTCACTTCACTTCAGCAGTTTTTAATATTTTAACTTACTAGACATTTCAACTTGAACGATCTATTGGTATCTGTACCTTTAATTCCTTATCTCGTAACACATTTCCATGAAGGAATATTCAGTATCATCAAGTAGAATATTTTTCAGATATTTCCTAATTATCTCCATGTGATGGCAGTTAGGCATCCACTTTCCAGCAGCCACTTTAACACTCTAATTACATTGAACAGCAAACTTAGGTCATAATATATATAAAGAATTACTTTCCAGGGTTTAAAGGCAATCTGGTCTCCACACACTGGCATTGTTGATTGGGGATTAGTGACGGAGCATTATGGCAAGAACTTTCGTGATTCTGGTGGCAGCATTCATCTCGACTTCAAAGTAACAGACTTCCAGTTCATAGAGGGCAGTGAAAGAGATGTGAAGTATCCTGTCAAGGTCATCAGTAATGGAAAAGCAAGTGTTCTCTGTAGCTGTTGTATCATGTTTTTGTAACCTAAATTTTATGTACAGTACATGGCTTCTATGTTTGATCTACTAGCCTTGTAGTTTGCTAATTTTTATATCAGCAGGATACTGCATTCTGTTGAATATAAACTACAGTATTTAAAAATATTTAACATGTCATTGTTAGTGTCAGAATTACTCATTCCTTTTATTTATTACTGTACTGGTATTGGGTTTTGAGTGGAAATATGTGTGCATGTTTTGTCTTCATTTATGAGTTAGTATGTGTGAATGTATTTAAATATGAGCACTACAATCAACTACTGTACATATCAAAGTATCTTAAGGACTTATGTAGCCAAGATAATGTAACTAATTTTGCTGAGTATTAAGGGCTCAAAGTTATTGAGATTACAGTTTCATCTCATGCAATATGTATACCATTTTGAGGAGCATCATGGGAGAGATCACACTAGCAAAACACCCACACTTTGAACAAATCCACAAGGTCCGTGATGAGGGTTCGAACCTACATCTGAGAGGATCCCAGAAGCGCCTTAATCGATTGTGCCACGACATGGCAAAAGAATTTTACCATATCCACACTTTATTTCCCTGTTTTGTAGTTGACTTGGTTCTGGGGTAGGTAAAAAAAAAGTATTGAATTTTAATATTTAATGAACTCTATATTGGTAAATCAATATACAGTATTTTCCTATCAGGTTGTGCGATGCAAATACGTGTTAACGTGTGGTGGCTTGCAATCAGACAAGTTAGCAAAGTTATCAGGGTGTTCTGAGGACCCTCGAATTGTACCCTTTAGAGGAGAGTACCTTCTTCTGAAGAAAGAAAAAGCTCATCTAGTGCGAGGGAATATATATCCTGTAAGTTTTGAGAAGTATAATGTTTTCTTTGAAATAATAATGTTTATTTAGTTCTTGTTAGGTTATGCAAATAAACTGCTGCACTGCTTGGTTCCAAAAATTAAAAAATTCTGATCTATTACATTCAGTTGCTTTTAGGGTAAGAATAAACTGGGTTCATGAACAGTCTGGCAGGATGACAGTTAGGTAATGGTACCACAGGGATCTTTATAAGCATTGCTGCAGTCACATAAGATGGGTAGGAGGTACTGGAGAAAAAGCACAATCTAGCCATGACTGATAAGTACATGATCATGTCAAAAAGTCTCGTACCTGAAAATTTTCCTTTTTGATGGCTCGTGAATCCTATTTCTGACAGTGGATTCTTACTATAGGAAAATATCAAATGGTTTTCTTCAGAAAGGTATTTTATATTGATTAAGTCTTATACAGTATACATGTATAATGTTTAAATAAATAATAGGATAGAACAGTAAAAGTAATGTTGTAACAAATTATGTTCAGCAAATTACATTATTAAAAAAATGTGGATTACATTTCAGGTGCCAGATCCTCGTTTTCCATTCTTGGGTGTGCACTTTACTCCCCGGATGAATGGCGACATATGGCTAGGCCCCAATGCAATTTTTGCTCTCAAACGAGAGGGATATCGGTTAGTGAATATTTTAATTAATTCTCTCTAGGAAAGTTTATTGCAATCATGTCTTTGATTCATTCTTTTTAATCTTGTGTTCATCCAATTTTGGTTGTTGAATTTGTTAATTTATATGGTACCAGCAAATATCATAGTACAGTAATAATATAATAAGGAATTTCACTTGCTACTACAGTATAAATAAATCAGTTGGACATACATATATACATACATAAACAGGCCTTAGAGAGATGCACCAGACCGCTGAGACCCACCCCTTGCCTATCTGGAGCCAAGGTCAGAATCTGGCTTTCTCTAAGAGGTGAGGGGGGGGGGGGAACTTGACAATCAGAGATGAACCCAAAACCAAGAAAAACTCCACCAGAAGCATAAGCACAACAAAATAAGCTAAACTACTAATTGAAGAAAAAATGAAGAAAGAAGGTGTAAATGAGCATTGCTGTGGAATAAACACCCTAATTGTGATGCACCTGACTACCACAAAAGGTGAAGACCGGTGGCAGGGAGCTCCTGAGGGCATTTCATTGCACCTAGTGCTTGATTTCTGGGAGGCCCTCTCAGTAGCTCCTTATAGCTAACCCAAGACTCTTCAGCAGAGGCCAGATTTTCTGAAAAAAGAACAAAATTCAAAACAAAAATTTGTGGCCAGACCTGTGGAAGAAAGCAGAAAATGAGGTCCTGGGATAAAGGCACACCAGTAGTGTGTCAAATGCCAAAATACAATACAAAAACAAGAACACCCTCTGGCAGAACATAAAACCAACACCCGGGTGAACCATTAAAAAGAAGCCTCAAACCCGAACATCAGCCGTGTAGCAAGGGAATGAAGACAGACCACTGGCTAGCTGAAACTGAAAGGTCCAAAGGTAAATCAGGAAACCATTGGGCAGAGGATCCAGGTACGGAAACCAGAAACCATTCTGATTTTTGGTTCAGCACCTTGAGAACTAACCACCAGATCTTTAGGTCTGGTGGTTAGTTCTGTTAGATGGAAGATCTGGAAGACAATTCTGAGAAAATCTCAACCAGAAAACACTAGTCACGAAGCAGATGCCCGAGGCTCTAACCCCAAAATAAAAGAACACTGCTCTGACAACCAGGATAGCCCAAAAGCATTGGGCATAGCAAGCAGATGGCATGGCACTGCTAAACAAAGGGCATGTAGCCAAATCAGCTTGGGCAAACAAACCACAAGACTTGGGCCGCCAAGGTCAAAAACTCCTTATGATTTAACTTTTGGTTTTCGATTGCAAAATCTCCACATTTCTAAGGTTTCCACTATATGGAGTTCCAGATTTTTAAGATTGCACTGTACTTATTTTATTATTTCATTATGAAATGTTAAAATTCTATTTAATTTTTAGCATAAGGCAAAAGAAACAAAATATGTGGCAGTCCCCGTTGTGTAATGGTTAAGACGTTCATCTGGTGTTTCGCGAGCGCTTTGTCTTGGGTCCGTATCTTGGCCGGGGAGGATTTACTGGGCGAAAATCCTTAACTGTAGCCTCTGTTTAACTCAACAGTAAAATGGGTACCTGGTTGTTAAACGATTCTTCGCAAGGTCATATTCCAGGGAACATAGGATTAAGGACTTGCCCGAAATGCTACGCGTACTAGTGGCTGTACAAGAATGTAAGAACTCTTGTATATATAAATAAATAAATAAATAAATAAATAAATAAAATAAATGTAACACCTCAGGCAACAGACAGCTAGAAAAGCTAAGCCTTTTGGTGACGAGTCTGATAGCAATTGCAAGCTTAACTGGGCAACACAGATCCACCAATTAAATAACTTTATTAGGACAAGTTATGAGTAAGTTGTTGGTATGAGTAAATGGTACTGAATATGACAGTTGATTGTATAGTATAGCAACTGCAAATTTTACAGAAAGCCTAATGCATATTATTTCAATCATTTTTATACATTTTGATTTTTCCTTTTATTGCTATGCAAGTAAGTTATTGTTGTGTTTCAGGTGGCGAGATATTGATTTGCATGAATTATGGGAAGCTGTCACATATCGTGGCTTTCAGAAGTTGGCATTGCAGTTCATAGGATTTGGGTTCAAGGAAGTGATGCGTTCAGCTTTTCCTGCGCTTCAGGTATAAAATTTTGTTCTGTGATAAAATTCATTGTTTGATCTTGCCATTTCATGAACTATGTTAATTTGCTTATTAGTACAATGTGTATTTTGAGAAAAAATTGGGCAAGATAAAATATTTTGCATTTTGAGGAGTTGATGCTTCTTTCAGTATTATTCACTATATTTTCAAAATTAGTGATTCGTTTCAGTAAAGATCAGGCTTTCAGTCTTGTGTAAAGTGCTTTCCTGAACAGATAATTAGGCTGCTCCACAAGATAAGTACTCACTGTGTCCATAGGTGAGGATTATGCAAAGTCAGGAAAAATTACACATTTCACTTAATGAGAGGACAATGAGCCACAACTCCCGGACAACAAAAAGTGTGAGCAGAGGCCCCCATACAGCACCTTTCTTTACCTGAGGATAAGAGGACTCTACAGTGCCCCAAATAATGCTTGGAATGTGAGCTAATCTGTTGATATTTTTTTGTGAACTCGCAGTTTATCAGTGGTATTGTAAGCCACCCACTGTAAACAAGGCTCGGAACAGCCAGAAGGTCTTGGATAAAATCAACACTGAGCTCAACAAGTAAAACGTAAGAAGCAAAATAGTAACCTGTCAAGTCACAAAAGTCAGTGTGGCATTTCTCTACTGCACTAATCAGTCTTTTTGCAGTTTTACCAAGAGCTTTGCTCTACATGCCAAGCACTGATATTGCCTGTGTGAAGCCATTTTTGCACACAACTGGTGCCAAATCTTCAAAGACAGGAAAATAATCAGGAACACAAAAGGATCTGTAAACATAAATCTTTCTAGGCACCACATACCAGCACAGGCTTCAAAGATCAAGAGCAGTGAAACTGTTTATTGAAATCAATCCCAACCTGTTGGCTGTCATGAGACACACAGTAATCAGGAAGTATGTGAGGTGGTCTGGTGGTGGTGGGGACAAGCACATGTGCATAGTGCTGATGGTGTTGATCAGCGGGGATGTCCAACCAGGTCAAACTAGTAGTTAACCAGGACACTTCCTTGGCTTCCAGTGTTGTCAGGGCAGGGGTGTGAAAAACTTGAGCTTTATGAATGAGCATTTTGGTCACTCTGGGCTAGATTTATTTATTCCCAAGTGCCTCCATTGCACCTCAATGACCCTGCAGGGACAGTTTGAAATCTCTTCTCGTGCTGGTTGTGAGTACAGACAGTATGGACATAGTGAATCCTTATTTCTTGGAGTAGCCAAATATAATACTGTAGCTTATAAATTACAATCTTAGTCACTGTCCTGTTTTTCGTTAGTACCCGTATCTGTTACAACTGTCATTTTGCTTGTACAGTATATTAAAAAAAAATCATAACAAATGATACCTGGGTAATCTGTCCATTATAAACATCAGAACTTTGATGAATATTTCATTAGAAGTCAGTTAACATTCAAATTTTCTTTAGTAAGGTCTTGATAAATATTACCTATGCCGAATAAATATCTCAAGCCCACATGGGCCGGATAACAGATCAGTAACTGCAGATATATTGAGAAATTATCTATAAACTTCTAACAAGCAAGAAAAATACAGGTACTGAACTGAAAGTCTTACACAAAACAGAAATAGGTTTTATGGATTTTAGACTTGAGACATTATATTAAGGAATTTGAAACTAACTGGCACTCTACATGTCATGTCATTCAAGAAGTCAAACAATTTACTAACATGATCCTTGACTTGATTCAGCAAAATAAGGAAAGATCAAGAACATCAGTTACTATACATGTACTGAATAGGAAATCAAGAAATGTAGTGTTTAAGCTGAAAGATTAGACAACACTTATAAAGTTTAATTTCCAAAAGTCTGCAATAAGCTTTATACTTTCAGGTTGCAACACTACGGAAGTATATTCCAGAGGTCAGAGCATCTGACATTTCCCGTGGCCCAACTGGTGTGCGAGCACAAGCCATGAATGTTGATGGATCATTAGAAGATGATTTTGTTTTTCATAGAGAAACTGGATCACCATTAGGATCCCGTATTCTACACTGTCGTAATGCTCCATCACCAGGTGCAACATCTTCACTCTCCATTGCTAAGATGATAGCTGACAAATGTAGAACGGAATTTTTGCTTTGAAAAGGCATGTATTAGGCTTTGGATATTTATTTTATTCAAATATTACAATGTCACAAGTTCTATTATTTAATATATATTGTACATAGCATTTTAAAATATAACCTAATAAGTTGTGAAGCTGAAAATCTAATTTACTGATTCCTTCACTTTATATAAAACTCTGTGACTAGTAATTTGTTAAGCTTCTCTTGTAATTGAAGAGAGCAATTTTTGAAAACCCTGGGGATATCTTTAAATGTATATGGCAAGATCATAGTTAATACTACATTCTCAAATCAATTAACCTATCATACATGATATTATCTTAAGTCCTTTTGCTTTAATGCTGTCTAATATCATTTATAGTCAGTCTTTTTAATTAATTTTCTTCAGTGAGAGCTAGGGTTTCTTTGCCACTTTTAGCATCAGTAGACCTCTCTCTATCTGGTATTTGTATCTCTTCCATCTCCCAAAAGCAAATAACTTACATAAGAACAAAGAATCAAGGTAACTACATAAAGGCATATTGGCCCATAGGAGGCAGCTCCTATAAATATCCACCCATTCTCATTCTATAGACAATAATGTCTATATATGTCTAACCTAAGAATCTTATTAGGATTTCAACCCTGTCATACATAATGTAATTCTCAACCATTGGTAGGATAGCTGGCAACCTACTACACAAATATAGTGGAACCTCGAGTGACGAGCGACTCCAGTTTCGAGCATTTCGAGTAACTAGCGAACCACTCGCAGAAAATTTGTCTCAACTGACGAGTTTTTGCTCGATTAACGAGCAAACCACATGGTGCTTCCTAGCGTTCCCGCTGGTTCTCGGACGCCTCCGACGACAGTGTTGTTGTTGTTTCGCAAGACGAGCGTTTCACATGACGAGCTCAGTACCGGAACTGATTAAATTCGTTAATCGAGGCACCACTGTAAGTCATCATTACTGTATATCAGATGTGACCTACCTCATGTCCTCAAAATAGGAAGTGGGGAAATGTCTCTGGCTACAAAAATGTCATGGGTGCTATATAGAACAGTCTTGTTGACCAAACCACACACTAGAAGGTGAAGGGACGACGACGTTTCGGTCCGTCCTGGACCATTCTCAAGTCGATTGTCTTGAAACATCGTCGTCCCTTCACCTTCTAGTGTGTGGTTTGGTCAATATACTTTAGCCACGTTATTGTGACTTATCGCCTAGAACAGTCTTGTACCTTATTTTCAGAACAATGTTGTTCTCCTAACAGTTGCTCACCTGCTTGCTGCTTGAAGATGTCCTGATTTTCAGAATTGGAAATGTTATTTTCCCATTGTTCCTGCAAGTCGGTTGCACCTTGATAAAATCCTTTGTGAATCTGTCTCCACTGACATCATTCCTCTTTCTGCTCTTGTATTGGCATCCTGAATGGTATCTAGAGACTCATGAATATTCTCTTAACTCTAACACGCACAGAGGTATATGGCCATACTGGCTTTACGACTTCTTTTGATAAGTCATTTCTTTTATGCTCAAAGAAAAAGTACAAATGTAAATCTGTGAAATATAAAGATAAAAAAAGTATCAAAAAATTTGACAATTATTTATTCGTATTTATTTTTCTCTAATACCTGATTTTTTCTTTATTTAATTAGCAATCCTATTGCTTTACCTGTTACTGTTTGTGAAAAGGAACACTCAGTAGCTCCCTGAGCTTACTGGTACCACCAGCCTTAGCCCAACACATTAGGCTTTTGAGGCCCATCTGTTGTCTACTGGGAGCCAGGACCAGAATCTGGTTCACTCAACAAGACTGAAGGGAATCAAGGGATCCGAGATCAACTACAAAATCTGTGAAAAAAAGCCACCAGAAAGCATAAGTGCAATAATTTTCTGTAAAAATATATGATTAGCAGCACAATAGACAATCATCATTATAACTGTGTTGATCTTTGACATCCATAATGGTGTTATGATTGTAGAATGTCTAGTTACCACTCCTAAAGGCTGTGAAGTCCCTATAACTGCTCACAAGAATTGGGGCAGCTTGACAGGTCTGACAGATACATCTCTAGCTTGTAAAAAGCAATATAAGGTTAAATGGAGATACAGTATCGATGAAATCCTGTCATTTTTCATTTGAAAAGGGAGGAGATAGCATGAGAAATCTAACAATTGTATTACATTGGCAACAAATTTAAATTTTGTAGTGTACAATGACAAAAATTATACTGAATGTAATAAATATTGCTTCAAATGGGTATAGGTAAATAAGTGTGTGCATGTAAGAGTTATTCTTTCGTCCTGTGTGCTTTCATAAGTGATAATGTGCATTTGATGCAATGGATCAACACCTCTTGAAGGTGACCTCCGCTGGATACTTGGTATCTTTCTCCTCACTCAACAAAACAAAATGCATTGTTATAAACTTTACAATATTAGATTTATTGTTTAATAAGTTTAGCATTTGTAGATATTACAAAAGCTATGGAATACAGCAGTGAAAAAATCTAATGGAAGGCAAAGACACTACAGGAAAAACAGTCAGCGTATGAATTGTACCAATAGACAACTTGCACTATGCTTTATCAACTATGATGAATACCCTGCAGCCAAACTGTCATCTAAAAATAAAGTCTACTCTGAACTTGGTATTTTTCTATCACATGTATTTTTGGTTACACATGATTGTGAGAGTAAGTAGTGGCATCCTGTGTGTTTACTTGTACTTACCAGACATGAATGATGAGTGGTCATAGCAATGGGAATGACAATTATATATCCACTACGAGCTCACCATAGCCCGTGCTACTTGCAACTTCTTGTTCCAGATAGCGCATCTTTAACAACAACAGCAGACAATTATATCACAACAGTGATCAAAACCTGGGCAGTATTCCAGGTGGTTTATACTGGTAATTGGCAGTTACCAATAAAATCTAAATTGGTAATTGACAATTGCCAAATATTGTTGTGTAATGGCTAGCACTCTCACCTGCTCTCCTCACAAGTGAAAGCAGGCCTAGTTAGAAACCTGGGTAGGGTGGAAACAGTAACCAGCTATTCAAACAAAAGACTTTCAATAAACGTAGCATACATGGACTTCAATATAGCTTTTGATAAGGTATCACATGAACTACTGGCAAAGAAATTACAAGCACAAGGTAGTACAATTGGGTTCGTTCTTGACTCAATCAGGAATTTTGTATTTGAATCCTGGACAGGACAGAAATGGTTGGGTGCACTTCCTCTCGCCCAATGCCCCCCTATTCACCAATCAGTAAATAGGTACCCAAAAGTTGGCCAGCTTTTTGTGAGGTTGCATCCTGGGGAGGGTCAGTAGTTCGACCTTCGGGTGACTTCAATAAAGGTTAACATGTATATATACACACTGGCTGCCTGTTCCCTGACACACTGAATTACAATGGCAACTTGGTTTACAAATTTACTCCATTCCAAGAGACGGTTCATACACCGAAACGAATTTCACCATAAGAAATACAGGTAATGTAAATTGAATTACAGTACTGTAATCCATTACACACACGCAAAAATATTAACTTAAAAGTACATTTTATACAGAATACTACTCATATTTTTTACTATACCTTACCTTTATTGAAGACTCTTGTTGGCATATGGAAGACGGTGAGGAGTGGGGGGATGAGGAGATGTTAGTGTTTGGTAGGGAGTCCCCTTCCATTATAACATCAGGCACTAACGACATTTCTGAGGTACTGGACTCTCCTACGTTTTGCAGGCACACCACTAGAACCTGGTTATGGCTCACTGCTTGCTTGTCTTGCTAAGAATCTGTCTGTAGACACTTTTTTTTCCCTACATTTTAACACCTTATCTGTAGTGAGACATCACATTGTCATTAAAAAGGTTAATGCAACGGCCTACTACAGCTTTATCTGGGCGAGTCTTTTCAGCAAAACTTTGCAGTTCTTCCCATACTGCACACATTTTCTTAATGAGGAAGGGACATCCTCTACTGCCTCGTCCTCTCCTGAAGAAATTTCTTCAGCTGTCTCTTGTTGCTGCTCCTTATGAAGGAGCACTTTTATAACTTATAATAAGAACTCTATGTTCAGAAACCAAAAAAGCAGAAAAACAATTCAATTCTTCACAAAGAATTCAAGTGGGTGGTCACTAGACGAGAGACACTGGAAAACTGAGCATGCCTCGTCCCGCACCCAATGAAACCGTGTGCTCGACCCATACATGTATCAAAAAACACAAGTATTCCGAGGCAAACTTCATATAGAGTCAAATTTTACAAGGAAAATTGATTTTGTATACCAAAAAAATTTGTAATCTGGGGCCATTAGTAAACCGAGGTTCCACCGTACAGAATAGTGGCATCCCAATTCAACGAACTTCGATTCGGTGAATCTCCAGTTGGAACACACTTTCCATGCTAGATTTACTCATCTGATTCTACGAATTTACTGAAGCAGGGAAGGTGTGGATTGGCTTGGGATGTTGGGATCAAGTTCATAGATGGAGGCAAAATTACAAGAAATAGTTGGGCCTTGGGAAAGTGACTGAACATATTTAAAACCAAATTCTATGGGTTATTTATTCTTTCCAGTTGCAGAGGCTTTGTTCAGTAAAATATGGGCCCTCTTTCTTTTTTAAGTGAGATTTTGAGGCTTGAGTGTGGGAAATATGCTAGTTGTGGTTAAATCTTTTACAGACAGGTTCTCTTTGTTGTTGCCCTTCATATGACAGGTTGAAATGATAATTTCACTCAGTGAAATCAGCCCATAGAGCATGGGAAATAATAGGTATGAATGCACTCTTAATATCACTCCAATCACAGTTTTAATGATTTTTGTAGATGGGTGCAACATTATAATAAATAGTAAGGGGCCTGGGGAAAGCCATTGAGCACATATAAAACCAAATTCTATGGTTCATTTTGAATTTACTATTCCCTGGTGTTTGTTCACTAATACTGTAATATTATATGAAAAAATATTGAGGCAATATGATGGGAGAGAACTCTTGTCCCTGTCTTCTCAAATATTACCTTATTATATAATTTATCTTATTATACTGTAAAATTTTCTGTTTCATGTAGCTTAGTGCAGTTGCAAAAATGTTAGTGCTGCATAAATATGTACAGGCTGTATGTCTTTTATTTACTGAACAATGGTTTTAGCTTTGCCAAAAACTTGTTTTTATGACTGTTTAGTGTAGTTTTCCCACTTGATTTTGAATAATAGTTTTCTTGACTGCATAGATGCACAGTAGGGTCATGAGAGTTTGAGATACAAAATGGCTCTTTAATTTGCACAAATGCAGGGATAGAAATTCCTTCTTGCTTCGTTACTCTTTCACTTTTAAAAATGAGGGTAAAGCAAGGAACTAAAAGACAGTTTATGAGAAACGAGAGTGGCAGTGGCCTGTTACTATGGTATAGCTAAAGAAATGACTTTTAGCATTTCCAGTGATAATAGGGCCCAACTAGCCTTCTATGTAAGACCACATTAATACTTTTACCATTAACCATTACTTGGTGACTAACAGTTTAATGACATTTTCCAATAAGGTCAATAAAGTTTCAGTTTCATTATATTCTGTAATTTTAAAAAAATATTATAATTTAATAATTTTGCAGTTCCCTTAAAGCTCCTAAGCCTTTTTGCAAAGGCTACACTGCAGTTTGGTCTCATTACTCAAAATTGATGGGCTGTAATGTTAAACTCTATTTCAAATTTTAACCTAAATTAAAATTCATTGATTATCCCATAATTTAAAAAAAAAAGTATACAAGAAAAATCTGCAGTTTTATCTTCCATTTTATGGTTAAAATACAGCTCATAAAGATCTAATTAAAACATAAACTATCTTTATCTTGGAATGTAAGATGTGCTTCAATGAGGCACCCATATATAGGGAATTGCTTAATCATTATTTACCAAGAGATGATTACACTGATATTAGAACAATGACACATCTGTATATGCATTATCACAAAGTAGTATAACCATCTTTTGTCATATATGGAATTTAGTTTAAAAACTATATTCTTTATTAGACAGAGACAATAACATTCCCTGTGGATACATGGCTTGCCAATTAAATAAAATGTTAGGTATGAAAGAGACAATTATGAAAACTTAACACAAACAATATAATTATTTATATATATACTTGCTTTGAAAATGGGAAAATTTACATATCAAGTTCCACTTGATTTGTAATATGTATGAATGATGAATGAAGGATGAATGTATTGTACCTGATTGATCCACTAATTTTACTATAATCATTAGGTATTAAGAAACTTTGTATTCCTCTGAATAAATTCTTCTATATTTGTCTTCACTTACGGGAACAATCTTATTTTCATCACACCATGGCATATAAAAATCTCTGTACATTTTTTTCAGAGTCATATTTCGATTGATGTACATTTCAATGTGCCGTCGGGCTGCTTGGAGGGACTGTTCAGTGTATTTATTTGGCCGGTTAGCATGTTTCCCACGCTGGTCAGGTTTTGGAAGCAAGTTACCATCTTTCATTTGCTTCATAAGATTTCCTATTCGTCCTCTACTGTTTTGAAGACCATGAACACCCATAAACATTTCTTTGCACACTTCCACATGTTTTCCACGTACTTTACACCAATATGTAAATGTATAAGTTCGTCTATTAGATCCTTTTACATAATGACGGCTCACAGGTTTAATTGAGATATTGCCATATAAATACACATTTTGCTCATCAAAGTTACCCATATCCCAAAATGCTGAGAAAATTTCATCTGCACCATGTTCAATCTTGGACCAGCATTTCTTTTTGCAGTTACATGGGGCACCCATTGCTCTACCACGGATCTCCTTGCCGGTGGCACGAGAAATATATGGACGGCCTTGATCTCTGAAGAATTTTTGATGAGTCTTTTTGTGTAAATCATTTGGAACTGGTTCCCTCTCTCGTTGAATTCTTGGAACCTGAGAAAACACAAATGACTAATTCAGATTTGATTATAAACGTATCTTATATACTACCTGTACTTTTATCTACATTACTGACCACATCAATTGCACTGTTTTCACATTTATTGGATGATAAAAGAATTTGTTAAAGAATTTACTAATATTGAAGAAAAATACCAGTGAAAAAATCTTTTATCTTGGTTTAGTTATTACACACATGATGCAAATTCATTTATTTACATTATTGTTACAATATTTAAACAAGTTTGGGGCAATTTATGCTGGAATGATAAAATTTGGTATAGCTATCGGTTTGTATGAAGCATGAGGTTACACTTGCTCAAATAATCTACAACCACCTTACCGGCTATTGAATCTTTGAACCCATTCAATCCTGTGGTTACAGGATTCCAATATATATTGTATCTTTGCAGTAAACACAAACAAATAGAGATTTACTACTGGATACTTCACCATTTGGTATAAACTCCAAATAAGTGGCTGACGAAACATTAATATCTGCAACTCAGACATGTTACCTGCTCTTGGATCTTCTTTCTTTCACAAATTGCTACTCAATAATACATTCGGCCTTATTTACATGGAGATTGAAATGGGACGTTTTATTATTAATAAACTCTGCATCATCAATGTTTCCCATTAGCTATCTTTGCATCATCAGAACCAAAAAATAAAGGGAAACTTCACTACCCTGCTTGCATATCAGCTATATTCCTGGTTATCTGAAGGATGCAGAAACCTGCCTCATATTTGCCCTAATTGTTTTATTCCACTGTTACACACCTTTAATGCTCAGATTTTCAAGATGAATATAAATTGTTTTCCTTTAAATCAAATATCATTAGGTATAATCCTTAGTGAATCCAGTCGTAATAATACTGTATACAGTGTATATCTAAACTTTTGTCTTTCTGCTCCCATATCAGCATCTTGAGTACTGTACGTTGCTGTTGCCTGTGGCTTAATCGGAGTTATACAACAATACTGGCTCAATGCCTTCCTTTGCTTAATACTTCAAATGGCATCATTATTTTTTTACACTCTTAGTAATGTATTTTAAGTTTCAAGTCAATGCAATGAGGTGTTCTATAAATATGGAACAGAAATCAGCTGTTAGGCAATTTAATAACAAAATACAAAAACACAAGGATTTACTACCAAGAATTAGCTACTTAATTATGAGAGATTGACATAGGCACTTAACTGTATATTTGATTGATTTCAAGGACCAATTTTAAGCCTAGACTAAGGCTGTACTTCAAAGGCAAATAATTTATTTAGGAATTATTGGCTTGTTTGTGAAGGTGAGCTAACGGTTTAGTCACTATCATTCTTAAAATGATAGTATTTATAGCAATTATTTGGTTGAGTGTACATAAATAGTGTTGCAGCCAACAATGTTCACTTTTGTGCTATTTTGTAGAGGGCGCAGAAGAAGAAGAAAAACATTCCTAGGCCTAGGATAGTATACACACGTGTACTTTATTAGGCCAAGATAGGACTGCCACAGGAATATTTTCAAGTTTTCTGGTCATACCACAATTTTCAGGACAATTGGAAAAATTTCCTTCTTACTGTTCCTTTACACCAAACATCTCTCGAGAAATTCTTAACTATATATAGCACAAAATGTAAACTTAGATGTTCTGTTTCCGTATTGGCATCCTGAGTGATATCTAAGATCTTTTGCATAACCTGTGACTTGCATAGTGCTTGACAGTGCTTTGATTTTGTGCTTTCTTTTAATAATTACTTACTGTCTCTGCAGGGTCATTAAGGTGCTAGATGTTACTAGAAGATTCCATCTAGTACTGAATGGCTGAAAGCTGTCCATTTTAACATCTCTTTTCAACATTCCCATGATATCACAAGTGACTGCCAAGGAAGCAAATTACAGTACTCATCAAAAAAAAAAAGATGGCCTTGTGGGTGAAAGATTTTAGACAGACATATGTAATGACTACATGATGTCATGACAGGCATTAGCTTCCTGGAGTGACCACAGTACCAGAGGCAGTGAGTAGATATGTGCTGCATTTTGCTCTTTGTTAGTTTTTTGCACTTATTAGTGGTTCATGTGGTATGACATTGTTATTATGGCACCTACAAAGGAAATAAGCAAAGAAATCATTGCTTTAAAGAAAGCAGGCCACCAAAGAAAATAAGTTGATAATGATAATTGGGTTACACCCAACAAGTTAACTGTTGGGTGTAGCCAAATTGACATGAGGAAGTATTGTGTGGATTTCTGAGAGGGAAAATAGTAGTTACATGCAATCATAGAAACATCAGTCTGGTCATCCCTTGAAAGTTTCTTCCAGGTCTACCCTTGTTGTAACATAAAAGGTTGCAATGTCTACCCTTGTTAAAGGGTACTCTCCAATGAATATTTTAGAACATTCACAAACCTTGAAGACATCTTCCTGGGACAACCAGACCAATGTATTTGTGACGCTGTTTCAACTGTTTCCCACTTGGAAACTTGCACAATACTGTACTTCATGTTGACTTGGCTACACCCAACAATTAACTTATTTCCTTACTTTAATGATCTACTTCCTTTAAAGCAATGATCTGAGCACAGCAACAGTCTCCCCCACGAAGAAAATTACAGTATGTCCAATGATGAATTTTGTAAATTATGAAAATTGTGGGCTTATTGTGACAGGACTGCTCCTCACTGTTTTCCCTTGCTCAATTATGACAAGTATTCCATGCCAAGCCACCGATATATTCTCTTAAATCATGTCTTATTTAGGGTGTTGATATTTATTTTCTGAGAAGTTTTAACAGAAAATTATGATCTTTAAATTATTGGTGTACAAAGAGCTGCATATACATTGCTGACAAGTGTTATAGATATACAAGAGTGGTGTCTGCTGTACAAACAAGGCACTAATATAAGTTTGGTAGTAGCAGAGCATTTCAGTAGCCAATCTTGATGTTTGGAAGCATTGCATGAATCAACAAAAACTTGGATAAAGGTAAATACGAGTTGCTTCCCTGTTGGCAGGTCCATTCCATACTGTGTGGGAGAGTTCACTACTGCTGCTTGGAGCATCAGGAACACTTGTACCAGTAATGGGCAGGAGGGACTGCTTGTGAGGTAGCTGGTCAAAGCTCTATTTTTGCAATTGGACTGTATCTAGTTGCTCTGGCATGAGGGTGTGAAGCCTATAACTATATGAAAGCCTAAGTATAGCACCCTAGTTGAGAGAGGCAGACCATTAAGGAGTGGGTTCATCTGATATAGGAATTGATTACAATGCTGTGGTGTGTAATTTGTTGAAGATTATATTAAGATCAGGAGTACATCGTAGCAAGTCATGTTTGGACTGAAGGTACTGTGGAACTTGAGGTGAACAATGACTGTGATTATTAGTGTCAACATGCTAGAATAACAATTAACAGTGTGATGACTTTAGAAGTGAATTTCCAGGCATAATTAGAGAAATCTAAGTAGTGACTGGAATACCAAGCCTTGGTGTTTATGACTGCTAGAGAAAGGCAGTCAAAACTCGGTACATGAAGAAGCTCTTGACTTATCTTGTAGCATTGGAATAGTGTAAGGCCATATTTGGGAGAGTGAAGACAACTAATTTTGTCATGCACAAAGAATTTACTTTGTGAACGCCTACAACCTAATTATGAAGACTGTTGTAGCCTAATTAACTAAATCAGTAATTCATGTTCTTAGTATTATAATATGTAATAATAATAATTGGAATAAACCAATTTAGAAGGAAATATTTGAAAATAATGAAAATCACTCTGCTTCTTAGGCAAACTTGCATACTAGGCCAGGTAGTACATTTCGGATTATTAGGTACGACATATATTATTTACTCATGTACAGCTTAAACAGCTGTTGATATTTTCACAATTTAGTGACTCAATCCTTAAATGCCTAGAACAGCAACTCATCTTATTTTAGCTGATCAAACACGTCATATCGCTGATGTTGGGCTCTCAACTTGCATTATCATTTCAACACAAATCTAAAGTAGTAAATTTATTAGATATGCCAATACCAAAGACAATTTATTATACTGTATTAAGTAATGAAATTCCATTATTCCAACAGGCCTAATGTAGTAATACTAATTAAATAGCAATATAATATAGCTTCATCGTTACTATCATAGGTTAGGGAAACACACACATTATAACAAGCACCTACAATCAAATATTTCAGTAAAGGAATAAACATACATAGGAATTTTCTTGCTGTTGTCTTTGTTGTTCTTCTTGCTGCTGCTGTTGTTGTTGCAACTGCTGCTGTTGTTGTTGGTGCTGCTGATGTTGGTGTTGGTGATGCTGATGCTGCTGATGATGCTGAAGTTGTTGGTGCTGTAGTTGCTGATGGTGTTGCTGTGAATTAGGATCCAGCCAGATAGGACTGGTCTGTGTCCCATCCCCTCTTGGCCCGTACTGTGGGACCTGGACACAATACGGGCCATAAGGACCCCCTGGTGGGGCTCCATAGTGAGTCATTCCTCCTATGTGGCCGTATCCTAAAACAGAATTGAAGAATCAAATTATTTATTCATATATCCCTTTAATCTATATTTGTTATGATATAGACTCTGTATGGGTATATATCAATCTGAAACCTAATCCAAATTTGCAAATAATCTAAACTTCCAAATATATGCCTATTTTTGGCTATAGTTTGACCCGCCATTATCCAGTTTCTTGGGATGACTGGAAATATAAATATATACATGGTAGTTATGGGGAATATTGTTGCAAATTTGCAGCATATACAATATGGAGCACTGGTAACTGGTAGTTTCCTTAAGGTGTCTACTGGTGAGCTTCTGCCAGTTGGGGTGCCATTAATCAGCCCTCTTAGGTCAGCTCTGCCTCCCTCCATTATATCAACCAATGTACACTATTGAAATAAATAAAGTAAGAAATATTACATAAAAATACACTGTTTTCTACTGCCAGGAGCAATAAATAGCAGTAAATTTACATCATATTTAATAACTGAGGGAATACATTGGCTGACAATAGCAAAATGTAGTCTATTATGAAATCTATATCCATAAAATACTGTAGAATGTCTTATCTGCCTGTCTGTCCAAAGTCTGCCAGATGCTTGGGGCTATCCTCACTAAACTTTCCAACATGAAACATGAAGGGTGTGGGAGTGTCATTCAAGTAAATGGCCCCCAAAGGACAGAGTATAATGGCCTACATTTATCCTGTAAACAAAGTATAGTAGGACTCGCTATGACAATGAGACTCATGAAGGTCTTATTGCTCAGATATCAGCGACAGCACTGACTGACTGTGGGCTTGGAAGCTTGGAGCTCCCAAGGGATGCCACACAGTTGGTGACCATTTACACTAGGGGGTTTAAGATTGTTTCAAGTGAGTGAATCACTGGGTTTGAACAAACTATTTCTGGAGACCTTTCGATGTTTCGGTGCTTCATTCTCTGTGAAGGTTGCAGTTGTCTGCATTGCTTCACTTATTTTCTGAATGATCATAACAATGCCCTGCTTCTTGTGCCTCTGTAAAGGGCACAGGGAGTAATGCAAAGCTATCTTAGTGATACGGCTTCAGGAAACCACCAAGAAGCTCCTCAAACAAAAAAAAAAAAAAAAAATCCATATCGTACTGTAACTGCACATTTTAGAATGACTGTAAATAATTTGCAATTATTTGGTGTACTGAAATTTATATTATACATGGTCTATTGACAAAGTAGATTTGACCTTAATGGTATATGAACGTGTTACTTCACAAATTAATTGTAAAAAAAAAGACTCTCCTTAACAATAGATCCAAAATTGAGTATGTACCTTGCATATTTTGCTGTGGCTGTGTCATGTGTGCAGGTCCAGCTTGTTCCAACAAGTGAGGCCTGGGTAGAACAGCTTCAGTGAGGGGATCAACAGTTTCGATATCAACATCCAAATTTTCGTCCTCTTTCAATTCAACTTCCGGCACGAGTGCTTCACTGCGAGGAGCTGAAGAGCTGGCATGACTACTTCCGCTGCTCTCGCTGTCACTGCCAGCCTCACTCCCATCACTCTCACTCTCACTATTGTCTTTGCTATGGCTTGCTTTTTCAGCAGCTTTATTCTTCTTGGATTTGATGATCGGCTCACCAACTTCCCGCTTTATCTTGACAACACTTTCTGTATTATCTGGTTTGCCGAACTTGCTTTGAATAAACATGTTCATAGCTTCAAATCTATTCCCTTTAGCAATTAAGTCTTTTATGTGCTGTGCATCAACTCCTGCCATTGTTGCTCAGTACTGGGTGTTTCAGATTATAAAAAAAAAAAAAAAAAAAAAACTTGATGGTTTAAAATTTCCAAAGGACGATACCTGCAAGAAAATGATCTAAATGAGCGTCTTAAATATGTGAGAGTACTGTTCATGAAAATATTCATATCACTGCCTTGTTATTTCTACAGGGTGGGGAGGAATGAGAAGAAAAAGAAAAGCAATTGGAAAAATGAATACACAAAATTACATCAATGTGCCATAGTGGTCTGGCACATCTTCCTAGGCTTTGCTACACCAGCATGCAGCTCAGGAAGCTACACCAGTTTGATTGATAGTTGAAAAGTGGGACCAAAGCACAACTAGGCGAGTACTGAGGGGCCCACTTGGAAAGGACATTTCATTATATTCAATGCTTAATTATTGTTTTCCTAATAAAGTGCAGTACAGGTACATATAATACTGATTATAGTTTACTCAGAAAAATACTGATGTGCAAATTCCTACTTGCATTACTCTGGGTGTGTGGTATGATGACAAATTCACCCTCATTGTTTTTTTTATTAATGAAAATTATAGAACACAGAACTATACATGTTAATACATACAGTATATGAAAATCCTTATATACTATATGTATATACCAGGTAAAATCAAGTATATACATATAGTGCATAAACAAAGATTTTTCAAATGTAAAAAAAATTATACATAATAAAATTTTGTACTTATTGTACCAGTTTGAAGACCACATTTTTGTTGTTGTAAACTTCCTGATGTAACTGTTCAAAATTTGAGTCACTGTGCATTATCTCTAATTTTCTGGGCAAGCAGAACTCTCACCTGGCAATAATCCTAAAAAACTTTAACTTAACAGAAACAGTGTTAATGCCAAGCCCCCACATTTTTTTTTTTATATATACAAGAGTTGTTACATTCTTGTTCAGCCACTAGTATACGTAGCATTTCGGGCAGGTCCTTAATCCTATGTTCCCTGGAATACGACCCCCACGAAGAATCGTTTTTACAACCAAGTGCCCATTTTACTGTTGAGTTTAACAGAGGCTACAGTTAAGGATTTGCACCAAGTAAATCCTCCCCGGCCAGGATACGAACCTAGGACAAAGCGCTCGCGGAATGCCAGGCGAGTGTCTTACCACTACGCCACTGAGACTGCTAAGGTAGGTAGTATCCTCATTACCTAGTTATTATCATCATCTTATAAATTTAGTATTTAAGTTCATGTTAATTAAGATAACTCTTCTTCATCCTAAACAGTATAAATCTTAGAAGAGCATTCTATATTTAAAAGGATAAGTTGTGTAAGAAAATTTAGAAACATTAATCAGTCAATTAATTTAGGTTACGACAAATTTACATCAACAACATAGAGTACTGTATACTATTGGGAAATCCTCCATCTGAAAGCTAGTATAGTAGTATACTTCAGTGGAATACATATACAGTATTAGTTGGACAACTCTATTTAGGATAGTTTAAAATACAGTAACTATAAAATATGTGCCTCTATCAGTATTTCATTTCAGCTTATATCATCCAATTCTTAAAATATGTATTTGCTAAATAACTTAGAGATGCACCCATTTTACCTTTTAGTTTTTTCTACTAGCAGCTACCTTCTGAAGCACACATGATTTTCCAGCTGGCCTGCAGCATATCTAGAATGTAAGTCATCCAGATCATACCAGCAATGGCTGAAGCTCACCTGAAATAATTGAACACTAATAATATTATATAAAATGGGGGGATCGTTAAAATGGGATGAAATTATGTAAATGCCACTAACACACACACCCAATAAAATAATAATAAACTATACAACTACAATACTAGTACAGTACTGTATTTTGAATTGAAGGATTTAAACAAACCATTTAGATTTGTGCATTACATATATTTTTAACACACATGCAAGGATATACAGTAATACAGACATGGATATTAAGTATCTTGGGCTGTGTATTAGGGCATTATGAGGTTTCTCATGCTTCATGTAGCCTCTCCTAGTTTTTCCACACTCCTCTCCCTTTAGAGAAGGCCTGGGTTTGGTCAAGGAAGGTGGAACATGACAGCTGCTCCACTCAAAGTGCTCACCTCAGTACTTGTGACATAACTCTTTGTACAAAGAGTTTAAAATTTAGGTGAATGATAAATGTATCCATGTTAGTAGTATGCCATCCTGTGTGCTTAAAATATATGTACTGTAATTCACACATCTAAATGTTTTGTTTAAATCCTTCAATTCAAAGTGGTTGTGTAAGTTCGTGATCATTGCTTCTGCCAAGTTATTATTATTTAGGTGTTTATGAATCAGCCCTCTCTTCCACCCACATGAATGCCTTATCACTCATTATCCTACCCCACACTTGTTATTATTGTATAGACTGTGCTGTAATATCATGAACATAACCCATCATTGGATCACCCGTTTTGACTTGGGGAGTTGACATAACTGGTTACCCAAGAATAACAGGGAATACATGAGATTTACCATGCAGCACACTATCTGACTATGTTATTTTAAAAGTGGATTTTGCTTGTCAATGATTGGAGACTCCAATGTAAAATAGTTATTAACATTTATAATACTGGTAGGCAGCTTAGTGGCATTGATATGTCTCTAACTCTCACCATTTAATACATATGGGACATAACTGGCCAATCTCAGTGTTCAAAAGAAAACTTGATAAACACCTTTAAAGGATACCTGATCAACTAGGCTGTGACTTATGTTGTGTTGAACAGCCTGGTTGATCAACTAGATTTCTCATGCTTCACAAAATCTTTGGACCAATTTGCACCAGAGCTCAGACGATACCTGAGGCAGCCTGGAGGCCGGATCAGAGACCAGGATGAGAGTACGTTGATCCTTGGAATCATCGAAAGATAATGAAAGGCGAGATTTTGGTGTAGGCTTACTGTACCTGTATAACTGTACAACTTCAACTTACAAATTGACTAACCACCAATTTACTATTGGTGGTTAGTCAATGGTTAATAGGACACACACCCCCCCTACACCATTTACTATTTATAATAACTTACAGCATATTACATGGGCTATGATTAAACTTACATTTTATGTTCTTGTGCATTTACATACACATAAATCATGCCTAATGATCAAAATAAATCATGTACAAATGTTGAGCAGGACCTAGACTTTCAATGAAGTGAATACATTTGCATAGAAACTACATCTTTTATCTTGGTTACTTCATTAGACTTAAGTGTCACATTACATTAGTGTATTATCAAATACTGTAGGTGAATGCTACCTTACATAAGCCTAGATATCGAGTCACAGATCAGACTTGAGACGTTTTACTAGTCTAAAACCCATTCAGTATTCATGGTATATATATGTAGTCAACTTCCGAATACTGGTAAATATGTAAAATAGTGCAGATCCCCTGGGTAACTGAAGGGGAGATTAGAGCTACCCTCTACCCCACCAGCCTCAAGTGTTACCGCGGTGACACTCAACACTCCAGACACACACCGTCACTACTCGAGACGCCGCACACACCTCCATCATATTTTGTCACTCGCACCAAGAGATAGGTTTAAGGCGAGACATAACGAATGCGTCTCCCAACACCAACAATGTGTTACTGATGCTGAGCTGCTATAGCCGACATGATATTCACTGCAGCTCGCCATCTATTGTCCTGGCGGGTGAGGAAGGGTTCGAGCCCCACCCGCGGGGGATCCACCCTCACCCGCCAGACCTCTTCTGTTTTACATCCTTTTTGCCCCACCTATAAGCGCTAGTATTTACCTTTGTTTTGTTTACAAGGATGAGACCCAATAGAGATGCTTCGAATTTGGATTTGAATTGGAACTGGCGTAATTAATTGATCATGGTAGCGCCGATGGTGGATGAAACATGAACGCCACAAACCTCTATGTGACCACTTGTCGGCTGGTCATGCAGGCCGATCCAGAAAACCGGGATAGTTGGACAGAGCTGTACAAGTTGTTGCCTTACCTTCGCCAGTCCCTTTCCTGTACGGTTTGTGGCAAATTACTTTCTGAACCATACACGCCTACAGAAACAAGCTGTCAGCATCATGTTTGTAGAAAGTGTCTTGGTGGAAAAAAGCGCCTGAAACCCACATGTGGCTGGTGTAAAGATTACAGGATGTATGTTGACAATGTTCAAATTAAATTGGTGTTGCAGTGCTACAGAAAACTATGTGAATATATAAAGTTCACACCAATTTATTGTAAATTGTGCTCCATATACAGTAATGGGGGTCAGTTTAGCCTCACTGACATGATAGAAGAAGCTATAGATAATACTAATAATAGATGTGATGAAACAAACAGTGTGCATTGTGAACATGAGAGTGATAATAAGGAGAAAGTGTCAATACCTCAAACGAGTGGAGTGAATGCAGTTGTCACACCATTAAATACCTCTTATCCTGTTCCAAAGCAACCGTTGTGGACACTTTCAACTCAACCTTCCCCGTCACTTCAGTCGATACCATCAACAATAAGTTTAGGTTTGGTACATGTTTCCTCGCAACCTGTAAATTCTGCAGTGCCACAAATTTCATGTCCGCCATCCACAATAACTTCTATGAAAACAGTCATATCTACTCCGCCACCTGTTATGCAAACAACTCATCACTTTCTGCCACAAACACTCGCAACAACAACCACCACAACAACTACCACAAGTGGAATAACCGCATCAAGTTTTGTACCCGGTACAATATTCCCAAGTACAAATATAGGCCTACTTAAGCACAGTGTTGTTAAGGAATTACCTTACACGAAACATAATTCCTCTATCAATAATGGGTCCTCCATATACTCTGTAATGTATGCTGATGGCGATAGTACAAAAATAACTATCAAAAGAAAACCTCCCGATATCGAAAGCGCTAATAAAAGTGTTCCTATTGAACCAGAAATTGTTCCTTCTGTAAATCAAGAATTGATAAAAAAATCTAAACCTAAACCTAAACCAAAACCAAAGCGAAAAGGATGTCGATGTGGCAATGCAACTCCAACACCTGGAAAATTGACTTGTTGTGGGCAGAGATGTCCATGTTATGTTGAGGCTAAGGCATGTATCGAGTGTCGCTGTAGAGGTTGTCGAAACCCTCATCGACCTGGTGGGAAAAAAGTGCGACCTATCATCCCCCAACTCGCAAACATCCAGATTCACCAGGTTCAACCAGTGCATGGCCGTAGTACATCTTCATCCATCAATAACAATACCACGACTACTAGTTCCAGTAACATTATCCCACCTACGTCTTCAACCGTCATTACGAATACAACTTTGCCTCAGACTATACGTGCTGTACAAGCCATGCATGCTGTGCAAGCTGTGCATGGTGTGAGTAATGTACAAGCAGTAGCTGGTGGTGTCCATCAACTGATTAGTCTAGGGGGTGGGATGGTACAAACACCGCTATCACCAGGGCTGGGTATCAATCCTGTTACGGGCCTAGCAGTGAAACCTGTAAGTCTGGCTCTCACATCCGTGCCAGCGCAACTTTTGATAAATGATGACAGATCAACTTCTAATAGTGCATCAGAAAACAGTGATGTAGATGTAGACATATAGCACAGGTAGAACCCATTTGGAAATAATTTTCAGAACGTGTGTACAGTTTGTGTGAAGTGAAAAATGATAAAATATTTTTATGAATGTTTCTTTTTTTTAGATTTGTTAAAGTGACATGAAAAAATTATTTGTTAAAATAAAAACACAATGGTATACAAATATTATGGAAATTTCTTAATTACTGTATTTTTGTTTTGCTATTTTACTGCTAAAAAAATAATATAAATATAAATATATATATATATATATATATATATTATATATATATATATATATATATATATATATATATATATATATATATATATATATATATATATATATATATATATATATATATATATATATATATATATATATATATATATATATATATATATATATATATATATATATATATATATATATATATATATATATATATATATATATATATATATATATACAGTATATATATATACACTGTATATTATATATATATATATATATATATATATATACAGTATATATATATATATATATATATATATATATATATATATATATATATATACAGTATATATATATATATATATATATATATATAAAATTTTATTCTTTAACATCTCTTACCTGTCAGTATTTAATTCCACATTCCTTCCTTGAGGCAATTTACAGTGTCGGGATATTTCAGTCAGTATGATTAAGCCTTTAAATTAAAGCCTTACATACAGTACTGGACTTATTTGAGGTTTCCATTAGCAGACATTTTCTCTTTCTCTAAGACCTATTGTTGTGTTGTAATTGTAACTTAATGAACATAAAATATTAGTTATGATCAAATGTAGGCTATAATTACAACCAGCAAGGCCTAAAGTTACCTGGTTTGAAACTTTTTTTTTCCTTTCTTTGGGGAAACTATTTACCCCGAGTAACAATAAAAACAAAACTCACCCGGTTATTAAACTGCAACACCTGTCATTTTGAAATATGGTAGTTCATATTGAATAAATATTTTTTCATGTTGATCAGGCAGAACAAGCATACATTTTTTCTCGAGCATCTCAGGTTTTATAACTTTGATCGTAAACTTACTGTTTTTTCCAGTCATGTTTGTGAATGTAATACGAGCGATTTAAATTTTTAATTTGTTTAGTTTGCATGTATTTGTTTCTTAAATTATTTTTATAGTGTTTTAATTGAAGCGTTTCACTAAGCTTTTAAATACCAGTGGAGACCCTGTGTTTGATTATAAAAAAGTGTTACCAGTGATTCCGTTCACTTTTCATAGCCTATTACAACACAATGTGAGGATGTCAAAGACAAATCATGGCATCATGTAGGCTAATGCATAAAGACTCAGGGTAGTAAGTGCAATCCTGTATGTTAACATAGTTAATTATTTTGTTCTAAGACCATAGTACAGCATATTGTCTTTGGCAATTTTTGTATGCCCGATTTTTTTTTATACAGGCCAGGAACTGATGTGCTATGTTTTAAAGGACTGTATATGGATATTTATATGATATTGACATCCCCTTAATGATTACTCATTACAATATAGTACTGTATCCAGATTTTTTTATTACAGTATATTATTATGTAATTGCTGTAATTCATTAATTGTTCCCAATTCACCCAGTTAATAATTACATATGTAAGGGTTTATGTAAATCATTTAAATTACTGTATTGCAATTTTTATCAATAGTCACCTATGGTGCCATTAAGCTGCAAAACAAATGCACTATTTACAGATATTTTATAATAAATATTTATGATGTCACCTACAAGGCAGTACTGTATTTTGTTTAATTTAGTTATCCTTATACTGTACTTAGTGACTCAAAACACAAAAATGTGTGCTATATATATATAATATATATCACACACACACATACATATACACAAACACACACACACACACAACTGAACATAACTGTGCGTGCATTTTGTACCTAATACCCAGAATTCACTACTATAGGCCTAGCCAATTTTGTTCAAGAAAGTATTTTTTAACTGCAAAAATTAGTCAGAATTTCACAATATAAACAGATTATATTGATATAATTCATTATTAATTTATTTAGGGCTCATTTTACACACTAGGCAAAATAAAAGGCATAATAAGGTTAGGTAAATGCATTGCCTGATCCTCAAATATATATATATATATATATATATATATATATATATATATATATATATATATATATATATATATATATATATATATATATATATATATATATATATAGTTGTACCTAGTAGCCAGAATGCAGTTTGGCCTACTATGCAAGGTCCAATTTCCCTAATACGCCAAGTTTTCCTGGTTATATATTCTAAACATTTTCCTATAAAATGAAAAGCTTTCCATTACATAGCTGTATATGATTAAACTTTTTGATTTGAGTTAAAACTAACGTAAAAATTTGACCAAACTTAACCTCTCTTAACATAACTAAGTCAGTAATTCATGTTCTTAATATATTAATAATTAAATAAAGCAATTGGACTTTTTTTTTTAAATAAAAATTGTTGCCTGTTAGGCAAATCAGGCCTTGCATACTAGACCAAGTAGTGCATCCTAACTATTAGGTATGACATTATATTATATTATATATATACTGTATACATATACATATATATATATATATATATATTATATATAAATAATAGTGTACACATATACACACACACAAACACTGTTGCTTAAATATTACTGAGATGATGCAGTAGCACACAAAGCTACTTTGGAAAATATATTTATTGTTTTATGCACTGTAATGAAAACATGTCTACCTAAATCATTAGTTTGTTCTTAGCACTTTACCCAACAGAGCAGAGCTGGGCTGAGGCAATGGAATAAAACATTATGAATAATGTTGATAATAAGGTATTGTTTTTTATTGTATTTTTCTAGAGACAATCAATTTTAAATATGCCCATTTTATCTAAGGAAATTAAGGATGTGTCTAGATACTATTTTACATCAGTTTCATGTATGCAATAAGTGAACCAATTACTTACAAATTAGTGAAAATTGTTTGACTGTATATTTTATTATTAATGAAAATATGCAGTATTTCCTTGATATCAGAATTTATGTAATTTATCATAATTACTGTATTTTTAATGACCACATAAAATAATAACTTTGTCTTGGTTGCTCTGTTCTATATACAGTGCAGTATTTGGCCCAAATATGTATTTTCAAATGATTTAAAATTGCCATATCATAATTTTGCTCATTTATGTACTGTACACCAATGCCAATTGGAAATGCGTAAACACAAAGTGTTTGATTACATTTCTACAGCTGGCTGTGACATAGAAAAACACTGTGCCAAGAGTGCTCTCTCTCCACTTGGCTTTTTCTCTACACTATTGTCGGCACTTTGTGCTTTACTCAGTCAGCTGGCAGTGTTTTGGATACATTTTGGCAGGATAATTGTAATTTTTAAATGTAGAATGATAGGAGTAATTGTGTTGTCTTCAGAATAAATTTATATTGTCTGGAGCACTGTTCAATAAGTACAGACCTTTATACTTGTGCATTTGATCCTGGACCATTAATATTGCTATATTGAAGGTCACAGTCATTCATTTAGGTATTCCACCTTCAGCTTTAGCTTGTACAGTGGCATAACTTAAGCCTGGAAGTATTAAGCAAAGACAACAATTTTGAGACAGCCAGTTAAAAAGGTTTTCGGTAAGTTACCTCTATACAATGCAGTGTTGGTTGTACTGTACTATCTTACTCAGTTTAGATTTCCGAGAAGCAACAACTTTTAATTAAAAAGCTATCACTGATAATTAAATTATCTTATATGTCATTATATTTTAATGATATGTTAAGATACAAAATGAATATTAATCATATTTGTTTAAGCCAATTATTCAAGCTTACAAAAATAACCAAAATGTGTAAAATATTGTACCGTACAGTAATTACAGACAAGCATAATAAGTGAAAACTAGTAGCTGCACTATTTGGATTATTTATATTTTTTAGTAAAAAATTAACCCTAAGGAAAATTTAGTTTTAAAGGTGAAAGTGTTTTTTTTCAAGAATACAAATTTTCCATGCCATGTATTAACATAGCATTATTATATAGAATATGTAAGTAGTATACCAATCTCTGCTGCACTACTACTAATAAATGTCTAATCCATAAGCAGCACTTACAATTTGAAAGTAAAACCTTAAGCAGGGGTACCGACGGATCTCATATTTTGTTTAGCGTTGATACTTTGGGAAATAAGTTAACCACTAGTACTAAGCATTAAATTTGCAGTGTGAAATATAATCAACTGAAACATTACCTTCCATAATAAAGTGCTATTTATGTGATATACATAATGCTGTATTTCCTGCATATTGTAGGAGTAGTTTTGTTCTGATATCCATGAAATCTGTATTTTACATATAACACAAACAAGGTTAAAGCCAAAGGCAGAATTTAGGACTTGAGATAAAAGTAAAAATGTTCATAAATGTGCTGTCATTCAATTCCTTTGTCTTGGATCTCAGTACTTGTGATACTGCACTAAGGGAAATTGGTAAAGATGATGGTTCATCACTGTAGAATGTACAAATTTGTGTATTATAATTATGTACAGTTTGGAGATTCTAAGAATCGTCCAGTAGCAAAGAAATCCCACCTCTCATTCAGCTGTTCACAACAAATGTGGTTACTTACCAGATATATTTTATTTCAATCTGACGCAGCAGTCTTGGAGATAATCCTGTATGCATAGGAAATGACTTCTCAAATAAATTTTATTAATGTATAACTCTTGTATGCTTACCTTTATTCAAATACAAAAACCATGTTAAAACATTTAATTCAGTACATAAAGTACTTAATTAATCAATATACTATAGTTAAGTTACTCATTTAAAAAATGCAGTTAGGAAGAACTTCCATCTTCAAGGTATATTATGTTTATGGTGGAAGTTTACCTACAGTACTATGTATATACAGTATTATGGTTCAAAGTTACAGTATTAACTTTCCAAATCTGAATAAAATATACACAGTTACATTTAACGAGTCAACGATTATTTGTTATTTTAGTTAACTTGTGGAGTGCTCTAATGGGCCGGTACGCTTTCAACCCTTCACATCTCATGGTGATAGAAATTCAACATCAGGTGTATCTCATCTTTAGCAAGTATAAGACAATAGAAATTCGCTGGATTTCTAGCCATATTGGTTATTCTTTCAATGACCAAGCAGTTACTTAAGAAGCCATCATACCCATCTCATCTCCCAGGAGTAAATACTTTACACGGATATCTACCTTGTCGGGAACAAGCCTTGTTGCGCATTGTGAGACCTTTACTAGTTTTGGTTGGTTTTTATTTTTTCAAACTCATCCTTCAAAAGCAATAGTACGTATTGCTACAATGAATGGAATATGCAAAATATGGACAACTGTACTCCAAAATAGTCCATGCTTTGTGTAACTCATTATATAAAGGGCAAAATAAAATAAAATCTAAACTAACATATCTTGGGCCTAACATATGCACTCTTGTGCCTAATTTAGTACATATGTACTATATTTGGCCTAGGAAATTAAGTTTTGTCATTTACTTTTTCAGGCCCTATACAAAATTTAATTGTATAAAATGTGGATTAATTTTTGTTTGGATCTACAGTAGCTATGGGTGCTATCATTTGGGAAGGACAGGTTAGTTTTTCATGTGATGGTTCTATATACTTACAGGTTGCAACGAGTGTGAGGATGGACACCCAAAAGAGAAAGAGAACGAGAGAGAGATAAGAATAGGTCTCGCACTCGTACATAGGACCAAGTAGGCTCCTTTGTCCAAATTTCAAGTTGTCCTGATACTGTATTTGATTTAGGGGTTATATATACTGTACTACTAATCCTTTTCTCTTTTTTTCTGATACAAGCATCTATTTGTTCTTCATCCTATAATGCTGTGCAGATGATCTTTCTCCTGCTCCTAGCTTCACATTTTTTAGACTGGAGTGTGTCAGGATTACTCTGCAATATATTTGTCTCTCTCTCTCTCTCTCTCCCGTGTTTCTTGCCAATAGTTTTGCAGCATACACACACCAATATGAAGGACCCAATTTTGTCAGTATGTTGACATATACTTGAAGCAGAATGGGCTTTAGGACCAACCCTTGTGGTACTCCACTTGTTACCTCTCCCCACGCTGATATCTTTCCCTCTAACTGTAACCCTTTGCTTCCTTCCTGAAGGGGGTATGCCCTTGTCCACTTTTGCACTCTTTGCAATTCATCAGCCTGTTTTTCTAGCTTGAGTAGAAATTTCTTTTGTGGGGCAGTATCAAATGCTTCCTAAGAATTAAGGAAAAGGCAGTCTGCCTAACTTAATATCTCATTTGATTTGTCATATTATTGTAGAAATAAAACAGTCAAGCAGGATTTTCTCTTGTTAAATCCATGCTGGTATTTGGACAAAATTTTGTTGCTCTAAATGTTTTATGGGCTAGCCAGGTCTATCTAGTAATTTGCAGAAGCTTGCTAGTGGTACTGGTCTGGAAGAAGTATAATCATAATGAAAAGAAATGCAGTGGCACATTCAAAAGTTTCTAGATATCATTCAGGATGCCAATACAAGAACAGAGATATACAAGACGAGCAATGTCTAAAAATTTTGTTTCACTGAGGATTTTATCGAGGAACAATGGGAAAGCAAAATTTTCAATTGTCCTGAAAATTGGGTCATTCTGAGGTGTGGTGCAACTGTTAATGGAATATTGAGATACAGATCTCAATATTATCTGTATCTTGATCTGTATGAATACGAATATTGATCTTTATCTATCAGATACAGCAGGATAAAGGTCTCTGTTCCATTAAATGACCACAAGTTAATAATGTGTGGCCCAATACATAACTTGGCCAGAGATGTTTCTCCACTTTGTTTCAATGGCAGAAGGAAAGCCAAGGAGATATGTCACATTTGATAGTACTGTACTGTAATTTGTTGTTCAGAATAGCTTACCACCAATGTCTCCAACAACCGTGGATTGCATTAAGAATGACATGGTAATAATCCAAGGAGTTAAATTCTGGAGGAATAGGAAAGGCCTCTTAAGTGGCAACATTTGTGAGGTCATTTGAGGGAACATGAATATGGCTAGGAACTCTGAAACTATTGTCTTAGCTCTGCCTAAGATAAAGTACAGTCAATTTCAAATTTTGATGACTGCAAAATGAGAAACGATAAAAGATTCCAAGGCCATAAAAGCACTACATGAGTTAACTGCAAGAACAATCAATGGCACATGAAAAGTATACGTTTCAGAGCATGCAATATTGCATTAAGCGCCACAGTAAAAGAGAAGAACGAAGGAAAACATGTTCACCACATAATATAAATTTCTGTGAAATTAACACTAGAAGATAGACTATTTGGCATGGGTGGTACACAAATAAGGAAAGACAGGTGTAAATAAGTTCCCAAATAAGCCAGACACAGATTTCTATTTCTTTAGTGTCAAAGAAGTGTGAATAAATGGAATTCATTACGAAAATAAGTGGAGTTAGTAGATGCCATACACAGCTTAAAATGAAGATATAACCGAGGCCAACAGGCTTGGCAACCTGTACACCAGTCACTTAGAAGGGTGAAGTAGAACCAAACAGCAGAAGTTTATCCCCCATAAGCATAATTATGTCAATACAACAATGTGAGTTCACAACATTGCAGTTCTATGAAGGAATGATTTAAACAAGAAAAGAAAGGATGTTAAAGAACCAGGCTAGTGTTACTGACTACTAAATAGGATGAGAAATTACCTAACAATTAAGAAATGGTAAACAGGAAAAGATGAAAAATCAGAATAGGAAATGTCATTATTGGAAAACCAACAATAATCTGTGCTAGGATCCATGCCATTCCTAGTACATTACATATTCATGACAGCTGATTAACTGGATACTGTATTTGTCACTATTCTCTGACAATACAAAGTCGATGAGGGTAATAAGGAATAGCGAGGACAGCAAAATGAAGCCAGGAAGAGTTGGACAAGTTGCAGGCATAGTCAGACAAATAGTTATTGGACTTCAATGCAGGTAAGTGCAAGGTCACAAGGGTAGGAACTAGAGTAAGAAGACCAGAGGAACAATACATAATGAGAGGGAGGAACTTACCAGGGTCAGTGTGAGCAGACATGACACTGAACCTATCTCTGGAAGCACACACAAATAGAATCACATCATTAGAATATGCTAAGCTGGCAAACATTAGGACAGTCTTAATCTAGACAAGGAAACTTTCAGAACACTACAGCACTGTACTTGAATTATATTTATATGGATGATATGACTGTCACAAAAAGATATTATTCTAAATCATATAATTTTACGTTTAAGAACATTCATATAAGTTTATAATGGAGATATGTATTTGAATTTAACAGGAATTCAAAGTCACATCTAGTAAAGTATGTTTTAGGTATAAATTTATTTGGTGATAAATTTGTGAGTGAACATTACATACTGAAAATACTGCAGTTGACATGGTAAATATTATAAAGCAAAAATAATTCAAATTTGTACTTATCAACTTCTTAAATCTCTCTACAAATATATATTTAGTTCACAGAAATTAAAGTGATGGGACATACTGATGAGTATCCAAAATAACTCGAGAAATCACCCAATCACAAAGTTTGCCCTCCCCCCCTGCTACTGCAGCTGCCATAACACACAAAAACATTTTAACCTGAGTCATGAACTTCCATGTGCATGCTGACACTGCCATTGAAGCTGGAATCAGAGAAAAATTCCTCTACTACATTGTAGAACTTTTTTTTTAAGTTCTTTTTCTTTTAAACTGAAAAAGATTCCATAAACCACTGTCTTCACTCCAATGACACACTAACAGTAACAGATGAGCTCCGTGTAATGACACAGCAACAGTAAGAGGAGACGAGTTCCATACACAGTAATGTTGTAGCAATAGCATGAGGAGACTAGTTCCATATAATGATACAGCAACAGCAAGAAGAGATGAATTCCTTGTAATGATGCCACAGTAATAAATGGGCTCCAGATAAAATCTAGACATTTTAAATTTTGCAAAGGTTCTGCACTAAAAACAAATTGGATTGTATAAATCCATTTGTTTCCAATCTGCACAACAAGCACTGGTAAAAATTATCTTACAACAGGATTAAATATCACACACACACACTCACCCCATTAGTTTCAAAGCGTTATACGACAGAGTACTGGGAAAACGGGACACCACGAGTGTAGCTCTTAGCCTGTAACTACACTTAGGTAATTACATATACACACAGCTAGAAGATAGAACAAGGAAGGGTGATCTGATCACCACTTACAAAACAAGAACAGGAATCAGCCAAATTGACAAAGACGAATTCCTGAAACCAGCAACTTCAAGAACAAGAAGAGATTCAAGCTAAGGAAACAAAGGTGCCAATTAAAATATTAGAATGTTTTTGTTTGCAAACAGAGTGGTAAATGGTTGGAACAAGTTAAGTGAGAACAGCCAATAGTTTCAAAGCTTTATATAACAGTGCTGGAAAGACGGGACACCATAGGCGTAGCTCTCGCCCCATAACTACACTCAGGTAATGACATACGCACACACACATGCACACATAAAATGTATTTCTTACAAAGAACACAAACCAGCCAAGATATGTAAATAAATTTTTAAATTATGGTAAGAATGCATCAAACCATGAAGGGGTCTCCTCTTTTCTTACCTGAATATACAAAAACTCCTCATGCCATCGTGTAACCCAACAGCCACAGACCATTTTTTATGGCTACACTGATGTAATAAAAATAAACATAGGAACAAAAGAACTGACATTGCAAGGCATCAATACAAACCTTCGTCATAAATTGTTATGGTACAATGTTGAACTGTAAGGCCAAGTCTTTCATTTTCAAAAAATTGAATTGTAGTGTCAACATTTTAAACAAAGAGTAAAGGCTTTGAATCCTTAATGCTACTCTTCAAAACATGAACTTATCATACGTACTACCATATACAAATCTTATTAAGAAGTAACTACCTCATTTGCGCCTTCAAAATCCATACCCACACCCCCCATTCCCTCAACATCCACTTCAGATTCTGATGCATTGAGCATATTTAGAGTGACATCTCGACCTCCGAGCATGCTTCCCCCACCCCCACTGGCGCTTGCTTGTGTAGTTGTATTCTGTTGAGTTTGTAAAGCAGCTGCAGCTTGTGGAGAAATGCCTGCGTCCTCAAAGGCCTTCTTTTTAAGTGCAGACCGAATTTGAGTACTGAAAAAAATAATACTTCTTTAAAATTTTAGTCCTGGTTAGAATACTGCTGTGCTGGAGAATTTATAATTACATTACAAATATTGAAACACATACATTTTTAAAATAGGTTTGCTTCTTCCTAGCAAAGAAATACCATATATTAATAACAAAGAAATAATACAAATTCTGTACTAGTTGATATTACTGTCGATTCCTAAAATATATTGATGTTGTCTGATGAAGAAGATTGCCTCAGATTCTAAAATATGGACAACTTCCTAATGTGACCCTAAATATATGATAAAATATCAATGCAAAGCTAGAAAGCACTGTAGTTTGTTGACTTTTATTCAAGTCCTTAATACTGTACATACATAAGAAACCTTTAAGAACCAAGATAAAATGGGAGAATAAGAAAGAGAGCACAATACAAACACACATCTCAAATTTAATAAAAAAAAAAAAAAAAAAAAAAAAAAAAAAAAAATGCCCGAGGTGTAGCAAATCTATAATTGATACACTAAAAATGCAGAAAATTTGCTCCCAGAATGAAGTAATTAACTAATTAAAGTTTAACAAGATACTATCAAGATATTGTTCAGACAGTAGTTTTCAAAATTATTGCAAAAGGGTACAGTAGTATGATTAACCACTGCTGCGCCAACCGAGAAAACCCCTTTTGAATATTTCGTACCCATTCAAAACGCATGAGCGGTAGGTTATGTATGAAACAGACTCTTTGGGACCTCCAGTGAGAGGCAGCCATCTTTGAAAAAATTCCCAGAATGTCCTAGGGCTGCGGCTGGCTTAGTACTGAGCGAGCAGCCATGGGTGGCACACGCATCTCTGACTCCCAAACACCTGTCTGACGAGGTGTTGAAAGATCGCTCTCTGTCTGTGAAATTCAGACCTTATTGTTTGAAGAACCTAAGGGTCATGATATTGATGAAGCTAGGCGCAATAAGGACCTAACACATCGGATGCAAGTGATACAGTACCTATGAGGACGATATAGCAAGCGTATCCAGTTGTAGCTTTGAGCGCCACTCTTGCCCACCTATGCCATCTCCAATTTTTATAGAAGATACACAGATGAATCGTTTTTTCTGGATTCAGTGATGATGCATCTGATACAAGTAGCATAGATGAAGTGTTAGCAGCTTCTATGATGGTGTTTTCCATACATATTTTCAAGAATAGCCGACTCTCTTCCAGAATGGCTGAACTTCTTCCCGATTGACTGAATCTCTTCCATTGAGGGACCTTACAAAGCGATCTTTTCAAGACTACCTTACAAGTTGACCTTTTCCTATAATCTTTTCAATGCTATTTTACACTTCATAAGCTTGGCTACATACCACCTACAGGTACTAAAGCCATGGGTGTACTTGAGTGTGTTATTTGCAAGCACACAGATCGAAGAAACAGGAAGCAAAAATCTATCTGTACCTGATGCAACGAGAGCGAAGTTGTGTTGTGTACCATGGCCTGCCTTGTTCATTCTTTCTCACTTCTGAAGTACTGGAGTGTGTAATACAGCGTGTTACCGAGTAAATAGCGTATGAAACTGTACATATTGTAATTGTAATTTTAGTGAATTTTTAACAGGTAATATTGCGACAATAAACATTTATTGTGGACACATTACTGACACATGTATTACAGTTCCAAGGAACATTATGAACGTTCTACTGTACACATATTGTAAAAGACACAATTATGCATCATATACAATTAAAAAAATTGCATTGGAATTGTATATGAACATACATTGTTCTATGTATTTCCAACACTTTATTTTATGCAGACAGGGGAAATGTCACAAACTCATTGCATCACACTGGTTAATGGCAAAGGTTGTCAATTTTCCAACAAATTTTGAAGTGTTTAGGGATAGCTGTTACAAGATTAGAGTAAAATATTTGCTCGTTAATTAGTTTTACAATGTTTAGATACAGTAGTCAACACTGGTATACTACACTGAAAGCATACTGGAGGGCCAATGTTTTGAAAGCTAAAACTGAAGCACTGCTAAAATGGACTGTATAGGGTAGATAGAGAATAACAATGCAGAAGATATTCACTGCGTTTGTGAGAAAATACGTTTAAAGAAAGAAAAATTACATTGGAAGACGACACTTTTGTGCACCCGGCGCGCACGCTCCAACCTACCCTAAGGTGGGCCTAGCGTTTCTTGGGAGCGCGCACCCACACTGACACGTGTACTCTGTCCAGTGTTGTAACCTCAACTTTCGAGCTACGACATTCATTTTGGCATCAAATTGTTCACAATCTAATGGCGCACATTTTAAAACTAGTCTCATAATAATCGGATAATAAAAAAAAAAAAAGTTTAACAAATATTTTAAATTTTGACAACATGCGTCACCAGCCGACATCCGCCAATATATTTATTGACGCAGACTGCGTCGCTGCCGGGCGAAAGTGTTAATTCACAATCCGAAAAGTCAATAGCAAGGAGTTGGTATCCCTTTACAGTATATCAAGTAGAAGAACAGATTGCAGATGAAAACTACCCAAGAACTCTACAGGAAGTGTAGACAACACAAGTTATCTACAAGGTGTGCAAGTTTAATTAATGGGATGAAGGTGAGCAAGAAAAGCATGTGTGGTTTAAGACTAACATAAGTGACAGAACTATTCAAAGAGTGAATGTGTAAATTGAGCAGATATGGATAAATGATCTGATGTTCTAAAACTTGAACTTTGGATCATCTGAACATAATAAACTTCAGAATGCTCCATTATAGGACAGTATCGTATATCGTAATAAATGTAGATTCTTTGTAATTTATCTCCATCACAAGGCTTAATATCCTAATACAGTAGTTAAAAAAAGCTATGCCCGTTAGGTGTAAAACTAAGACACCATGATAAATCTATTCATTCTTTTTAAAATTTCAAATAGAATACTGTACCTTTATGTTTAAACAGAGTAGTATATTGATAATTAATTTTGACACAATAAGTGAAAAAAATGAATAATGATACAGTACCAACTCTTGAATAAAACATCCAAGGTAAGTAACAGGTGATATATACGACACTTACACAGTACGTGACTTTATCCTCTGACTGATAACGTTAAGATCATCCCCAAATCTTTTTACAGATGACCGCAGCATTTCTATTTCTTCATCAGTCCATTTTGTGCTGAAGAAAACAAATTTCTCTTAATTGCACTACCCATCCTAATGATTCCTAGAGCAGCAAAACTCTTCAGTGTAAAAATTAAAACAAATAACTGACAATCAAATAAAAATACAGAAATTTTCATCTACATGCAATAAAAAAAATTCTGTATCTTGTTTAAATTCATGTCTATTTTAGCGTCTAAAACATTGTACAAAAGAATAGCACTGAATGTAATGAATTACCTCTTTCTGATGGGTTCCTCAGTATCTCCCTGAACCAGACACTGACATACTATGCCTATAAATCCCTTGATACCACAGCAAGCTCTTATGATTCCCAAATGCCTACCGAAGCCTAGTACCAGAATTTGTTCTGCTTGACTGAGAGAAGGAAGAGTCTCAAGATCAAGGATTACCCTTGTAACGAAGGCAGATCACCACCAGATAGGTAAAGCACACCAAAACAGAAATGATAGATCACATTTGCAACTGAACCTATCATCCTATGTTAACAACCGTTAACCAGGCTAAACCCCTGGTTCATAGCACATGTTTGCCACTAGATGGCTGCCCTAGTCACCCGGGACTGCCAACCCTGCCATTTACACATTGCCCAATGCACAAACCCCGAACACAACCGGAAGAGGGGCCAGGGTACAAAATGAAGATATCAGGAGACCCACCAGAAAGACCTTTTCATTAATCAATGTTGGTTTTTAAGAAGGACCCCACTTGGTCCTCCTTAAAAAAAATCCAAGAGCTATTTCATGGCATGCCAGACTGCCAGAGATTACCAAGGCTGGGAGTCAAGGACCCGGAACTTTAAGCATACAAACAGTGTCTTCCCCACAACAAGATTCACGCAAGAAACAATGAACAGTAGCCACAGAACAAAGATGACAAGAAACTGCAAGTCAGAGAACCCAAGCAGCAAACACCAAAGGACCCCCTACAACAAGTCTATGTCACATATCTTGCCACATATCTTTTGCTAGACAGCAAAGGTTAAAGCCAAAGGGACTGCTTACAGGAACACAACTTGAGAAAGAGATACCCAAAAATCAGTGAGCAGAAAGGAAAAAAACCATGTAGGCATCAGAGGCTATAAGCAAGGCTATCATGTAGGCAACAGAGTACTGTATTTCGATATAAGCAAAGGCTTATACTGATGTCTTCCCCAAGGTCGAATAACTGATCCTCCCCAGGGATGCAACCCCATAAGAAGCTGACAAACTCCTGGGTACCTATTTTCTGCTAGGGTGACTGGGGCATTGGATGACAGGAAATGTGCCCAACCATTTCTGTCCCACCTGTGATTCAAACCCATAACTCGCAACCGAGTTGAGAACGAACTCAATTGTATTATCTGTAATGTGTGTACAGTGCAGACAAAAATGGCCAATGATTTAAGACTGGCACAGTGATCTCTAATGGCAAAGCCTCAGATGAGAGAAGCAGCATTCATGAACAGCACAAGTGCAAAGGGTAAAGAGGATGCCTGGAAACAATCCCAAAAAGCTGGAAGAGAAAATCTGAGAAAAGGAACCTTTGCAGATCCCCTGTGATTTGTATCCAAAGGCCTTGGCAACATCATAAATGATTATCCTGAGGGAAACCAAAATAATCTTGTAACTAAACACTAACCCAGCATCAAAAATAACAGAGGCAAAGGACAGGATGCTGCACAAATGCCAGAGATTAATCAGAAGTATATAAGCTCTATAACCACAAGATGGAGATGGGATGCCAGACATTACAGTACGCACCATCAGAAGGGAAAGGACTAGCTATAACAGGGTTGTGGCTTTCCTCGTCTGCATGGAAATCTGGTGTTCCCTTGGATCCATAATTCTCCATTTCCCTGGGCTCCTTGCCATGGCCTTCAGGGATTTTTGCCCTTGAACCCTTTGGACTCTGTATCTTGTGGCTTGTTTACTTTGGGCCAGTTTAGCTGTGTGCTGCACCCTATGCCTTCATGGTTAGGTGCCTCGGATTTCCAGGCGGTGGTTCATTTCTCTGGCTGGGGCCCTGGGCCTTTGCTTCTGGGCCTCATTTTATGTTTGTAGCTCCTTGTCCCCAAACATGTTCCCTTCTTCCTTGTATGGTGGAAGGGGTTCAGTTTTAGGCAACTCATGAGTGAGAGGCCAGCTGACTGGAGCCTTGGGTGACATGCATTGCCACTTGTTGGCAGGCATGTAATTACCCAAGTGTAGCTAAAGGATGAGAGCTAGTCAAACATTGGTTTGAGAGTACTGAGTACTTGCCAAAATCTGTGGGCATCAGACACTTGAATTTCCTAGAGCATACCAGGAGAGGGTTTAGGGAGTTCTTCTATTCCTCGAGGTCAACTTGTAATAACTTGATCCAACAGCCTGTTGCCCATAAAGTATCAACCCATACATTTAAACCAATTCAACAAAAACACCTTGGAAAGATTTAAAAAATTATTTTTCATATGGCAACTGAGGGATGATTAACAGTATGGAGAAATCCTAAAATACAGTATAGTAGTAGAAAGATGACAAGAGGAGTAAAATAGAAAATTATAATTATTTATATACAATTTGATGTTAAATTTACATGCAATCACTCACCCTGCAGGTGACTGTTCTGCAGTTGGATGCAGCTGCATTGTGAGCTCCGCTAATTTGTTAAATGCTGTCCCTGCAGCCAAAAAGATCTCGCCAACCTAATAAAGAAACAAATGTTACTAGAATTAATATTTTGGGACAAAGAAAACAAATATACATAAACAAACGCCAAGGAGCTGGTGTGGATGGAATTCAGTCAAAAGTCATAAAAGGAGCTAGCAGAGGAACTATGCATACTACTGAAACTGCTTTTCAGAAAATCTTTGGAGCAAGGTTCCCATAGACTGAAAATATGCAAATGTCACCCCTATTTTCAAAAAAAGGCAGAAAGAGCTCGGCAGAAAACTACCATCTTATCAGCTTGATATCACACATCTGCAAGCTCATGAATCTTAATTAAGAATCCACCTACCAAACACACACTGAAACTACGACGTTGGTACAACGTTCGAACAAGTTTAAACACTTCCTAACTAGTTATAACAACCAATATAGCAAGTTGTAACAACGTTCTAATACGTCATAAACACGTTAAGCCAAGATGTAGCATTTTTATTAAAAGTTGTAACAAGCGGAAAATAGAGACGGTTTCAGTTTGTGTTTCCAGGGCAAGAGCTTCCCCTCAGGATCCAAGAGAATCCTAAGGAAAGGATTATCTTGGTACGGGATGAATCTGGCTGGAGAAGTATGGGGTGGGAGGCACTACAGGGGTTCATTTTGGAGCCAACCCCTTTTTGTCATATACTGTACATCAATGACATAGATGAGATTATTAGAAACCATCAAATTTGCAATGATTTGCACGTTTACCAGATTTATGGTAAAGTTGGAAATAAAAATATTGAAGCCTTACAAAGAGATTTACATGAACTCTACAGATTGATGAAGAAAAGGATCTTGGAGTCAAAATCCACTGTTCACTGAAATTTGCACAACAGGCAGGAGCAGCAGTAAAAGACAGCTAACCAAACCCTAGGAATAATCAAGCACATCTTGGATTTTATGGAAAAGAAGGTAGTGATTCAACTGTATAAATCTCTGGTACGTCCCCCCTTCCCCCCGGCCCAATTGGATTACTATACCCAAGCATGAAGACCTCATCTTCAGAAGGACATAGCTGCTTTGGAGAAAGGTCAACACCGGGCGACAAAATTAATTCCAGAACCAAGTCAACTCTCGTACCAGGAATGGCCGAGGCAGATTCCATGCAGTTTCAAATGTTGACATGATAGAGCCCACTAGGCTCGGGAACCTGAACACGAGTCAACTGACAGTCGAGAGGCATGACCAAAGAGCCAAAGGTCAACTCCCATACGCACAACTAGGCGAGGACTTAACACCATCTATTAAGGTTGGAAGAAAATAAATTAATCAATCGTCTCCAATACTGACTTTGATACAGCGTTTAAAATTCAGGTATCAAATAACAAATCTGTAACAGTTAACAAGTCCTTTAATATGCGTGACAACAAACGTACCTTGCTGGCAGAGTTCATAATGAAGTATGTTGAGGGAGTGTTGGCTACAGGTGTTGTGGACTTTATTTACCACAGTATTGGAGGATTATGTTCGACTGGAGATCTCGCAAGACGATGCAAGTGTCGCCCACATGTGTTTACTACAGTATTGGCCACAAGTGTATCTAGAGGGTGTGAATATTGACCACAGGTGTGGGCTAGAGGGTGTGAGTATTAACCACACACACGTGTTCACTATAGTATTGGCCACAAGAGGTGACCACAGGTGTGGCTAGAGGGTGCGAATATTGACCACAGGTGTAGGCTAGATGGTGCAAGTGTTGACCACACACGTGTTCACTACAGAATTGGCCACGAGAGGTGACCAAAGTGTGGCTAGAAGGTGTGAATATTGACCACAGGTGTGGGTTAGAGGGTGCGAGTATTGACCACACACGTGTTCACTACAGTGTTGGCCACGAGAGGTGACCACAGGTGTGGAGAGGCTGGCCAGTGTTTGTGTCCCGGCGAGAGTGACCGAGGCTGCTGACCGTCATTATCTCGCTCTCCCTTGACTCCTGCTCACACTAACACTCCCTCACCTTACATCACACACTAATATCTATATATATATGCGTATTAGCTCTGTTAAATCACTTTAATCATTTTGCCTTTTTCGAAGACGGGTAATAACTATATTAAATAACATTCAATTAGTTTAGCTACAGGGCTAAAAAAAACAAAAAAAAGGCTTACGCTTCATTAAATTATTATATTTATTTTGAACATTATGATACCAATAATTGTAAAATTGAATTTTTAACACCGTTTCATATTTTTAGGTTTATTAAAACATATTTGTATAGCAAGAATTGTTTTCCTAATCATGATGGACTCTTATAGGGGCATCAAGGTGAATTGAGCTTGCATAACGTCGAAAGATAATGTATCACGATATAATTCAATATCTATGAACAAATTTGTACAAATAAAATTCATTGTTGTATTATTATAAGTATGATCCATACTTGTATTTTTATATAACAAAGCATGACTCTGGCCATGGCTGTGTTGTCGCAGCTGATGCCGGTATCGCCTTTATTTTTACCCCATAATTGTTGATAAATGACACATTTGTGCTTAGTTTAGCGGCTCAGTCAGCGTTTTGTTTTATTATTATTATTATTTCCTCATTAATAAGTTTTGTAAAGGGAAATTCAAGTGGCTCTTGAGTGCAAGTGAGGAAGAGTCACGGGTGGTGGGCGGATGTCCCTGAAGGAGCTTCATGGTCATGGACTCTCAAACCAACAACAGCAATTTTGAAGCCTGTAGATAAGCGATTACGCTGATTACTTTTATCACAGCTCTTGAGACGTGCCAGCTTATTATAACCTGCGGGGGAGGGCCGCCTGCCATTACAACAGGCTAAGCTCCCGAGGGTCACCCGCTGCTGCTCCTGTGATCTCAAGTGACTCGAGCTCGTCTGGGATATTTTGTTTTATTGTGTGACTCGTCTCACTAAGGTCTTGAGACGTTGAGGAAGATGGTGGAGAGTGTAGGAGCCGAGGATGGGGGTGTGGAGGGCCAGACACCCCCAACAACCCCTGCTATGGAGGACTTTGCAGGATTGGACCATGTTCAGGATGATGATGGGCCGCATGAAGAGGTAATTTGTATTCTATTATATTATTGAAATGCTTATAAAACTGTACAATGGGGTCATGTAACAGTGTTATGTATAATGCATATTTGTTAATTACCTAACATGTCCTTACCAACTCCATTTTCTTGCTTAGCATATTCTTACATAATCTCGCTTAAATTGAGCTCTACACTATACTGTGTCTGTGTTTAAAAGTCAATTTTTTTGTGTGTGTGGATTAGGCAATTTCACTTAATTTTGTAGCTCAACATTTTGTCTGAGCATTTTTCTAATGTTCAGAGACCGAGGTTCCAATCCTTCAGCGCCCATTTTTAATTCATGTTCCTTTGTAGCATACATTGCTGTGCTGGTCAGTAATATTATCTTCTGGGTATTAGCCTTTTTTTTAACATTTTTGTGTTATTAATTGAATTTAAATTCATGCATGACTATGTCTTAAGTTTTAAGTACTGTACATCTTTATATTCAGCTCAGTAGTTTGTTTCTAATATACTTTTATCTAATTTGTACATTTTTGTACAAACACAATGTTAAGCAAAACTGTTAATATACTGGACTTTGCCACATGCTTTCCTTGTATCATATTAAAAAATTGCAAAGAAATAGCAGAATTGCAAGATAAATTGGATAAGTTTAGAGTTAGGGAAGGCCTGGGTAAATACTGGTACGGTAACAGGGTAGTTGATTTGTGGAGCCAATTACCGCGTAACATAAAAGAAGTAGGATCCCTCGATTGTTTCAAGCATAGGTTAGACATGTATGTGAATAAGATTGGGTGGTTATAAATAGGAGCTGCCTCGTATGGGTCAATAGGCCTTCTGCAGTTACCTTCATTCTTATGTTCTTAAGATCTTTCCTCCTAAATTCTATTGTATTATTGTCATAACTACACCCTACCAATATCCTTCACAATCTTGATCTGCTTGGACTAATTGGTACAGTAATGGCCTCACTTCTTGTACTGTTGATATTCAACCCCCTGCGGGTTCCATAGCAGTCACCTCATTAACATCAACTTGTCCTCGTACCTCTGCTCAGATTTTGACGAGTATTTTCAGGTAGTTTTTGAAGGATATTTTTCTTTATTTCAGACTGAAACAGAAGTAGAGACTGGTTGTGGAGCATTGGCTGTCTGTGATCCTCATCATGGAGCATATAGATTTGTTGCTCTAGTGTTCATGTGCTTCCTTAGTTTCGGTAAGTTTCTAATATTTAGCAGAGTACAGTATTGAAGCTTAGAAGTGGCAGGGAGGATTAAAATAAATCTAATACCAATACTAGACCTGTATTAAAAAAAATTACACTGAATTTAAATGTACTGTGACATAGTTTTGAAAATTTTGTTCATAAGTTGTACTGAAGTAAGAGAAAGAAATATCCCAAATTTATAATCTTTTAATAATTTATAGGTGACTAGATTATGCTTATTCTTTAGCAAACTCTCTACACATTTCTTGATATTTGTGTTAGACAATTCCCCCATTGAGGTACATTGTAGTACAGTATTTGCAGTTGTGGTACTGTATTCATGTAATGTGGGAATGATCATAATGATTGAATACACTTTAGAACTTTGGTTTTATTTGAACAAACTTCATGACATTGGTGACAAGAATTATTTTGATTGGCACTTTAGATTAAATCTGAGTATGTAAATTTGACCTGAAGAAACATATTTAATAATATTTTAATAATAATTTATTTTCAGGGGACAGGCAGCCAGTGTGTACATATACTGTAATTGTTAGGCTTACTCGAGGTTCTCCCAAGGTCGAATTACTAACCCACCCCCAGGATGTAACTCCACAGTAAGCTGACTAACTCTTGGGTACCTACTTGCTGCTAGGTGAACACAGGCATTAGGTGATAGAAAATGCACCCAACTATTTCTGTACTATCCAGGACTCAAACCTGGAATTCTCGATTACGAGTCGAGAATGAACCCGAATGTACTACTGGGACCTTTCATTGAAGTTGTCATTTACAGTTAATTTTAATCATGCAATTAATGTAAATGCATCATCAGAAATTTTGATTGCTTGTTAAAGCATTCACTGTGACCTCCTTTTTTTAAACAAATACAATACAGTACTGTACATCTAAATTAAGAACCAATTTACTTCTTGGATTGACCCCACTGGAATTTTTATTTAATCTGGCATTAACATTCATGGTGAAAGCCAGATTGTCTCTCTAGAGTAATGTCCAGCTGTTTGCATGTTTTCCTGTTTTTGTCATTCTCATGGTACCTGGTACAGGTATTAGTATTGTAGTAAATATTATTTGGAAAATTTAGTTTATATTTTAGGTTTATTGTGTACTGTAATATAAATTATACCATGTGTGAGTGAATTCTGACTGTGTTACGTTAACATTTTTAAATAATGTAAGAAACTCGCTAATTTGGACACTGTTAACTCGGACTTTGGGGGTGATCTGGACAAAATCATGTTCGAGTTTTGTCTGCCAAACTCAGACCTAAGAGTTTTGGCCAGTTACTGAATGATATCAGGAGAGTTATGCTGATCAGATAAAGCCTTAGCAGCTGGCAGTCAAAATTGACCTTGCCAATCTACCCTAACCATGTAAAATTATGTTTATTTGTGTGGAAATATGAATTATGTTGATTGTGGTACAAAAATTGTGAGTACGTATGTTAATTTTTTAATCTTGCAGGTAAGAATTCCTGCTAATCCTGATGTCAAGTTAACTCGGAGAGGGATGGGCCCCATATAATCCAGATTAGCGAGTATTATCAGTACAGTATTGCTTTGGATGCATCATTATTTGCAAGTTGAAAACATATTGTCAATAAATAGTACGTAGTAAGATTATATGAGATAAGATTAAGGGGAACTTTCTTACCAAGGACAAGAAAGCAGAGTTATTAGAGAAATTAAAAGAGGAAAGTGACCGGCAGAAGAGTTTGGTATTTTCACTAGTGCTGTGTTAGACATAAAAAGTAAAGAAAACAGATAGAGTTTGTTAAAGACAGAGAGAGAGAGAGATATTAGTGGTTGTAAAAGTTCTGAGATAAATAGCCTGGTGTTAAATCATCCAAAGAGGTCAAATATCCGGAAATCAGAACGATATAGTTTGGATTTTAGATATTTCGCATTATACAAAAAGAACTGCCATTATCAATTATAATCTTATCTGCATTACGTAACCCCGTGATAGCCTTCAGGGTTAAGGCCCTGAGAGGCCAAGTGAATTCTTATCACCTCTTTAAGTATATCACATAGTTTAAATTGTGCATTAAGTATTAAATATTGTATTTGGATTACCTTGCATTTCTGAGCCTGCCAGCATCCTTGAGTGAAATCTCAAATCTGAATACTGTACTGTAATATTTTTTAAGCTCGGTTTTAAAATCTAGAATTTATTTTTGCTCTAAGGCTAAAATTCCTTTTTATATACATTTTTATGAGTAATGATGATGAATGCAAGTGTGTGTGTGCGATGGCAAGTGTCTTGCTGTCTCTCATGTTTGTCACTGTATGTGTACCCCAGGAGTAAAAATAACAGGTGTTGTGGAAGGATTATTTTGTAAGATCACAGATTGAGCTCAATCAATTATGGGCGCATATACAAAAGAACCATAATGGGCGTAGTTGGAGTCGTCAGTTGGTAATCAGAAACTATAATATGACAAATGTCATTTCTTTCAGGCTCATACTTCTGTTATGACACACCTGGATCGCTGCAAGATCATATCAAGGATGATATGAATGTAAACACACTTCAGTTTGCCAGTCTTTATTCACTTTATTCCTGGCCAAATGTGGTACTCTGCTTTGTTGGAGGATTTCTCATTGACAGGTATGTGAAGTCGAGCTTGTTATCACTGGTTTTGTATTCTGGAATATCCTGACAATATATTGTTTACATCTTTACATTATTTAAACAGATTTATTTCTGTAAATACAATTTCAAGGACTGGATGAGTTTGAGGTAATGAAAATTGCCTTGCATTTGAAGATTGCTGTTCATGAATACTTTATCACTTTTGAACAGATTATTTTTTTATTTTTTCATTAAATTTATATCTACATGCTATATAAGTTTTTTATACTCATTATAGTTGTGGCTGAACTGAATGAGTGTCCAGTCTGATAGAACCTTAACTATACAATTAGAGTTGTGAGACATATTGGCAAAACAGATAGCAGGAAATTATAATGATGAGAATACAACTTGAAAATTAACTAAAATAAACTAATTATACCATGAAGTTACATAAATTTGCACAGCGTCAATCTTTTGCGTTAACAGATTCAGAGACTGGCCTGGATCAAAACGACTTTGAGCACACACAGCTCATATACCATAGATCTGATTTCAACAAGATTTAAAATATTGTTAATGTATGCCAGATATAATTTAAGTTTCAGTCACTGTGGAGTGATAATACTGTACTGTACCAGAACAATACAGTACTATGAAGTACACTATATCTTTTGTCGAAAAGATGAATTTGCTATCTTGATGATTCCAAGGGTCATGCATAGTCAGGGTAGGTTGTCATCTACATGGGCACAGCAAGGGTCTTAAAGTATCATGACCCCGTCTCTATTTTTTCATGCTAGATGTCATTTATTAATGTTGTTGCTTGCATTAAATGGCATTAGTCTGAGTAACCATAAAACTAAGATGTAAGGATATAGTTTGTTGGACATAATAATACTAGTACTGTTCATCTTTTAAAATTAAAACTCGTGAGAAAATCATAAAACCATGGGTGCATCTCCGAGTACCACATCCTTACTTTTATTTGTCATGAAACCCCAACCTGATCCTAATTTTAGGTTCACTTCACTTATATTGATTGTCCTGTAATCTGCCTCATCAATGGACCAGAGATGTCTAAGCATCACTTGTCAGGATTTGTCTCCTAGCAGGTTTGATGAGTCCTGTGATTCACAAAATCTTTAAAGCCATATAATAGTTCAGATTAAAAAGTATGCGAGAAAGTGGATATCCACACACAATCTAGATTTTAACATTAAAGTTTGTACTGTATTAAAATGATAATAGTGCTGTAAATATAAATGAATTCCATCACGACTAAATAAATACTGTTTTTGTTTATGAGTGTAACACTCCGACACTGAATCCTTATATGCAATATTGAATTGGCTTTTTGATAGAATTTCTCATTATACCTGCACTACTCTTTACTTTTAACATTAATGATAATAGTAATGGTAATGTCTTCTCACGGACATAACAACATAGTAATGATAATAAAGTAGTAAAGATAAGACATTTCACTATAAAGATTGATTTTATAAAACACTGCTCAAGTCAACTAGACAAAATATGAGTTAATTGATAGTACTCATATCTCATCAAAGAACAATTACTTACATGAGTAAATATACTGGGCACTGTGATTAATAACACAGTAATGTCATTAATGACAGATCCACAATCCATAAGTGTTTCAGGCAATAATACATAATTAACAAAATGTCTAGCTGCTGGGTTGTTCCTGGTTTCACGGTACATTACAGTAGTGTAATATAAGTAATAAATTCTCTCTGTGTTAGAGTATATAACCAATTCAGGGAACAGTATGAACATGTTGTGGGGACATTTTCTAGTTGAAGCTGTTGTCAAGTGCTACTGTACCAGCCAGTCCAGCTTCCCACTTGGATGTATCCTGTTGATAAAAAAAAAGTACTTGTTTTAATATTTTGGTAAAAAAAAATTTGAAGGTCTAGCAGGCTACATTGAACAAGTAGTATTTACACATTCTAAACCTTACCTCCTCAATTAAATCAAATCATGATACCACGTGTTTTACATTTAAGCAATCACAGAACACACCTGTGTTGGGGTATTGCCCCTCTTTATAACCACCCTACCTCTAGAACCAAATAAGCATGTGATTGGCCAACTACAATTTACTCGGCTCTAATTTGGGTAGCATGGATACCATCATGGTCCAGGGTGTTGAGATTTGTTTTGGCTCCAGTTGTTCTTGGTAACTATTCTGACATTAATCGATTAAGCTTTCTTCCCAGTGATCGTAAGACAGTTGTGTGTGTGCCTTATTCTGAAAATAGCTAGTTATCTACACTTAATCATATTTATTTTTTGCTACTGAGAGTTTTCCATTCATTATCTTGAGTGCCTAAAAACTTAAAACTAAGAATGCTTTTGTTTGTACAAAAATGTATGACTGTTATAGAAATTTAGCCATGTATTTCCATAGGAACTTTTGTTTATTTTTTATTTATTCAATATTTTGAGACGCCTTCATTATACTAACTTAATAACTGGCAGTACTTGTATATGATCATAAAAGTATGGTTCCTTTTGTTTGGGTAGTGTAGCTCACACTACTGTACAGTATATTGTTTTAATATTTGTTTTTTTAGTTTCTTTATATCTGGTTTGATAAATATATGGTGTGTAGGCTTAGGGATACCCCCTTGATCAGGTACAATTAAAGCATAATTAGGTACATGTACAATTATATAGGTAATTAGTTTATGTAATAACTTTATAGTAGTACTTTTAACAACAAATTTAAATTAACAATATGCATTGACTTTTTTTTTTTTTTTTTTTACAGAGTCTTTGGTATTCGAATGGGAACCATTATTTTTTCAACGATTGTTACACTTGGACAGTTCATCTATGCAATGGGTGGTATAATTAATCAGTTTTGGATGATGCAAGTTGGAAGATTTGTGTTCGGGTAAGTTGTATGGATAACCTTTATTTACAGACGATGAGTCACAGTAACATGACTGAAGATATGATATCCAAACTACACAAAAAATGAAACACGGTGGCGTTTCAGTCCCTCCTGGGCCATTACACGATTTGATAATGGTCCAGGACGGACCGAAACATCGCTATTTCTTCATTTTCTGATGTATGGTTTGGATACCAAGCTTCATTTATTTATTTTTGCCCTGTTTCATTCTATATCTGTAAAGGCTTTCATGATCGTCCACATGAAAATTGTCATTTTATTCAGGGATGGCATATGTACAATTTGGTTTGAGCCTACTGTAATTTGTTGCTATGGATAATAGTAATTAAAGTTCATGGATAATATTATTTTACATTTCAGTACTTTTACTGCAATTCAAGCATTTATTTTCAACATTTTTACAGTCTTATTTCTTTTTTCTTTTATATATATAACAATACTGAAGAATTGAATGCCTTCAGTTAAGTTTAGGTTATACAGTATAATCATTTCTACTGTATTTTATTCAAGTATTGGTGGAGAATCGCTTGCAGTAGCTCAAAACACCTACACTGTTAGTTGGTTTAAAGGGAAGGAGCTGAACACAGTGTTTGGGCTGTTGCTAAGCATGGCGAGGATTGGATCTACTGTCAACTTCCTAATCATGGTGCCTCTTTATGATTGGGTTGGTACTTTCACTCAGGGTTATAAACAACTTGGAGTTTCTTTGATGATTGGTAAGTAATAACTAATGTTCATGTTATCCTAGTAATGAATACTTAACACTACCAGAGCTTGCTGTTAATTTCTTCCAAGCCACAAAATGAAATCTGTCATGTTTAGTGTTTTGTTTTCATGAATATTTTGTAATGTATTTGGCTTAGGAAACTGATCGGGACTTGACATGGGCTGAGCGTTTTTTGTGAGAATGGGCTAATGTTGTATGCTGGTTATATGAGAAAGAAATTTGAATAAATTTAGTAATTACTGTGAACAAAAAGTAATGAGCCATGACTGCAGAACTCTTCAAAAATTGTCTGTTACAAGAATGAGCTTGTTTCTTAGCAAAGCCCCATCGGTAGCATTCCTATGTCTTGGCTCTGGATCCTTGTAGGACAGTTATTAGGTCAGGTTCTGAGTGATTCTGGCCCCAGAAAGGCAAGTATTCCTTCAAATTGTCTTCTATTCCCTACACAACAGGATGAGGAGCTCAGGGAAAGTATAGCTCAGTCCTTTCAATATACCTGTTCATCAGAGACCCTTCAAAAAGGTCAAACTCTAAAGGAGATAAGACAATTTGAAAGATGCATGTCCTGGGATGAAGAAATTCAGTGAGAGCAATGATTGTGTCCTGCAGGGGTCCTGAGTTAAGGCAGAAGCAAGTTAGTGAGGTACTGCTCAAAAATGGCCATTACATTTCATTCAACACAATTTTTTTTTAAGTTTATTATGTATGTATATTTGTGGGTACTGTATCTTTGTCCCATATTTAAATCCCATGTGAGGCTTAGAACATCTCTTGTATGGAATTGGAATAGGGAGGAGCAAAATGTAGGATGATAGATATATTAGTGTAATATCTTCTTGCTTTAGTTGGTAGATCTAAACACTCTAATGTCTAATAAAGGGTTCATTAATACAGTATTCTCTATATACTATTGTATATACTATTGCATTACACTAGATGTTTTTCAACAGTAAAAAATGGATTTTAAACTACATAACTCAGTTGTTCCCTAAGGCTAAATCCTACTGGTCCCATGGAGAGGATAATTAGTCAGGTCAGGTTCAATATTCTGCACTTGTGAGCTGGAGTTGTTTCAGACTGGCCCTCACAAGTCATATTGGTGCTACGGAGACACTACAGAATTTCTAGAACAAATATTTAGAGACTGATTTTTGCATCATTTTGTGTCTGGAGTGAAAATGTATTACACCAAGTCACCCATTTACCTTCGTGACCTAGAAGAAAATGTCAGAATTGTGTTTGTCTCCCAATAGCCTCCATTCTCCGACCAATGAACAAGGAAGTTCATTGATGAAACAAACTACTGTAAAGGATTTCTGGAGAGGTTATGCATTATGAGACTATGATCAAGATGGGACTCTCATGGAATGAAGTTAAAATGAAAAACGCTAACATAAATGGGGTTTAGAGAAAATTTGTCCTTGTAAGTAATTTTAATGAGTTTGATGACCAGATGAAAAAGTGACAGGAAAGCATTGTGAAACGAGTGAAGAAACTCGAGCTAAACCTGGATGAAGATGTGTTGAATAGTTGTACTCAGATTTGGAGAAGCTCTCTTTGTGGGGAACGTATTGAATTCGAGGCATTAAAGGTTTCGGAAGAGATGGCTACTAAGGGAACCTTGTTGTGTTAGGTGCTGCCATCTGGTGACAGTTTGGGAAATGACTTGTGTGCCAATGTTAGAAAGTATAGAAAGAAAGTTAGAAATAGTTAAAGGTTAGAAAGTATATTGCTTGACAATCTCTTTGATGCCAGGTTACAGTTGGAAAAACCTGAGTGCACAGTATATGAACGACCCTTCTAAATTCATTCTAGGCTCTTATCTTTTTCTCTCCATTGTCTCGCTTGTGCCATTATGATCTGACAGGAACAGTTGAAAAAGATTCCTGCTGTGCTGGTGCAGAATGCTGAACCTGCCCTGACTGGGGATCATGGCGGCTATAGGGCCAGAAGGATCAAGTCTTGGGGGCTGATGAGTATCCTGCTCGGAAAGCTTTTCATAATCAGTACTGTTCACTACATCTTAACACTTTCGCACTCCGTGGAAACTCTCGGTTGACAGGGGGTAGGTAGCCCCTCCGTGCGGGTAAGCGCGTGGTGACACCCAAATGTGTATACTCGTTCCAGCTTTCTCGCCTTAATTCTCGTGCTACGTCGCTCGTTTTGGTATCATTGTGTTCGCAATTAAATTCTCTACAGGTGTGTATAAATATAATGTCCAAAAGCCTAGCGTGACTCCCAACAGCAAAGCGTAAAGTCGGCAAAAACGCACAAAATTAGTAACGTGCATTCTCGTTCCATTTTTTTACCTTAATTCTTGTGCTACGTCGCTCGTTTTGGTATCATTGTGTTCGCAATTAAATTCCCTACAGATGTGTATGAATAAAATGTACAAAAGGCTGGAGTGCCTCCCCGCAGAACAGCCTAAAGTTACCCGTGAACGAGCACCATTTTGTACATTGCAACCTAATGTTCAACTCGTTCAATTTGATAACATCAAATTTCGTGCTACGTCGCTCATTTTGGTATCAAATTGTTCGCAATAAAATGACGATTATTTTAAAACTAGTCCCAGAATAATAGAGCAATAACTGGATTTTTAACAAATATTTTAATTCTGGACGCTCATCATCACAAATTTATTTATATCTTTCCAGTGTTCTGACATAAATATTTGTGTTACATCTTTCATTTTGGTATCAAATTGTTTGCAATAAAAAGGCGCACATTTTAAAACAAGTCCCAAGATAATAGGACAATAAATAGAATTTTAACAAATATTTTAATATTCGGACCATAGGCCTATTTATAATATTTCAAGTGTTTGGACATCAAGTTTCATGTTATATCTTTGATTTTGGTATCAAATTGTGTGCAATCTAAAGGCGCTTATTTTAAAACCACTACCAGATTGATCTGATAAAATTTAAATTTTTAAAAAATATTGTAATGAGTGACTCAGTATTGCGTCGTTGGAACCCATTCAGTAGAAAAATGAGTGACGAGATAGTCAGTCTGTGGAACGCGAAAGTGTTAAGCCTAATTTTTATAAACATTCTTGTGATAAAGCCAGTTTGCTATAGTAATGAAGCAGCATTTGTTCTACTAGAAAACCCTAGGTACTAATGCACATTTTCTCATGCAGCCGGATCCACTTGTGTGTTTTCCCTTGTGTGTGCCCTGTTATTAGGCATTCTCGACAAAAGGCGATCAAAAATTCTGCATCTAAATACTGCCGAGTCTGGAGAGAAAGTTCATTTGAAAGATGTGCTTTCATTTCCACTTTCATTTTGGTTGATTTCTATCATATGTGTAACGTATTATGTTGCCATCTTCCCCTTCATTGGCCTTGCCAAGTAAGTAAACGAGTCTTCATTTTGCCACTGCTAAATCTTCGAAAGTTTATTCTAATTTGATGCCAATAATACATTAATACTAACAACTATATTGCTATTTAATTTAAACAATATATGCCAAAAAGAATATCCAGTAAGTTTTGTATTTCCTTTAGTGATTACTACATTTTTCTTGAATTTGTGTATTGCTTTACCTCCACAGGGTTTTCTTCATGCGCAAATTTGACTTGGATGACAAAACTGCTAATGCCGTGAGCAGCATTGTCTACATCATTTCTGCTGTGGCCTCCCCAATATTGGGATTTGTGGTGGATCGTACGGGTCGTAATATACTTTGGGTGTTTCTGGCAGTGCTTGTCTCCTTGGCAAGTCATGCTATACTCACTTTCACCTTCCTCAATCCATTCATTTCCATGGTAAGAAAATTTTGTTACAGCTGAGATTTATATGACATGTGGTTAGGAGAAAATCAAGCCTAGAAAATGTATGCAGTAATGAATGAGAAACATGGGAAATGAAGTTGAAAGTTTTAAAAAAAAAGTAAGCCTGTGTGAGATAACGTTGAAAGTAGGCATGAAGAATGGAATAGAGTAATTGTTATTTAAGCTTGTGTTAAGAGAGGAGTATACCAGTTAATGAATGAAGAATGGTATGGAAGCAGTGAATGACCTAGCAAGTGTATTGTACAGGATAAATGTGATGCAGGTGATTGTGTGCTTTATATAATGGCAAAAATTTATTTAAGGAGAAAATAAATGTTGTGCCAGGTATAAATGACAATGGCTGCAAGTTGAAAGATTTAAGCAGTAAATGAAAGGTATATATTGCTAATACATAACAGGGTGAATGATGAATGGATAGAAATAGTTTTATTACCTATGTACTTGTGAAAAGAAGCATGTTAACTCTTCAGCTGTAGGGGAATGTAATATTGTATTAGTGTTATCCTCTGGCAAGCCAGCTTGAGAGTATTGTAGTACAGTATTGTATTAAGTTTACCTTGTACCAGGCAGCTTGTAGTGAGAATATGGCCTTGAAGCTTACATGAGCTTTTGGTACTATTTGGTACTAAGAGAATTAAAAATTTTTGATCGGAAATAACTATACTGTACTGGGTAATCATAATCTGGCTCTCACTGATAAAAAATATATCCAAGTCATCTACAGCCCTCCAGTTTTGGGCCGCATGTCCCATGCCATTGTCATTTATACCTGAGACAACATTATTTAACATTATGCATTTGCCTGAAGCCAGTTTTTTTTTAGAAACACTGAGAAACATATTTTACTTATGGTGTTAATGAAATTATATTTTCTTCAGAGTATGCTGGGCCTGGCTTACTCACTTCTGGCAAGTGCTTTGTGGCCTATGGTTTCTCTCGTCATTCCTGAGCATCAGCTGGGGACAGCTTATGGCATGTGAGTTCCTCTGGCGTATGATTTGTTGTGTTCATCTGAATGTGGGGGGCAACTAAAGCACAATTATCTCATTAATTATTTAATCCATGAGTAGATGATGACCATTATTTGATTTTTGCATATGATCATGTATACATGTATGACAGGCATCTTGTTTATATTTAGATTTATTTTTATGAAATGACAGAAGAAATGCTAATACATTTGTGTTTTGGATTATGTGTTGTGTGATGTGTGTTTTGGATTATGGTCAGAATTCTGTCCAAGATGAATTTTGAACTTTATGAGCATCTTTCTAGTTTGTATATTTTCATGCCAATGTTATCCATTGGATCCGTCAAATATTTGTATTTGAATTATCATTTATATTATTGATTCTGTATAATACTGTATTATTTATGCATTGGGTATCCTTCCCCAGTGACATACTGTATACTTTACACTTAATTTTCTAAGCCTGGGGCACTCGGTCACACCCGTAGACAATATCCCCCTTTCCCAGGGACATTGCTAACTCCAGCCTGGGTCAGCTACTCAGCTTGGTTTTTCCATCTCTGATGCAGTGAGGAACTTTTCTTAATGCCCCCATCAGTCCATATTTGGTGGAAGGGAAGACACTAGAGAATTCTTATTCCATCCTTGAATGACCAGAAGGTTCATTCTTCTATACTGTACTTAAAAAGGCACCTTCAGCAGCATAATACTTTAAGTCAAAGAGATTGTCAAGTAATGATCTGGTAATTTAAACCAACTACTGATTGACTCCCTATTCACCACTGCCACCAAGTGGTAGCAGGACAAGTAAACAAAACCAGCCAGCAATTGCACCTTTCATTTCTTCTTAGTCTGCAATCAAGCTATTCCAGCAGGTTGGAGAAAGACCTCTCCCTAGGTCAAGTGACAGTTGATTCATTTGCAGATGAGTTTAGTCTTATACTGTTGATCCATACTTTGGTTAAACTTCATGTGTATGTACGCATATGTGTAAATTCTGTCTGTGTGTCTTCAGCTTTACTAAATCAGCATGGCAGAGATTTCTTTTCTGTTGACTCGGTAGTACATAGGGTACCTGGATTGTACTCGGATGAGGCTATGGAAGTTGTTCTACTCCCCAAGCCTGGCCTTGGGCCAAGCTTAATTTATGAGAGCCTGCTCCAACATGCTGTTGCTTGGAGCAGCCCACAGGCCCACATATCCACTACAGCCTGTGCAAATAGTCTGTGATAGGAAAATACCACCACTATTGCAACTTTCATCACTTTATTTATATAGCTTTCACTTAGAGTAGTGCCAATGAACTTAAATAAATCTATGTGCTTCAGGATGCAGAGCATCCAGAACCTGGGTTTGGCACTTATCAGCATGTTGGCAGGACTGATTGTGGACTTGAAAGGCTATTTGGTCCTCGAGATGTTCTACATGGTGTGGCTTTGTGGTAAGTTGATGAAATGGTCTATATCTTTGTTAAAAACTATTTGAAGGATATACTACACATATGAGATTCAAGCCATTTTATTATACTAAAGTGCCTATCTACCCGAGATTTTCAAATCAGTGGTGATTTGAACATCATTACGTTTATTGAACACCTTAATTTTAGTTTGGCAGCTTACACTGTTCATACCTCCATATAAAACTTGATAACAAGTTCAACAAATTTCTAATGATAATCTCAAACCTAATAAAAATAATAATTAAAGCATAACAGTAATAATACTAATAAATAATAATGATATATTAACTTTTAAAACCTGTACAATGGATAATGTTCATGGTTTGTTAGCATATTATAGTGATTGTTTTATTTTTTTTTACAATGCCACTTGCAGCATTAACATTGACATAAAGTGCATTTTCTGTAATAAGAGAGGAATTATTATGATCTAAACAGTGAAAAGTGGGTAAGTTTGGGTAATGTATAGAGGACTTTATTTAGCAGATGTAATACAGGAATAAGGTCAGTAAGGTTAGTGATGGCATGGAGGATGACAAGGGAAGGGAGGGAAGAGAACTATCTGGAGAAAGCACCGAGCCATTACAACTACAGTACTGTACTGTATATAGCACTTAAAAGGAATCAGGATAAGGATTTAGGAAGGGACATGGGAAAGGAATGGTGTCCAACCATTGGGCGCCATTAAAACTCCAATGTTCAAAGGCCAATGCCAACGTTCAAACAGCGATTGAAAGTCAACCTGCATGACACCCCTGGGCACCTGCAGGTTGGCGTTCGTTCAGTTTAGGATTGAATGCCAACCTAGCTGAAGTGAGGCCGTCACTCGACTTTTCAGCCCAAATGGTTAGGTGGATGACACGGGAAATTACCATTTGTTAAATTTAACGGTAGCTGTGTGTTGGATGATTAAACAGAGGTACTAGCAGAGCAGAGAAATTCTGATTGGGATTATGTAATGATATGTTGCAAGTGCTGGTAAAAGACAAGTTTTTGTGCATAAAACAATCCTACATAATATAATTACTCATCTATTGTCTGGGTCAATGGTCTATGCAAGCTCAAGAAATTGATTAGGTATTTCATACAAAAAAAATGAAGAGAGAAAACAGATATATGAATTCGTTAACTAACTGCACTATACAGAACAAAAATTGGTTAGCAGATTACACTTAAACAATGCAAAAACACATTAGTACTTATCAGTAAAGTTGGTGTAGTTTCTCAAAAGAAGTTTGTGTGATGGGAGAGTTGGTAGATGATTTGCATATCACTGGGAGAGGATAAAGTGGGGTGCTGGCATCCTATAATACCATACAAGAGGTATGGTGTCACCTGCAGTGTTAGTTTTAGGTGAAGAAATTTTAGTATCACTGGGCGGGAAAGTAGGAGGGTTAGGGTCGCTTGATAGCCCACTTAATGATATGAGGTCTTTACAATTTTAAAATTAACTTTAGATTGAGACCTCTTTCATGCAATTTCTCTGAATGATTTTAAAGTTTAAATATAAAGTGTGCCATTCATCATCTGCTGCATAGTATACTCGTACTCATTTCTGATCTCCTTAAAACAGAAAACTAGGTTAAAAACTTGGTCATCTTTCTGCATAGTTGTTATAGGTTTTCTTCTGATTATCTTCCTCAACCTGATCCATGATCTATTGGTTGGATCAGGAAGGTGGTATTGTCAGAAATACTTTCCTTTACCAATTGAGAAACAAGAGCATGTGTTGGGATTCTACCTGGCACTAGCATTATTCTGCTGAAATATGACTTTATTCTTACAAATACTTTCTCCCTCCTCATTACATGATAGCATCGTGTGATCAAGTACTAATTGGTCCTACGAAAAATTGAAGACACGTTTATTGTTGATATGATTTAGGTTTTAATAAGGATTAGCACCACCCATTTTATTAATACTGTTCACATATATTTGTATTCCTAAAAGTTGCATTGGCTGCCACTGCTCTCATTGCTGTGGTGGACAGTAATGCAGGAGGAGATCTATTGAAGTCACCTGCTCAAAGGCAACGAGCCTTAGAAGCTTCAGAGGGGAAAATTAATGAAGCGTATGATAAGAATGATGGTGATGCGTTTGAGAAGACATATTCAAATGAAACGGCTAATGAGGATCTCTAAGGATTGAATTAATTCAACTGTTTATCCGAGTATGTTTTATCTTTCATGCGTTGGTGCTGTACAATGTGGGAATTTGGTACTGTATAATGTAGGAATTTGGAACTGTATAATGTGGGAATTTGGTTCTATATAATGTGGAAATTTGGTGCTGTACAGTATTGTAATGTTGTACTATATAATGTGGGAATTGTGTACTATATAAATATGGGAAAATTGTACTGTATAGTGTGGGAATTTGGTGCTGTTTAATATGTGAATTAGTTATCATTGGTGTGTTAAAAGTTTTATCTTTTGACATTTAACTTGTTAAGCAAAAGACTGATCTATCACACAAACACTCATACATGACACTTAATTTTATAAGTTAAATTTAATTAGCAGATAATAATGCTGTGATTAACTCATTTGTTGGTGATAAAAGCATGAGAGCCATGGAAAAATATAATTTACATACTTGCCTCTATAACCAGCAGCATACTTTCACATCATTCATTTAATCAAAGAGTATAATTGTCATTTATAATATGTACTATTTATGATGAATAATAATCAACTAGCAGCTTGCTTTAAAGGGAAAAAATTCCTCTGTAATAGAAAATGGATAGTGACGATTATTTGAAGAAAATAAAAGATATAGAAATTTGGAAAAAAATTCTAGCTAGGTCTATCACACTGAAGTAGACAAGAATTAACACAAATTGGATGATGCCATGGCTACTGCACTGCCAACAAGAGACAATAATTTTTAGGGTTTCTCTGAGAAAGAAATAGGTAATGGAGATTTTATGGGCAGCTTAGTGAAAGTTGAGGATCTGCTAAAAAGTCACGAAGGAAAACTTCTTTCATTAGATAGAGAAATTGTAGTTGTAAAAAGTATAAATGTCTTTGTACAAGGAATCATTTTGCAGAAAGAGCAGAAAGTTGCCAGCTAAACTGGTAGCATAAGGAGACATGCAAGACAAACAAGGGAACTAGTGAAAGAAAATGAGACATGGAAAATGAGTTCATCAAGCGCCATGTAATTAACAGTAATGTTCTTAATGTGCCATGTAAAATGATTTTTGCATATCAGTTTTTAAAAGGGGCATTTGTGTTTGTGGCGTGTATTTGTAAGTAGTGTGATACCCTTATCCTAACTTTATTGGAGTTTTATTGCTCATTTGTAATGTGTGTGTTCTAAATGTAAATAATTTTTGTCTTGTACTCTAGTTGCCTTGATATCTACTGTGGTAATATGGCTGTCAGATTCAGCTAAAGGAGGAACTCTTAACTTATCCGTCAGCCAGCGACGGAGACAGGCAGGGGAAGGAACGGAGTAAGTTGCATTTTAGTGATAATTGTATGGTATAGTTAAACGTTTAGTAGAATTTTAAATAGATGAATATAAATTTGATGTGTATTTAAGGCATTAGAACAAAAAACGTGTTCGAAAGTGTGTTGAATATAATAGAAAGGATTACATAAATTTAAACATTCAATAGTACCTGTATAAATATAAGAAATAATTGATGTACTTTGGTATTGGTAATTTTTTTTAATTAGAATTTCTCTATACAGTATACTTAATAATATCTTTTGTATTAATATTTTGTTTAGCACATAATAGAAGAACATGACATTTGTGGGGTAAATAAATTAAGTACGACAACTTCATAGAAAGTACAGTACGTATAGTTATTTATAGTTGCATTCATCTAAGATACTCATGACATAATAGAGATGTAAAACAAGCAAAATATTTTGTATTAAAAAATTGAAGTGTATATATAAAAAGTCCATTACTGTATTTTGGGTAAGTTACAAAATTAATAAGTCTTATGATGGTTTTGAAACTTTGCTGTTAAGTAAATGATATATAACTGATAATATGTGCAAGGAATACCTATACTGTACATAAAAGCTCTTCCCAATTTTCATTACTTACTTATCACAACATATTTTCTTTTTTCTTTTTTTTTCTTTTGTACAGACGTTTGCTGGAGTCGTAGAGATACAAGGCACCAGAAACAGGCTAAGTACTTTTGGGAAGTAGAGTACAGTCCTTGTACTTGTTAATGTATGCATTATATCCAACCAAAGTCAAAGCTTTTAATACCTGATCAGTAGCTTGTAAGTTTTTGAGAAAGACGTATATTTTATCAGAGCCATTTGAATGTGTGTTAGCGAAAGTGTAGTTCGTTGATATGTTAACTTGAAGACTGCATTGTCTGTTATTGTTAACATGCAAGTAGTGCGTTATCTGGGACTGAACTGTCACTATCAAGAGAGGCGGCGTGTATGCATGGAGTGCAGGTTATGCCTGGTACTGGAGAGGTGCGTGTGTTTCCTTTGTGGGGTCAGTCTTGCTCCAGGTGCATGGACAAGTGTATCATTAAGTGTCGGTGCTGGAAAGAACACTTTTTTAATTAGCAAGTGAGTTTGTAATTTCAGTAATATATTTTTCAGGAGTATTTTAGAATGGCATTTTGAAGATTAACCTTAATGAGATTAACAAGCCATTGACGAGACAGGTTAGGTGGTGTCTAGGTTGCATCTTGCTGGGAAGTAATGGGTTGGTTAATTAGAATCTTTGTTTAAATTATCATTTCATTGTGTGCAGTTCATGCTTTCAAACAAGATTTTTCATTGTTCATTCTGTATAGTATTACACAGTGCTTTTGTAATTAAGGCTGTAAAAATTCATAACCAGAACAAAGGTTAAAACATTTTGCAACTGAATAACACATCATTCATTCATTCATTTAATTGTACACATACAAATCCACATCAAAATTTTAGGTTATAATACCTGACGGTATCATAAAGCATCCATGTTTTTATTTTTAATTCCTTGATTTCAAGTACCATGGTTAGTAATTCTTTAAAGATTGGGATTCTTATTGTCTGGACTTCAAACGTAAGATATGAATGCCATGTTTAAGTTTTGGTTGCCGTCTAGTAATCATAAAATCCAATAGATTATGGGACAGTCCACATACACTTGATGTGACTCAACTGAATATTGTGAACATAGAATATTAATAAATAAATGAGTAATTAAGATTTTTTAGGAGATAAACCACTTTTAATCCGTCAGGAAGGCAAGCATCATTTAAGCATCAGTATTATAGCTCCTCATTAATATAATAGAATGGCATTTTTGCCATTCTATTATGCCAATAGAATGGCATAATCTTTCTATTACAGCTTTGGTAACTTACATTCTGCCTTATATGTTTCCAATTTTCAAATAAGTTCTTTTTTATAATATATTGATGTTAAAACATCCATTCCAACTGAATAATTCCTACTAGTTTTAGTGTATCATTCAGAACCAAGTAATTTTGCTTTGTCAGGCTGTTGTTAGAGAGGACTTTGGATGCATTTTCCTACGTACACTGTAATGCACTTTGAATGTATTATCCTACTCTTACTTTCAGTACGTAGTATTTGCATATATTATTTAAATTTATTTCCATACATAATACTGCTTTGACTTCAGAGGATTTTGCAATGTCTTATTCTTTCAGTGCAGATATTTACATGCATTATTTTACCTCAACTGCAGTGGACATTACATTCTTTATCCTAATTTAATTTTGTAAAACAGCTTGTGTTTGGATTGAGACAGCCATTTTTTCTAACATTTACGCACTGCTTCTCTTTTTTCTTGTTCTACGACATAATGCTACTCTTTCCATTTTCTCCTCTGACATAAGTGATTCTTGTTACATACGCAAATGCATCAGGAAAAATGGGGGACCTTTGATAAGTCGCCTGTTCCTACCTCACGCTGAGACCACTAGTGAGGTGGAGGCCCTCAGGTAAATCACATTAATCACTCCAATTTTATATATATACAGTGGAACCTCAGTACTGGTATTCGAATTGCTCCCAAATTAAACTCTTTGGCATTCGGATTCCGTGTTCATGTCCATTTGCCCGGCATTTACACACTCACATGTAAAGTGTGCAGTGTGTTAGCATTTATTTAATTTAATCATCACATTAATCTATTTATTTTTCTGGGCTGGAATGGATTAATCCAATTTACATTATTCCTTATGGGAAAAAATTGTTCAGTATTCAAACTTCTCAGGCTTTATCCCACCTTCAGGAACCAATCAAGTTCAAATACCAAGGTTCCACTGTATGTATGTATGTATGTATGTATATACAGAGCATATATATATATATATATATAATATATATTTATTTAAATAAAATTACATTATCCATACTTTGAGCGTACTGTATTGGCCATACACACTTAACTCACGGTCACTTAATGGAGCGCCGCCCTGCTCCTTATTGTCCAAATTGTGTTGTTCCTCTTACAGTCGTGCATATCCTTGTTGAATGTCCTGACTTCTAGGACGAGCGTGTGTCTTGCTTTCCGACCGTCCTTCGCGGTCACTTGTTCCTCGATAGAATTCTTGGTGAATACGTGCCCATATTCTAATATCTGGCAAATGCTTTCCAACCTGTGAAAGTAAATAATGAGGTACTGTAATTAGGATGTTGAATTATTTACAGTATCTTTTTAACACAAAGTTTCTTTGTCCAATGATTAAGCCTTTCTCTTCATAAACACTTATTCAGCTCCACACTATTTTTGTTTCCTCTCAAGTATACTCAGGTCAGATTACTATTCAGATAGTAGTGAAATGAGATTTCCTGGAGTAGTGTGAACTGAATACATTTATGTATTCACCAGATATTAGATTATTGAGCAGCTCGGAGAAGGAAAGGTTCAAGATCAGCATGATTTTTTAAATTAGATTTTCAGCTTGTTCTCGTGATATGGCAGGCAAATCCACCTCACTTATTGAAGTCAAAGCACATTACTTTAAGAATGGAAACAAATTTAGTTGCTTAAATTTCAGTTAAGCACCTTGGTTTTAGATAGACTGGTCCATATTATGCAAGTTTAACATGTGATACTGTACCTGGTTGTGATGTGATAAGAGCCAACCAAGGTTATTGATTTATTGTCAACAGTGTTTAATAGGATGATTTAGGTGACAAATATTTACTTAGATAAATAAAAAAAAAGTTAATGTATTTCACTACATCTACCAATTAATGATTTTGTTTCTGAAAGTACACTAGTACACTACACCATTTAATTTTTACTCGGGCTTAATCTGAGTGGCCATACTCTGTACATAAATTAGAGACTAGAACACTTTTTTTTCAACTCATTGATTTGATACAAGACCGTACAATTGTAAGTGGATAAGTGTTTGTTAAATGTAGTTCAGTACTTTGAAGTACAGTACTAAAATTTGTTTAGTGAAATCTATTGAAATTCTGTGGTACAGTATTGTGTATTTTCAGTATATTTTTATGAAAACTGGTAACCATGACATCATGCACCTCCTGGCATTAAAGACATTTTTTCTTGTATTTATCATGCTACCATTTCACCTTAGAGAATCATTCGTAAATTATGCTTAGTTTTTGTTCAGTACTGTATTCTTCATTGTTAACCCTTAAACTGCTCCCATCACCAAGAAGCGATATGGGCTAGTGTGCCAAAAGTCCTAAAGATTCTATGAGGAAGTCGTTTAACACTAGAAGCCTCTGGCAATCATTTGTCAAATTGGAAACAAAAGTTCCTAAAGTCTTGATTTTCTTTCCAGGCAGTAGTAAATAATTTGGCATCACCATCCATTTACTAATATCAGTGCTAGAAACTATTGATGCCAGGCAAAATTTGCATGACTTATGAACCTGGAAGATATTAGTGATGAGAAATCTATTACAAATAATTAATTTGAAAATGAATGATCAGAATTTGACATTTTCAACATATCTTCACCTCACTATTGCCAACCTAAAATTATGAGAATATTTTCAATGATTTGCAATACAGAAGGGAAAATAAATTGTTGTTTTTATGCTTACCAGGAAATTGGCTTAATTTAGGATGTGCAGTTAGGGGGGGCTTGCGTCATGATGAGAATATATAATTCTGTCTTGCATATTTATCTAATTGAATTCCTAGTTTCTGTTACGAAGATCCTCCTCTTTTAACGTTAGCAAAGCTTTAGCAATTAAGAGCATAGAGTGTGTGAAATTAAGTATAACCCGAAGTACTGTATCTCCTTCATGGGTCATTTTTGGGGAGAACAGTTTGTGAATTGGAACAATTTAAGATGTTGTTTTCCCAGATTAGTAGAAGGCCAAATACGGAATTTAGAAGAAATATATATTTTTGTATAGTAGTTCGAGAGTTTAAATACATGTACAGTAGTATGAATATGTTGAAAAAAATAAAAATTTATTTGCTCAACAAGTAGGGCATAGATTAAGAGCATATAGAAACTGAATGGCGAGATTTAGATATCAGCATTTATGATTTTTTAAATCTGCAGAGTAGTACCAATTATTCAGGCCTATGCTAAACACTTTTTTTTCTGTTTTTTTTTTTTTTCTAAATGTTATTGCTGATATGAATCATACTGAAATGTACAGGTTTTTGTAACATTTTGTAAATGTTTAAATGTTCCTGATTCTTGTATATTGATCTTGTATGTATTATAATTTATTGTATGTATTATACTTTATATATGGCCCCCTCATATTATAGTACAGTATATTAATTTTAATGTAGGAATATATAGAATCGAGTCATATATAAGCATATATAATTACATTGGATTCCCTTTTGAACAGAATGGTTGCTTCCAGGCATATTTCAGTGCATCCTATGTCTAGTTTTGTATTACCAAAACCACAGTAAAAAAAAGTTAAATTTGTTAATATTTTTGGTTTGTTTACATTTGCATCACAAAACTAGTCAAGCAGGAATTTTTAGTTTGTTGAGATGAATAGTACATTACATCTGATGATAATCGGGTCAGAATATTTCCAATGCATTGATTGATCTTATATTTGACTGGGATCTTTGTTGATGGCTTATGTACTTTGTACATAAGTTGATGGCTTACTGTACTTTGTTGATGGCATATGTGTACTAGTTGCAGTATACAGTACAGTAAAAACTTGGTGGAACAAACTAGTGTACCATGCACGAGGTGAGCCCACTTCTTGCAACAAGGTTTTTCACGTCCCTAGTCCCTAGTGATCTTCACACAGTATTTTCCCCATTTTTTAACTTTATGTAACATTTTAATTTTGTAAACAGTATTTTAGTACAGTATATTTTTAGCAAATTGACATGCAGTTAAGATGTTTTTAATAAAAATAATGCAAAACTCTTATTACATTTTAAAACCCCTTATATTGCAAATGTTAATTGGAAGGAATTTACTTGTCGTTTTAATTACTACAGTATGTATAATACACTACAGTTTGTACAATACTGAAGTGTTGTATATACAATAAAAAAAAATTAATAAATGAGGATCCAATTTCCCTTTTAGCAATATACTTTGTTTCTTCATGTCAAAATCAGTACTCTTACCAATGTTAAATGTTAGAGCCAACATGGTAATGTAATGCTCATGCTTGGTTCTCTGTATTGGTTACATCTCTTGATCAATGAATAACATGTTTGATGCCCTCTTGTTTACCATCATGATGGCTTCTTAGGCAGTTTTCCTAATGACAATTAGTGAAAGTAAAAGCATAAAAGTGAGATTTGGCAATAAAATCCCCCTCGCCTCTGCTCTAAAATCACGCACAAACTTTGAAAAAGCATGAGGTGCTATTTAGTATACAATCTTTATCTGCGTTTACAAAATGTACATAGATAAATAAAAGATTATTTTGGAAGAATTGTTTGTTTTTTTACAGTATATATACATTGACTTGTAGGTCAAACCAAAATATAATTTTCTGAGGTAAGACTACCAAGATGCTCCCATAATGAGCTACTATATGTTCCATCCTGGACTTATCACCCACCAGACTTACTTTTCTTTCCATCATGGCTGGTATTTTTGCTAGTGATCTCGTTACACATCTAAGGAAGGAAGTCGGTGAAAGCCACTACTGAGGTTACTAGTTCATGATGCAATGTCATGAATCATTACTCTCAAATTCCTTCTGCAAGCAAAAAGTTTACATACTTTGCCAAGACCATAAATTATCACTACAAACTGTAAAAAAAAAAAAAAGTTGGTTCTAAGGCTACACTACATGCTGCTATATGACATCAAATTACGACTTTTTCTGGGGGGAGCCCCAACGGCTCCCCGGAGCTATCCATGGCTGATATAAATATCCTAACTATTTTGCATCAGTCGATGTGGGTGGAGTTCTAGCCTACCGGGGACCACGAGCCAGAACCTGGCCCCCTCACAGAGGCACGGGGAGCAATGTCCCACATGTGATTTGGAGCATTCTATATCTGCCATCGACCGGGACAGGCACCCAGAAAGGTAAGCGCCACAAAACAAACCCCTATTCTGGTTAACAACGAAAATTGACAAACGAGTGGTCAGAACTCCCCAACAGAAAAACGAGCAAATAAGCATGACGTCACACGAGCCGCGCCGCTCCCCCCTCCCCGGGAGGGGGAAGGGGGTGCCCCAGACCACTGCCCCAGTTCCTCGGCTGATGGGATAATGCATGGTCGTCTGGCTCCAGCTCCAGTCTTGTCTCAGTGCTGTGACTTGTTTGCAGTGCTGCTCTTACGGTGGTCGTGTGAGCTGGGAGTAGTATTCTCAGGTACTCGGGGCTGCATGTGCTTAGGGTCACCTTCCCTGAGTGCCCTGTAAGTACCGCCCTTGGGGCTTTGGTTTGCCGTCCGCAAGTCACCTTGGGTCTGCCTCTGTTGGCTTTTCGCTGCTTGGCATTTGGCCGCCCCGAGTGTTTGGGGGTTTTCCTCCCTTGTTTACTGTAGGGTAAGTGGCAGTTATAGCACTGGTGGGGCGCAGGGTACTGCATATCTAGTTTTCACCTATTACAGCGGCCGGCTCTGTTCCCACTGGGTACGTTGTCCACTTGTGTGGTTTTTCTTTTCTTTTTGTTTTTGCCTGGTGGATTGGGGGGGGGGGTCTGCCTTGTGTTTTCCCTTCCCCTTATATTAGGGTCGTTTGTGTGGTGGCACCCCCTGCTTCGCACTCGCGAGTGGACACGTCCCGTGGGTTCAGCTTTCAGCAGTTTGCTTGGTAGTTTGGGACGCCGTCCGCGAGTGGTCCTCTTGCAGCCCAGCCGTGGTTTCAGGCCCTTTCAGGTTTCAGGTACCCGGAAGGGGTACCTTCAAAATGTCTGAAATGTCGGAACTTTGACTCCTGAGCGTGATTTTTGAGCCGAATTCTTACTCTCTGGACCTATTTTCAGTTTCAAATTACGACTTTTTATACCGAAAATATGAGAATTACTGAAAACGGCGATGGGTCATATTTTGCCCAAACCCCCCTGCAGTTTTCAAAATGTCTGAAATGTCGGAAATTTGACTCCTGAGCATGATTTTTCAGCCGAATTCTGACTCTCTGCACCTATTTTCAGTTTCAAATTACGACGTTTCATACCGAAAATATGCCAATTACTGAAATCGACGATGGGTCATATTTTGCCCAAACCCCCCTGCAGTTTTCAAAATGTCTGAAATGTCGGAAATTTGACTCCTGAGCGTGATTTTTGAGCCGAATTCTGACTCTCTGCACCTATTTTCAGTTTCAAATTACGACGTTTCATACCGAAAATATGCCAATCACTGAAAACGGCGATGGGTCATATTTTGCCCAAACCCCCCTGCAGTTTTCAAAATGTCTGAAATGTCGGAAATTTGACTCCTGAGCGTGATTTTTGAGCCGAATTCTTACTCTCTGGACCTATTTTCAGTTTCAAATTACGACTTTTTATACCGAAAATATGCCAATTACTGAAAACGGCGATGGGTCATATTTTGCCCAAACCCCCCTGCAGTTTTCAAAATGTCTGAAATGTCGGAAATTTGACTCCTGAGCGTGATTTTTGAGCCGAATTCTGACTCTGCATATATTTTCAGTTTCAAATTACTACTTTTTATACCGAAAATATGAGAATTACTGAAAACGGCGATGGGTCATATTTTGCCCAAACCCCCCTGCAGTTTTCAAAATGTCTGAAATGTCGGAAATTTGACTCCTGAGCGTGATTTTTGAGCCGAATTCTGACTCTCTGCACCTATTTTCAGTTTCAAATTACGACTTTTTATACCGAAAATATGAGAATTACTGAAAACGGCGATGGGTCATATTTTGCCCAAACCCCCCTGCAGTTTTCAAAATGTCTGAAATGTCGGAAATTTGACTCCTGAGCATGATTTTTGAGCCGAATTCTGACTCTCTGCACCTATTTTCAGTTTCAAATTACGACGTTTCATACCGAAAATATGCCAATTACTGAAAACGGCGATGGGTCATATTTTGCCCAAACCCCCCTGCAGTTTTCAAAATGTCTGAAATGTCGGAAATTTGACTCCTGAGCGTGATTTTTTATCCGAATTCTGACTTTCTGCACCTATTTTAAGTTTCAAATTACGACTTTTTATACCCCAATTACTGAAAACGTCGATGGCTCATATTTTGCCCAAACCCCCCTGCAGTTTTCAAAATGTCTGAAATGTCGGAAATTTGACTCCTGAGCGTGATTTTTGAGCCGAATTCTGACTCTCTGCATATATTTTCAGTTTCAAATTACGACTTTTTATACCGAAAATATGACAATTACTGAAAACGGCGATGGGTCATATTTTGCCCAAACCCCCCTGCAGTTTTCAAAATGTCTGAAATGTCGGAAATTTGACTCCTGAGCATGATTTTTGAGCCGAATTCTGACTCTCTGCACCTATTTTCAGTTTCAAATTACGACTTTTTATACCGAAAATATGAGAATTACTGAAAACGGCGATGGGTCATATTTTGCCCAAACCCCCCTGCAGTTTTCAAAATGTCTGAAATGTCGGAAATTTGACTCCTGAGCATGATTTTTGAGCCGAATTCTGACTCTCTGCACCTATTTTCAGTTTCAAATTACGACTTTTTATACCGAAAATATGCCAATTACTGAAAACGGCGATGGGTCATATTTTGCCCAAATCCCCCTGCAGTTTTCAAAATGTCGGAAATGTCGGAAATTTAACTCCTGAGCGTGATTTTTGAGCCGAATTCTGACTCTCTGCATATATTTTCAGTTTCAAATTACGACTTTTTACACCGAAAATATGAGAATTACAGAAAACGGCGATGGGTCATATTTTGCCAAACCCCCCTGCAGTTTTCAAAATGTCTGAAATGTCGAAAATTTGACTCCTGAGCATGATTTTTGAGCCGAATTCTGACTCTCTGCACCTATTTTCAGTTTCAAATTACGACTTTTTATACCGAAAATATGCCAATTACTGAAAACGGCGATGGGTCATATTTTGCCCAAACCCCCCTGCAGTTTTCAAAATGTCTGAAATGTCGGAAATTTGACTCCTGAGCGTGATTTTTGAGCCGAATTCTGACTCTCTGCATATATTTTCAGTTTCAAATTACGACGTTTCATACCGAAAATATGCCAATTCCTGTAAACGGCGATGGGTCATATTTTGCCCAAACCCCCCTGCAGTTTTCAAAATGTCTGAAATGTCGGAAATTTGACTCCTGAGCATGATTTTTGAGCCGAATTCTGAATCTCTGCACCTATTTTCAGTTTCAAATTACGACGTTTCATACCGAAAATATGCCAATTCCTGTAAACGGCGATGGGTCATATTTTGCCCAAACCCCCCTGCAGTTTTCAAAATGTCTGAAATGTCGGAAATTTGACTCCTGAGCATGATTTTTTATCCGAATTCTGACTTTCTGCACCTATTTTAAGTTTCAAATTACGACTTTTTATACCGAAAATATGAGAATTACTGAAAACGGCGATGGGTCATATTTTGCCCAAACCCCCCTGCAGTTTTCAAAATGTCTGAAATGTCGGAAATTTGACTCCTGAGCATGATTTTTTATCCGAATTCTGACTTTCTGCACCTATTTTAAGTTTCAAATTACGACTTTTTATACCGAAAATATACCAATTACTGTACTAAAAACGGCGATGGGTCATATTTTGCCCAAACCCCCCTGCAGTTTTCAAAATGTCTGAAATGTCGGAACTTTGACTCCTGAGCGTGATTTTTGAGCCGAAATCTGACTCTCTGCACCTATTTTCAGTTTCAAATTACGACTTTTTATACCGAAAATATGCCAATTACTGAAAACGGCGATGGGTCATATTTTGCCCAAACCCCCCTGCAGTTTTCAAAATGTCTGAAATGTCGGAAATTTGACTCCTGAGCGTGATTTTTGAGCCGAATTCTTACTCTCTGCACCTATTTTCAGTTTCAAATTACGACTTTTTCATACCGAAAATATGCCAATTACTGAAAACGGCGATGGGTCATATTTTGCCCAAACCCCCCTGCAGTTTTCAAAATGTCTGAAATGTCGGAAATTTGACTCCTGAGCGTGATTTTTGAGCCGAATTCTGACTCTCTGCACCTATTTTCAGTTTCAAATTACGACGTTTCATACCGAAAATATGCCAATCACTGAAAACGGCGATGGGTCATATTTTGCCCAAACCCCCCTGCAGTTTTCAAAATGTCTGAAATGTCGGAAATTTGACTCCTGAGCGTGATTTTTGAGCCGAATTCTGACTCTCTGCATATATTTTCAGTTTCAAATTACGACTTTTTATACCGAAAATATGAGAATTACTGAAAACGGCGATGGGTCATATTTTGCCCAAACCCCCCTGCAGTTTTCAAAATGTCTGAAATGTCGGAAATTTGACTCCTGAGCATGATTTTTGAGCCGAATTCTGACTCTTTGCACCTATTTTCAGTTTCAAATTACGACTTTTTATACCGAAAATGTGAGAATTACTGAAAACGGCGATGGGTCATATTTTGCCCAAACCCCCCTGCAGTTTTCAAAATGTCGGAAATGTCGGAAATTTGACTCCTGAGCATGATTTTTGAGCCGAATTCTGACTCTTTGCACCTATTTTCAGTTTCAAATTACGACGTTTCATACCGAAAATATGCCAATTACTGAAAACGGCGATGGGTCATATTTTGCCCAAACCCCCCTGCAGTTTTCAAAATGTCTGAAATGTCGGAAATTTGACTCCTGAGCGTGATTTTTTATCCGAATTCTGACTTTCTGCACCTATTTTAAGTTTCAAATTACGACTTTTTATACCGAAAATATGTCAATTACTGAAAACGGCGATGGGTCATATTTTGCCCAAACCCCCCTGCAGTTTTCAAAATGTCTGAAATGTCGGAAATTTGACTCCTGAGCATGATTTTTGAGCCAAATTCTGACTCTCTTCACCTTATTTCATTTTCAAATTCCGACTTTTTATACTGAAAATATGCCAATAACTGAAAACGTCGATAGGTCATATTTTGGCCAAACCCCCCTGCAGTTTTCAAAATATCTGAAATGTCGGAAATTTGAGTCCCGAGCGAGATTTTTGAGCCGAATTTAGGCTCCCTGCACCTATTTTCATTTTCAAATTCCGACTTTTTATACCGAAAATATGCCAATTACTGAAAACGGCGATGAATCATATTTTGACCAAACCCCCCTGCAGTTTTCAAAATATTTGAAATGTCGGAAATTTGACTCCTGAGCGTAAGTTTTGAGCCAAATTCTGACTCTCTGCACCTATTTTCATTTTCAAATTCCGACTTTTTATACCGAAAATATGCCAATTACTGAAAAGGGCGATGGGTCATATTTTGCCCAAACCCCCCCTGCAGTTTTCCAAATATCTGAAATGTCGGAAATTGGACTCCTGAGCGTAATTTTTGAGCCAAATTCTTTGCACCTATTTTCATTTTCAAATTTCGACTTTTTATACCGAAAATATGCCAATTACTGAAAACGGCGATGAATCATATTTTGACTAAACCCCCCTGCAGTTTTCAAAATATCTGAAATGTCGGAAATTTGACTCCTGGGCGTAATTTTTGAGCCAAATTCTGACTCTCTGCACCTATTTTTATTTTCAAATTCCGACTTATTATACCGAAAATATGCCAATTACTGAAAACGGCGATAAATCATATTTTGACTAAACCCCCCTGCAGTTTTCAAAATATCTGAAATATCGGAAAATTGACACCTGAGCGTGATTGTTGAGCCGAATTCTGACTCTCTGCACCTATTTTCATTTTCAAATTCTGACTTTTTATACCGAAAATATGCCAATTACTGAAAACGGCGATGAATCATATTTTGACTAAATCCCCCTGCAGTTTTCAAAATATTTGAAATGTCGGAAATTTGACTCCTGAGCGTAATTTTTGAGCCAAATTCTGACTCTCTGCCCCTATTTTCATTTTCAAATTCTGACTTTTTATACGGAAAATATGCCAATTACTGAAAACGACGATGGATCACATTTTGCCCAAACCCCCCTGCAGTTTTTAAAATATCGGAAATATCGCAAAGCTGACTCATGAGCGTTATTTTCGAGACAAATTCTGCATTTCGAATTCTAAAAGTACTTCCTCCCGTTCTCTCCCGCTCTCTGAACCCTTAAATGTTATTCTTCCCGTTCTCTTCCGTTTTCTACCGTTCCTTCCCGCTCTTTGAAGCCTTAAAAGTACTTCCTCTCGCCCTCTAAAGGGTCCTTAGAGTCCTTAGCATTAAGAGTCCTTAGCATTAAGAGTCCTTAGTAGAGGACCCTCAACTTACTTTTTGAGAAAAAAATCCAAAATTTATTTTCCATTTTTTGTCCTTTTCCAATTACGTCCAATTTCGGCCATACGGGCAAACGGCCCAATTCAGACGTAATTTGTAAGAGGAAAGGTTGCCCGGAGAGGCGGACCATTCAACTTCACCACTATAATCACTATCATATTATATCATATTTGTTATATTCAACATATATATTACTAAATTATAACTTTAAATAATCCTCAAATTATGCCGCAATGTTGATAAGCCTCAAATTTTACAATAGTGTATCTACTAATCTTCGTAAAATTTTCTTATCGTGTACCTGTTAACATTTCTCAATTTTGCTAGACATTACCTACTTATAATTATCTGTTAGATTAAGGACCTGCCCCGAAACGCTATGCGTGTTAGTGGCTTTGGAAGACTGTAAAAACGTCAATGCTATGTACTCTCATAAACCCCAATGTACCTTCTTGTATATAAGTAAATACATATTAGTGGTCCTGAGGTAAAACATGTATGACTGCTGTAAAAAAAATGCCAACCAAACCGTAGGTGTAGAGCTAAATCTCGCTCCGTGGACACGTTTAAGACAGGAAGGTAAGCACGTGCACGGCAAGACAATATTTGCTGTTGACCAAGGAACTACGGGCTCACCATAGCCCGTGCTACTTGGAACTTTGTTCCAGGTAGCGAATCTTTAACAACAACATGCTGTTGACCAGACCACACACTAGAATGTGTAGGGACGACGACGTTTCGGTCCGTCCTGGGCCATTCTCGAGTCGATGGTCGACTTGAGAATGGTCCAAGACAGACCGAAACGTCGTCGTCCCTTCACCTTCTAGTGTGTGGTCTGGTCAACATACTTCAGCCACGTTATTGTGACTCCTCGTCTACACAATATTGGCAACAATGATCTACATATCAATAGATACTGATACAGATTTGAGCAATATTTAAAGTGACACTACGCGAACACATATTTATATCTCAATATAATGGAATAATTTAAGTATAATAATTCGATCTTTGTTGCACCCCTTTGGACTATTTTATTTAAGAATGGAGACTATAAATGGAATATATACATATATAATGAATTATTATTGATTTAGACAAGTGCCAGTCACCTGTAGCTATAGATGCTGTTGTTGTAAATTTTATCAAGTCAAGCATCGGTTATCTCCGGTAGAATACAGCTGCTATCGCAATCTTCAGACGATATCACCAGCTGCGGAGGAGATTGAGAGGAGCTCCAGTACCTCAGACCGCAGCCGCCCCCACACATACACATACACACGGACTCGACACCATCCCCAGGTAACTTAGAGCCTACACCCCAGTTTCTAGATGAAAGTTAGCACTTGGGACAGATACAAGCGGGTTTAAAAACCGCTGTAGGAACGCTGCCCGAAACGCTGTGCGTATTAGTGGCTTCAGGAATACAATAGAAAGGTGGTAGTTAATGACGACTATGACATTATGGAATATGAAGCTCTAGCAACTTGACAGAAGTAATTTTTGGTTAACATTAATAACAGCAAGAGAATCCAAAGGTGTAGACCAAACCACACACTAGAAATTGAAGAGACGACAAGCCACGTTATTGGAACTTTTCATCTGCAAAGGTGTAATTTACTCAAACTACTAGAACATAATATAGCAGTAAATTAAAAGCTTTAATGGGGGTAAACACTTAAAGGACAAGATAAAAGATAAGACTTAAATATCAAAAGTACAAACAATAGATATAATGAACCCTCCGCCACTATGTAAAGGAGTACTAAAAGACAACTATATAACAAATGTTCAGGAAATGTGTGTAACTATTTCATTCAAATTAATCTACTACCAGAAATTTTTGCCAAACATCCCCAGCTTGCTAACTGTTAGGAAGTGAATGTGGGTGATTGTAACCTTTCTACAGCCACCCACTGGTTGGGGTTCAGTGTTGGTTTGTTTCAGATTTAGCGACTCAGAACGAAATGTCCATGTAGCACCGGCTATAGTGAGCCCTTGATCTGGATGGGAAGGAGCGGGGCGTACAATAGGCAAATCAATTATCAATAAGTAATTATAAACTAGCTCACTATATGAACGTTACGTAGCCTAGAGACTGTACTTATGGTCTGACTCGAACCCATTGCTGATAAACTTCCAATATACATTAAACCGTGTAACTAGCTAGCTCATCAAGACTGTAACTTGCTTAGCTAAATGAAATTTGGGGGTTCAGATTTATTGATGATTGATGAAGATTAAGTCATCCAAAAGGTGGCACGGGCACGAATAGCCCGTAAGTGGTGGCCCTTTTGAGCCATTACCAGTATCAATAGATGATACTGGAGATCTGTGGAGGTGCGACTGCACCCTGCGTGACGGGAGATGTCTCCCGTGTTGGGGGTTCAGTCCCCAAACCCATTATATAACCTTTTCCATTGCCGCCCACAGGATGGGTATGGGGTGCATAATTAGGGAACTAAACTGTAATCAATAAGCTAATAAGGAGGACAATATAAGCGTAGACTCAATCAAGCTTTGAAATATTAGACAATACAGCATCATCTAATAAGGGTCATTAGCTCAGGGTACCTATCCTTAGGTAGGATATTAGCCTGCTAGGCTATAATATCATGTAACAGAAGGATATTACATTAATTAAATGTAATATCCAAAACATGTATTTACAGTTCACTGGATGTGAACTAAGGATGTATTTGGTTGTTTTAGAGTAAATATTTCATCATTTAATGCATTTTTGATCAGACAGACATCGAGAGAGTGAGTGAACATGTTTGTCGTCGGGACGATCTTCGTACTGCTCATCTTCTTCATGTTCGTGTCTCTAATGCATGATCTGCAGACACAAGACGCTCTACTGCTCAATGCCTCCCTCAGGTAGGTACTCGCCTCCCTCAGGTAGGTACTCGCCTCCCTCAGGTAGGTACTCGCCTCCCTCAGGTAGGTACTCGCCTCCCTCAGGTAGGTACTCGCCTCCCTCAGGTAGGTACTCGCCTCCCTCAGGTAGGTACTCGCCTCCCTCAGGTAGGTACTCGCCTCCCTCAGGTAGGTACTCGCCTCCCTCAGGTAGGTACTCGCCTCCCTCAGGTAGGTACTCGCCTCCCTCTGGCCAGCACCACCAAGTTCTACTCGGTTGAAAGTAAACCAGACAGGCTAACTTTTCTTGTAGGTGAAGCAGAGCTACACTTGTAAGTAGATTTTAAAAGTAATTTTGGTTCCCTTTGACTTTACATAATGGCAATTGCTAACAGGTCAAAACACGCACACTTTAATGTGTAGTAATAACACACTACCAAATGAACGCATCAAATGATCACTAATTAAGTGTAAGAATAATCAGCTCTTGAACACATCAAATATGTTAATCAATGTTTACAAATTTAATACTAAGTGATCTTGATATAAATAATTATTTATTTTGAGTACCAATTATTCTTCATCACTAGTAATTATAAGGTCAGTTCAGGTGTGGGTGTCCCCTTACCTCTTGAAGCACTGGCAGCCCTTGGAATCTCATTCAGTATGTAGAAGCATCACCAAAATGTTCCTTTCAGTTCAAACATGTCGCAGTTCTTGGCGAATGATTTGGCTAACGACTGGCTGGTAGCCCCAGTGTTAACCAGTGTATCTGGAAGCGAGAACAACAGCCTGGTGAATCACACCGTCACGGAGCCCGACTGGGCGCTCGTCCTGGGCACATTCTCACACCTCAGAGACGAGAACTTCGAGGAGTACCTTGTAGCTAATGGTAAGGTAAGGTAATCAGGCTGTCTCCTGCTTATAACTAATCAGGAGAAGCGCTTGTTGTGTTGTTTTAGATTTAGCTACTCAGAAGGAAGTGTCCATGTAGCACGGGCTATGGTGAGCCCGTAAAAGAAGCGCTTAAGACAGGCTGACTATATAGTTACGTATGGATCCCTTGGAGGGTTACGGGCTATTCATGCCCGTGCCACCTCTTGGCTGGCTTAATCTTCATCAATCAATTCTTTGAGGTCAAGCATATAACCCCGCTCCTGTGCCAGGTAAGTCCACTACGGGCTCACCATAGCCCGTGCTACTTGCCCCGCTCCTGTGCCTACGGGCTCACCATAGCCCGTGCTACATCTACGGGCTCACCATAGCCCGTGCTACTTGCCCCGCTCCTGTGCCAGGTAAGTCCACTACGGGCTCACCATAGCCCGTGCTACTTGCCCCGCTCCTGTGCCAGGTAAGTCCACTACGGGCTCACCATAGCCCGTGCTACTTGCCCCGCTCCTGTGCCAGTGTACTTGCCCCGCTCCTGTGCCGGGTAAGTCCACTACGGGCTCACCATAGCCCGTGTCCACTACGGGCTCACCATAGCCCGTGCTACTTGCCCCGCTCCTGTGCCAGGTAAGTCCACTACGGGCTCACCATAGCCCGTGCTACTTGCCCCGCTCCTGTGCCAGGTACGTCCACTACGGGCTCACCATAGCCCGTGCTACTTGCCCCGCTCCTGTGCCAGGTAAGTCCACTACGGGCTCACCATAGCCCGTGCTACTTGCCCCGCTCCTGTGCCAGGTAAGTCCACTACGGGCTCACCATAGCCCGTGCTACTTGGAACTTTTTATTCCGAATAACTGAATATAAAACAACAACAACAATCCTTATGCAGGCGATGAGTCACAATAACGGGGCTGAAGAATGTTGACCAGACCACACACTAGAAGGTGAAGGGACGACGACGTTTCGGTCCGTCCTGGACCATTCTCAAGTCGATTGTGAGAATGATCCAGGACGGACCGAAACGTCGTCGTCCCTTCACCTTCTAGTGTGTGGTCTGGTCAACAACAATCCTTTGAGGTAGCTTGTACTGTGATCTACAGTGACTCTGGCCTATGCAACAACTAATCTTGGCTGAATAACGCCATTCCACAGTAGTAAGACATATTTTTATTTAATTATATGCACTGTACAATGGGTTTAGAAAGTACATATAGGTGATTGAGTTGCTAGTGCATAGAAAAAACAAATGTTACTGCGACTACTGTAAATGAATCAAAGATATGCAAATAAAATATTAATGTTCCATAACTTACCTCTGATTATATAAAAATTTATCTTTGATTAAAGTTAGATATCGATCGCTGGACCTAAAATTGGGCTTAACAGTCATCCCTTAAATTTGTTTTCTGTTAATATGATGAGAAAACGCGTGCAATTTTAGCACGGGTAACTTAAGTAAGATTCTAAATGTGATTTCAAAACATTTTTCAGTGAAATTTCTCAGATGTGATGACGCCACAAGCACCAAAATTCAATAACCACCCCCTTATCTCCCCAGGGGGAGGTAAACATTAACAACCCTTGTCTCCCCAGGGGAGGAGACTAACAGAAACCATCCTTGTATCCTCATAGAGAGACTATACTCACGTAGTTGTGAGTGCTATCAGTAATCACCTTCGTCTTCCCAGGAGTGCCATATCTAGTGCGGAAAATGGTTGCACAGTCGAGGCCCACAGTGACAGTGGAGCGGGTCTACCAGGACGACTACGAGTACTACGACCTAGAGACTCACTATCCAGGTACCACATATACCTTTTCCCGTACTATAGCTCCTGTTAACTGTTGCGCCTTGAAATTGAAATTGAAATAAGTTTATTGAGGTAAAATACACACAAAGGGATGAGGTAGCTCAAGCTACCCTCACCCCGTTCAGTACATCGTGTTAATACATACATAGACACACATCACAAACAATAAACATATTACCAAATCTTCTGAGAGATAAATATATAGATTTCCTCCTTTACTCAAGTTGCGCCTTGAAACCTAACCTAACCTAACCTAACCTAACCTAACCTAACCTAACCTAGCCTAGCCTAGCCTAGCCTAACCTAACCTTTTCCCATACTAGCTCCTGCTAACTGTTGCTCCTTGAAACCAGGGAATTGGGAAATGTCGATAGTAAAGTGTATGGTAGTTTATCTCCAACATATTGGAGTACTTCAACGCGTACTATACATGTGCCAACCCAATTACTTCCTTGTATAACAATATGATTGCCAAACGTCCTTGCATCATATTCTGTCAAGAAGGTATTTTACAAACTGCTGTCAAAATAACACTTTATCTATACCTTTTTTTGTGCCAGATTGGTATATTATATAAATAAATATCTACCACAATAAAGTCGAAATATTCAACTTGCATCGTAGGAACGCGAGAAAAGTATTGACCCACAACAATAACGATACTAATTTATACATACTACACTCTATAAAATATATATATATATCCATTCGATCAATTACAATGGTCACCTAATAAGTTATGGAAGTGATTTAAAACTGCATTTCTTCGACAGACACTGACGTAGAGCAGGTAGAAGAGGACTCTGGTCGGGTGTATCAGATGGTCATCACATCGAGCACCTGGTTCAAGACCTTAGAGGAGCGGTTCCGGCCTGGATACACCGCTGTAAAAGAGGACTATGATGGCGCCCTCTCCAAGGCCAGTCTTTAGGAAGTGAGAAGGGGGAGAAAGATGGAGACTTAAGGAGAGGGAAGAGTGATTTTTTTGAGGGAGAGGAGGGGGGGGGGAGTGAGAGAAAGGTAGAAAGGGTGAGACAAGGGTGAAGAGAGGGGGGAGTAGGGTGAGAAGGGGGGGGGGGGGAAGAGAGGGTGGAGATTGGGGGAGAGAAGGGGAGTGAGGGGGATTGAGAGGGGAGGGGGAGAGTGGGATGCCCAAATCAGGTTCAGTACCACCCCCTCGCCCCTCTAGTTACATATATATATTCCATACATATGTATCATATATATACATTACATATACAAATGTAAACACACACACTTATCACACCAAAAATGAGATCAACCCTGTTTTAACTACATTCAGACACAAATAAAACGTTTCAGATATGTCCAAACACACACACACACACACACACACACACACACACACACACACACACACACACACACACACACACACACACACACACTCAGGCCTCGCGTGAACCTACATCATTTACACAGAACACGTTCTGGTTCGCGTCTGAGAGCACCTTGGTCCATCGCAAGATCAAGAACCAGTACACCGCCAACGTCGTTCGCAGCTTCCACCAGGACGGCTTCACCATGGTACGTCTTCACTACCCCCTTTCACTATCCTTGTAATGTTAATCAGTAGGAGCCGTTGTGAGGATTCGAACCTATGCTCCGGGAGCAGTAAAATAGGTACCTGGGAGTTAGTCAGTTGTCACGGGCTGCTTCCTGGGGGTGCAGGCTTGGTCTAGGACCGGGTCCGCGGGGACACTAAAGCCCCGAAATCATCCCAAGATAACCTCAAGATAACCGGGTACTCCCAAGCACACAAGTTCCAACACATATTACTCTCGTAAGTTCGAGTCCTCATCACGGCAACTACTGATCTTCTCACTGATACATCTTGTTAATGGGATTTCTCTGTGCAATAATGAAAAAAGTAATGAATAAGAAAAATTAAACCTATAGCACTAATGTTCATAAATTTAATAAAGCAGACAAATATATGTAATTACAAAACTAACAATGTTCCTGTACTTTTATATTACAGAAGAAATGCCTATCCTCATTATTCCTCTCCTCACAACACCTGTCGTCCCCTAACACCTGTCCTTACCACATCTATTTTCACTTTTACCTTTGTTTTCAATATATCACCTCTCCTCATCTCAACTTTTACTCCCTCATCATTCTTGTTCTCACTTCTTTGTCCTCATATTCGAGCTCCTTGTCCTCATATTCGAGCTCCTAGTCCTCATATTCGAGCTCCTTGTCCTCATATTCGAGCTCCTAGTCCTCATATTCGAGCTCCTTGTCCTCATATTCGAGCTCCTAGTCCTCATATTCGAGCTCCTTGTCCTCATATTCCAGCTCCTTGTCCTCGTATTCCAGCTCCTTGTCCTCGTATTCCAGCTCCTTGTCCTCGTATTCCAGCTCCTTGTCCTCGTATTCCAGCTCCTTGTCCTCGTATTCCAGCTCCTTGTCCTCGTATTCCAGCTCCTTGTCCTCATATTCCAGCTTGTCCTCATATTCCAGCTCCAGTCCTCATATTCCAGCTCCTTGTCCTCATATTCCAGCTCCTTGTCCTCGTATTCCAGCTCCTTGTCCTCGTATTCCAGCTCCTTGTCCTCGTATTCCAGCTCCTTGTCCTCGTATTCCAGCTCCTTGTCCTCGTATTCCAGCTCCTTGTCCTCATATTCCAGCTCCTTGTCCTCAT